TTCAATGATGAAAAATCTGCCATGTTCAATCTGATAAAGAGCGACTCTTGCACAAAATTCTACCATGGGGAGATACTTTTTCCTTTTCTGATAAGTATCGGCAGGATCATTAATATTCTGCATTTGACTCCATGGTCCACAAACAGGTGCCATGTGGATGATTTTTGGCTGTTGTCGCTCAATGACTTCCATTGCCTTTCGCCGGCCTTCGGCAGTGAGCAAGTCGTAACCTGTGCGGAGGTCAATTGGAGCGCCGACTCGAAGCCCTTGCATCGCTGCCGCTTGACTAAGCTTGGCGGAGCCGCTAAACAGCTCAAGGAAATCTAATTTTCCGGTCATAGCTGGCTCCCATGTATAACAACCATATGTAATACCTTCAGGACCTGACTGAATGGCATCGTGTTCTATGATGTTATTTGCATGGTCATCTGAGCGGCAAGTGGACTTCACTGCTGTACAGGCGCCCTTGGCCGAAGATTCGGCACCGGCGGCAGCTTTGGCCGAAAAGTCGGCACTGGCAAGTGCAATTGGTTCTAAAGGAATGTCAATATCCTCAATAGGATTATGGTCTTTTCTTATTTTACTGATGTTGACCTTCACGATTCTGGTTCCTAAGTCAACTCCAACCATGCTGCCATCTACGGAAACCAACTTCCCTTTTATCCATTTTCCTCCATGTGAACCGTCTGATTTGATTTTTGATTTGTCTTCGGTCCAATAGTAAACTTTATCTCCAGGAAAGAATGGTCCATCACTAAGTTGAAGTTTACTTGCAATATCTCTTCGAAGGTCATCAGATTGTTTTGCCTCTAGAAACTTTCGCATCGCCAGTGACCTTAGTGCTTCAATCTGTCTCTCAGGAGCAGGGGCCTCAGTCGTGAGCTGTGCTGGATTCATGAGCTCAATCGCCGTAAGATCGGCAGGCCTTCTGCCAAATGCTAATTCAATAGGAGTGACACCACCGAGTGTTACCATGGTGTTCCTTGAAATGCAGGCTTGTCTCAACAATTGTTTGTAAGTAATGTTGGCAAGCAATGGATCATCTTTCAAGGAAATTAGCATTAATGAGACCTGTTTCTTAAACATGCGAATGGCTGCTTCAGCTCGATTTGGCCATGGTGTTCCTGGTCCTAGAGAGATTGGCCTGATGCTGTGCCGGTTGTAATAACTCTCCATCTCAGTGCCCATAAAAGCTTGATCGGCAACAATGTATTTTGGATTCAGCTGATAAGTTTCAAAGTATTCTTGAAGATGAGAAATCGTCACCGGATCAGATCTGTTTTGAACTACAAAAGCAGTAGTCAAAGAGGTTGCACCGTCATACATAAGTAGGAATTGAAGTTTTGACTGAGGATTGATAGGAACTTCTCCATGATCAATGAATGTAAGTTCACCAAAGACTTCACTTCGAATTCCTGAAACCTTAGCTCTCGATGGTGCAATCCTGGCAGTGGAACATGTGTCACATGATTTGGTAATCTGATCAAATTTGTCATAGATTTCTCTCGGCAACTTCAGAGCTGATGTTCTTCTCTTGAATTGTTCAGTGGTCATATGATAATGCTTCAAATGTAACTTGAGAAGTTCCGTGGGTGATTGAAGCTTATCATGAATTCTCTGAAGTGCAAGTGACAAAGTTCCCTTAGGTGACGGTTCCTTTTTCTCTTCAAGTTTCACTTCAACCTTGGATTCCGGTTTAACTTCAGGTTCTTCTTCAATCTGAGGTTCCCGACGTCTTGGGATACCGTCCTTCGAACCGGAACTTGGCCCAGAGGCCACCATTGGCTCTTCATCGGGATCAAAAGGTTGAGCTGGTACTTCTAACTTGCTATCAGGCTGAATTGTTTTCTTGACAATCTTCTTAGAATCAGGCTTGGCCGGTTTCGGCACCTCTGCAGGCTTAGGCTCTGATCCCTTGAATCTCTTGCAACCTTCCTTGTTTGTGTGTGGTCGATGTTTACCATTGCATGCTGGGCATGTGATGTCTTCGGACTGAAAGCTGTACATCGGTTTCCAACTGGAAGTAGCAAGAGCCATAATGTCAAGGACTGGATGGTTGGATGTACTGACCGCCAATGCGGTGCGCTGCATTCCAAACAGTGGACAAGTCATGAACTCACCTACAGGAGTGTGTTCAATGTTCATGCGAAGATTCCTCATTTGTTCAACTGAAAAGAGGATAGGAACCTTACCTTTGTCCAGGATGTCAACGCATGTTGTGATCCAACCAGTTTGTGCACGATCATTGCGAAAATGAATCACTAATCTTTCCTTGACAGTAGATTGTTCTCCATTGGCAAATGAAAACTTACTTGAACACGGTTGCTTAGAAAACCAAATGTGATCACGCTTGGGATGTTGTTGGCAAGCCTGTACAAGGCGATCAATGGCAAAGCGGGATCCCATGGCTCGAGTGCAACCTGAGTCAAGAATGACATAAGTCGGATGAGAACCTAGATCTACATACTCACAAAGCAATGCTTGTTGGGCACCATGATCATAATTGAGAAATACACACTCTTCCGTTGAAACGGAATTGAGCGGGCTTGTGCGCGGCTGAAACGAATGCAGTTCACCGTTTTCGGTAGAAACACTCTTCTCAACTTGGCGGATGCTCTTCAATAGGAACCTGTTCAAATCATAAAAGCACTGGTACATAACAGACACGAACAGAAGCACGAATGTGAGAGCCTCTACAAGTTCGTGTCCGAACAATCGGAACAAGCGGATGCCTGAAAAACAGAACCGGTTGATCTTGTCGGTCTGTCCGTCCTCAAAATGATGTCTGAATGCTTGTCCTCGGATTCGGTCAGTTCCTCAGTGGAAGCAAAATACGACCAATTGTACCAATCACCTTGGGAGTAATCTCCGTCATATCCATAGTAGGATTCATAACCTGACCAGTCGTCTGTCCAGTATGTGTCATAGTCATAACTCCAGCTTTCTTCGGCATGGGCTGTTTCTTGTTTTTCAGGGGCTTGTGATGCACTGGATGATGCAGCCTGTGCTACATTAGCTTGTGGAGGTTGTGACAAAAATGGATTGTTTCCTCCTTTGTTCTTCGCATCACCTTTTCCTTTTCCTTTCCATGAAGGCATTCCTTTGAAAGAATCCTTTCCTTTCATCATTCCTTTCTTGCCCTTTTTACTTTTCCTTTGCCCTTGCCTTTTCCCCAGAAAGCTGTGTCTTGCTGGTCATCTTCCCATGCTGCAAAACCTTTGCCTTTTGACCTCGAGCGGAAGCCGGGTCTTGATTTCTTTCCTCCTTTCTTGCCATAACCCTTTGGTCTATCTTTCTTGAAGGACCTGCCGTAGATGCGGCGCTTAGAGTATGAACCCTTGGCGCTGAGAACCCAGAACTCGTTCTCGGTGTACAGACCTGTGAAACCTTCTTCACCCGTCTCTTCATCAAAGACCCAAAATCCGTACTCACCTTCCTCGGTCTCGCCCTCGTCGATGACGTAGAAGTTGGACCGCTTGCGGTGCGTGATGTTTGGGTCCGCAACACCTGTGCGAGAAACTGCAAAAAGTTCTAAGAACAGCTGTTTCACTTGGAGATAGGTGTATTGAGGCATTGCGATCTGACGGATGTTCATGGACGAGACAAAACGCTCCCGTTGTTGCTCGTTAAGGTCTGCTTGCACTAGAAAAATCAGTGACATCAAATTGTCTGACAATGGAAACTGCTGTGCATGTCTGGTCCTTCTATTGGTTATGGTCTGTTCTCTCAGTTCTTGTTGATAAGCTAGCTTATCTTCATCTGTTACTATCTGGTTATAGTGCAGTCTTTGCTCATCTGTGAGTGCTGCCGTAAATGCCTGAGTGCCTGCCTCGGGAAGATCGGATATGTCCAGCAGATCGGACCAAGAAGCCAACAAACGCTTCTGCGCGATCTCAAATCGCCCTATCCAGTGCACGAATTCGCTCTGGCCTCGATATGTGCGAAACATCTGGAGGAATCGCCAAAGGAACACATGATTTACTCCCTTCACGAAGTATGGTCTCAATGTGTCCTTGAAATGAGCGAGGCCACGATCCGGATCTCGGAGTAGGGCATTATCGAGCATCGACTTATAAAAAGAAGCGGAACCAATGAGGGCATTCTTTAAGGATGGTCCATGTTTATCTGCATCCAATGTTGTGATCCCTAACCAGTCATCAATTAAATCTTCATATTCAAACCAGCTTGATTGGCCATCAAATTGGGGTGGAACCTTCGGTGTCATTTTGATGCCCATCCGGTTTTCGGAATGACTGGTGGCGGCATATGCTTCAGGCTCTTCATACGAGACAATCTGGAGTTGTTCTTCATCTGAATCCATGTTGTGGATTAAGACCATGGCAGCTACTCTAACTTGACCTACAGGTTGCCTCCGCAAGTCCGATATACGGAATGTATGCAGAGAACGGCAGTTCGGCACACGGATCTAGACTTGGCGAAGGCACAGGCTCCGCTACCACTTTGAGGTAGCTTTTCCCTCTATTAGGGGAGCCCTGGAGACCTATGAACACCTGCGGACAAGAAGTGGCTGCTGCACTCTCTTTTTACACTACGCGGTTTGCTGCTAGTCTTGAGCCATGCGGAGTGCGCATGAAAGATATGAATTAAGTATACATGTCAACATGCATGAATGCATTGTGAAGACACGTAAACAAAAATAAATCACAGGGGGGGGGTACTAAAATGACTAGCAATCTCCTGAAGAATCAGGTAACGGGGCTGGCCGCCCTCCCCTTTACTTCGTAAAGTAAAACTCAAGGTAGCCCCTCTGGAGCTACCTTTCGTGATCTGTCCAAACTCCTTTTCCAACAAAGCAACAACGCATCAAAACTAGTGTCTGAACATTGCTGTACAAATATATATATAGCTTCAAAATGCTTCATGAATCTCATGAACACTTTGTTGATCGTTTTCTGTTTTTTTTCTCGCAAAACATGGATTTTCTTTATGCAAATATATATAGTACATGTCACATGTCATCGTCAGCTGTTTCTCTGTGCCTGAGAGCATCTGGGACATGACACCGAGCAGGTTGGTCCAAACCAATTCACCCGGCAATCGCAGAAGCCCTGGCGGTCGTGGCAGTCTCGAAACAGAAAGCGCCTTGCCGCGTTTCCCAACGGATATCCCAACGGATTTCCCAATGGATTGCCATCTGTTGCCAGATGATCAAAGCAAACATTTCTTTACGTGTTTGGCAATCGTAGCACCGGAAGATACTAGAAGCGCGCATGCACCTCTTGGTTACAGCGTCCTTGAATACAATTGCCTCAGACGCAGCTCCGAATCTGCAAAATATCAAAAACTATCAACACATATATAATATATGTGTATATTGCATAATCATACGTATGGTAATATTACAATATATATATATATAATGATCATAGTGTCTGTGCTCTAAATGCAACTGAGTCTGTGTTGTACATCCTCCGCATCTTTCAGGTCTCTGAGGAGTTGCACTTCTCGAGCATCGTCTGGAACACTCACCAGGTGGATAGTAATCCTCTGCAAAAACAGAATTTTGAGACATCAGAATCATCAGAAAAAAGGACAAAAAAGGCACACCAGGGCACACCAGGATCAACACGTGGAAAAATACAACCGTGACTTTGCCCTGAAATCTCTCACGTTTCGACCTGAAAATTATTGACATGCCTAAAGGCCTAAAGGTTCTTCTAACACCGATTCACAAGGGATTTCAGAATATTTCAGAATATCATCATATGATATCATATGGATTTCATGATATTCATATGATATTCATTCATATGTTTAGAAATTTCATATGTTTTCATATATGATTCACGTATCTTTTTGCATGTCTTCGGAAAAACTTTGCCACTTCGGCCTGTGCACAGCTCTCGCAGCGCGCTCCAACTCGGCCTGTCACAGTGCCATCTGAATCTGTTGAGAGCTTGACAAAAAACATCAACAGAAATATCAGCAGAAATATCAACAGATGTAAACATGATCTATTGTCTAGAAAGATTTTTTTTTTTACCTGGTATCATCTTGCATCAAGTTTCGAAAGATCTTTGCAACTTGAAATGGGAAAACCAAAACACAAGTGGCAACAAGCTCGACAGCTAAGTCTTGTGCTTGCTTCGCAAAGGCATGCACCAGAATCGGAGCACAAACCTTGAAACAGGATTGCAGAATATTGCAGATATGGAAGACATAAAAACACAATAAAAAACATTGTCATTTTTTGGCCCGACAATGCAGCCGCTTTCGACCTTTTTCAGAGCTTTCAGAGCGGCCGCTTCTCTGAGATCCAGGCCCTTGCTGCTGCAGGTGGTGTTGGCATAGCAATAAACCTGAAATCCAGGGTGTCAAAGGTAAGCTGCTGGGATCTGCTGGGGCTCAGCCAACTTAGACTGTGCAAAATTACAGTTCATTGATGTGACGAAAATAGGGTGACCGCTGCTTTCCTGAGTCTCATTAAGCACATGTGATGGATCTGCCCACTTTGTACGAACCTGAGCTCTTGACATTGCAAACTCGAGCTGGATACCATCCAGGAGCACACTGACTGCAATCGCTGCCTCAGCTCTTGACATGGACCACGGGGGCATTGGATCCACAGTGGCGACGTTCTGCGGAGCAGAAATGCGAATCTGAGCGTGGTGCCAGCCCACTCCGTTTCGCAGCGACAGCCACTGATCTGATGGGTCACTGGATGAGTTGTGCACACCTGCCAAATCCAAGTGATTCCAATCTCAAAGACGAGAACAAGATGTTATTCGAAATCACTGGCCACTTCCAACATGTCCAACATGTCCAACATGTCCAACATGTCCAACATGTCCAACATCTACAAAATGGAACCAATGGCGCCAATGGAATCGGCGCACAGCCACGAGATCGAGGTCATCTGAGGTGCATACCCCGTGGCCGCTGCAGTAGTCGTCTGGATGACAATAGATGGCACATCCTAAGTCTGAAAGTCTGCGGTTGCCGAAACTAGCAGTTTGGAGGGGCCAAGATCCCTAAAATACCACGGTAGTTGTTGTTACTATATTTGTATTATATAATATATAATAGAATATAATATAATATAATATAGAATATAATATATAATATATAATATATAATATATAATATATAATATAATATATAATATAATATAATATAATATATAATATAATATATAATAGAATATAGAATATAGATAATCTATTTAAATCTATTTGTTACTTCCAAGTCCTGATCCAAGGCGTTGAAACTTGAAACTTGACACTCCTGTGCCGTCCCTCGTTCAGTGTTCCATGACAGTCTCGGTGTGCCACGCGAGCCACGGACTTTCGTTGTTTCAATCGGTGCTGTGATGTGCTGTGAAAGGTGCCTTTTTTCGACGGTAATTCGACATAGTTCGACTTAAGAGGAATAGACATGAATAGAATGAGATACAAACTGAAGAGACACGAAATGACATGAAGATTATCATAGACATTCATAGACTATCTATGTGTTTGGCTTTGGTGCCATGGAGCCGTTCTCCAGATTGTAGTAGTACTGCTTGCACTGGTCACACCTCGAAGCCAACATCATCCCATGAATCCCATGGATTTCACGACGACAAAACGGGGCCCTGGCTGTTCTCCGGTGTAGCCATCTTTGCAGTTGCAAGTGCCATTGCCTCGAGGACCTGCCACAGCACCACGGGCACCACCGTCCAGTCACAAGGGTCGCAAGGGTCGCAAGGGTCGCAAGGGTCGCAAGGGTCGCAGCTGGCCTTCGTTGCAGCTGGCGATGCCTGGACCTGTGCAGTTGCACCTTGGCACAACTTAAGCAGACAGTACTGAACCTGGAACAACTTGGAACAGCTACCAGGAACATCCTGGAACAACTTCAAGATCTTCAATGTGTCCGATTAAAAGTACATGGACCAATGGAGCTGCGCAGAGGGGTTGGACTATGACTCATCTATGACAATGATGTACTGAACGATAAACACTTTTCTGTGGTCAAACTTCTAGAAACGAGATTTGTGCCACGTCAAAAATGTCAAAACATGGTATTCATTGGTATAGTCATCGTTTTATGGGGCATCGCTCAAGGTGCCTATCGCTGGCAACTCACATTGTGACCACCTTTCCGGTGCTGGGAAGCCAACAGCTGGTTGCACTCTGGACCATACCAACCCGCATCACATCTGCAGACCTGTTCTCCCTGCAGGTTCACTCCGCAGCTCAGCCGAGTGATTTGAGTCGTTGGGATATCAGGCACCTGGGCCACATCACGCCACCCCAGAAATCTCGCACTCAAAAATCTCAAAGTCTACAGTTCTTATCCGTTTTTCATCGTTTTTCACGCAAAATGCAGGTCTTGCATCTTGAGCTTCTGACCGTAGTGATCTGGAAATCGGCCACAGGCCAAGTCAAGTTCAGACCCTCAACACCTCGCACCTGCGTGGCTCGATGGACTTCCACGTGGACGGACACTCCAGGTCTCTCTGGAAAACGTGAAAAACATGTCATGAGAAAACAACTCGGATATATACAGAGATGTATGATATATATATATATATGATATATATATAATTATATATATAATTATATATATATGATATCTGATATATACAGATCATACAGGAACACAGTCTTAAGTTATCTTAAGTTTAAGTATCCAGAAGTCCTCTCACATTTCACGGCTCCTCGAACTGGTGGTAATGTGGATGCCGTGCAGGGTGCGGTCTTTCTCGGGATTTGATGCATGCAACTGATTTGCTCGCAGCCCTTGATGTTTCACATCTGCTGCCTTCTTGCAAATGCCACATGGCATCTACAACTTTCATTAACTGCGAAAAGTTGCGAAAAATTGGGAGTACATTTGGGATAGGTGACTTTCATTGTGCACATGTTCAAACGTGTATGACTTTGCAACTTTGAATTTCCTACAAATTCTTTCTACATGACTCAATCACTTCTCAAATTGCAGAGATTTCGGAGTTCTTGACGATTTCAAACGGACAACAAAGATCCAACGGGTAGCTGGGGCGGATGCATGCGGATGCCAGCTCTGAGCTCTGAGATTCACTCGGTTTCACTCAGAGACGGCCTCTCACCATCCGAGGAACTCCTGCGAACAACACACCGGTAACTGCAACGTGACTTCCGTTGACTTCTGGTACACTCCACTGGTTTGCTCCACTCGTTGGAATCTTCGCAGTATCAGTATCCGTACGGTATCCGTACTGTTCAACCTGACATGTTCAGCCACCACAACCCACCTCTGCCAGGCGTTCTCGCAAGTCCATGTCGCTTTCATTAAAGCCCTGCACCGCGTCGAGCGAAAGCGGGAAACAGATGGAAACAGTTCGAATTCGTTTGTGATGTCACGTTGACCAAGGAGGCCTGCAGGAATGTCATGCCAAAGACTCCGACCTGGCAAAATCTCGGCACTTTTTCGTAGAAATTTGTCCATCTACACATTTTTGGTGATGAATGGATATTAATGGATATTAATGGTGATTAATGGTGGGTAATTTGATGTTTTTTTCGATATCACTGATGATGGGGAGAAACACTCCAAACTTGACCTTCCACAATCAAACCCGAACGTAATCAACGGTTTTCAACCAGAACTTCTCCCAAGACGCAATGGACGACATGACACTGACATGTCTGAGTGTCGCACCTGAGGCATGTCTTTGTTCCATTCGTCTGGCACCCTAGGTTTCGTCGAAATGAGGAAACACTCAGCTTTTTCGAGGCTGCAGCCCTCTTTTTGGCCCTCTGATTTTTGTGTCTAGCCAAGCAGCAGCCACTTGCTGCCTTTCTGGGCCAAATGCTGCTTTTCACCTTGCAGCAGCTGTGCATGTTTGAATTGTAACCCAATGACCAAGCACAGCCAGCATGTCTCTGTGATGATTTCATTTTTTCGGGTCGGCATGCGGCCGATTTTTCACGTGACATTCCCTCCATCTCACTTACAGGAACAAGTTCTCATTTGGCTTCATCTTTTGTGCAGTATTCCAGCCAAGGGTCTCCAGTATGGTTCATCGATATTTTCCTGACTTTGGAAATGGTCATGGTTCAGTGCTGCAGCCCGTAAGGGACATTGAGGACAACAACAAAATCAAGCTTCTTTGGAAAAAACATGAACAACCACACTGGTATCTTAATGTTTTTCAACTGTCCCGTGCCTGGTTAAAAACCTGATCTTTTAATATCTTTCACGGATCTGACATTTTGAAGCCACATAGATGAAGAGTATTGAAGAACAAACACAACATCCGAAGCAGTTTGGTCAGGTGGAGCATGTCTGGGAGCACAAAGCACCACATCCACAATCAGGATTCAAAAATCGGGGATCCGAAATATATCTTGATTCAAAATCATCCATATTCATCCATATTCAACTATTGATTGATTGATTTTCCAATTCAACTAAAAGTATTTTCACCAATATTTTAACCGAGCTTCGCCCGGCTCCAATTTGCAAACAGCCAGAAGGCATTGTGCACAGTGCCAATCTTCCTTGGCTCAGAGAAACATTCAGCTCTGTGGTCAGCTGTGGTCCTAGGCCGAAGACGTGAAGTTCCAAATTCATCATGTAACCTTGGTGTTTCAGCATCGCAATTGGCAATGATTGGCAATGATGCCATGTCAGTGCAGCGGCTTATGTCATTGCTTGTGATTTTCAGGTGGCAACGGTTCGCAAGACCCAGCGACACTGGATTGTCCAACATCCCATAGTCCTGCATGCATCTGCATGCAATAATTCAAGCCTTTCTGTCAAAAACGGTGTCTCAACAATTGAAAACACCTCGGTACAAAGGGTGCCGCAAAATTCAATCCACCCTTGCTGTGTTTATCTGTGTTTATACATTTGGTAGGTTTCCTTTCTGTCCAATGCGCTCTTGGTTAACATTTCCATTCATTTCCTCCAATCATCTCCAATCTGTGCAGGATATGGCAGGATGAAACCATTTTGGAAACCATTTTTCCATCGACGTCACATTTTTCCATCCGCTCAGCGTCCTGCAAAATGGGGCGCATCCGCTCAGCGTCCAGCCGGGCTTCTTCCATGCGTTCCGAGCGACTTTTGGGCTTCGCCGGCAGGAAATCTGCGGAAAACAAAAACTCGTCACTCGTCACTCGTCATTTCCCACCAGTGGGAGGTTGATGGAGGTTGACATCTTCTGACCTATATCTCTTATGTCCATTATGATCCATTATGATTTATGAGGATCCAAGATTTCGCCTGGCATTGGAGGAAGTCCAACTGCCGATGGCCGTCGACCCACCAGCATGAGCCTTTCAAAATGCAGCGCTGATGTTGCTGATGTTTCTGAGGACCGCTGTCAGAGTCATTTTGCGGTTTAAGGCCTGCCCGCCGCATTGAAGTCTCCAGCGTTGTCGACTTCCGGAACCAAGAATTCCTGGACCAAAAGTGGGTTCACGAAGAGTCCGTCCAAGACATTGCTTGTCGCAACTTGTTGCAACATGTTGCCCCCGTTGGACCTTTCAGATTTTTTTGCTATAAGATTGAGTTGCTACTGTGCATCTTTTCGAAAACATCGCATGAAACAGTTGGATGTTTTCGGTGTTTGAAGCGCCCTGTCCTGGCCGGCCCTGGTGAGATCCCAAGTGCGTGTGCGACCCAGGCGTTTCCGCACTGTCAGGACCTGCTCAGCTTCCACAGCTTCCACAGCTTCCACAGCTGCACGGAATCTACCATCTGGTTATTTGTTACATAGCCATGGAAAATCACCATTTGTACTAGGTGAAACGGTGAAACATCTATTTCTATGGGCCATCTATACCATGGCAAACTGTTAGTCATACCCAGAGAGTATCAACTGTCTGCTCTGCGCCTCCTCTCGTGTCAGGTGCTGAAGGCTGTACAGACCATAGTCCTGCCGAGATTTTCCACCTTATTTTCCAAATTGGAATATTATCCTCCAGTAAATTAACATAGACCCTGGTAGTTGTCGGGGTTGGAAGATGAGTTTCCTCTAACAATTGGTGATTTTCAGGGTCTATATGTTAATTTACCAGAGGGTATATGAATACTACCATTCTTATTATCGTCCTTGTCCGGTCCCTGTCAGGTCGTCCATCCTTGTCCCTTCACATTTTCCAAGTGGTTGAGTTGAACCAACCCGGTCGTACTTGGTCGTGCCTTGTGCGACAGAAGTCCTCCGATGTCATTACACCTTGCGTAGCACACCACAAAGGCTTCCACCTGTGCCAAACGAGACGCCAACGACAGATCTGAAAGCAGAAAAACTCCAGGCATCTCCAGTCCCTGGGACAATCTGTTGGGCCATCCTCTGGCCGTATCCCAACCCGTTCCACAACTTCCACGCCCCCTCCGCTTAAGCTCTCAAGCGCAGACCCGAGCAGACTCTCTGATCTCGAGATCTCGCTCCATCGCAGAAGCAGGAAGTGCTTCAAGCACACGGCCTTGGAGAAAGTTAATCGGACTAGTTTCATCAACTTGCGGATGCCTTCCGTGCGCTATCATGCGTTCCATGTCTTAAACTTACCGTGCATGATCTTTTTATGCATTGTCACCAGAAGCTCCCTGGAAGTGCTGTTGAATTTTGTGGTCTACATCATCTACATCTCACAAAACAACAATTCCAATCGCGAAAAATGATTTTAACTATACCTGCCCGCGTGGAATTTCAAAACAGCGCCACAGCCCGAGGAACTGCAGTGTTCGGGGGTTAGCACCAAGCGATGCGCCACGGAGCGAAAGACCTTCACTTTAAGACTCCTCAGCAAAAAATGAAGTGACACACACATGACAGGCACATGGCACACATGGCATATGAATATATATATATATATATTCATATGGGTTATATATATATATAATAATATATATTTATATGGCTTTACAATTTTATATATTATCTAATTGTTTCATTAATTGTTTCTGGTCCAGCCATCGCCATCGCCATGGTCCATGGTCCAGTTCTCCAAGGATCTGATTGAAGTCCATGGTGGCCATGGCTTGCTGGATCTGCATCACGGTGTTGTCACGAGAAGGCCCCGTGCCTGGCCACTAAAAAAATCGGAAGATATCCAATATACTATGAATATATATATAATAATATATGAATATATATATAATATTATTGTATTATCTAATTGTGTTTATATCTAAAATGTGTGTTTATTGGAATCGTATCAATCACATTATGTCGTGAGTCATGAATGTCTTCAATGAAGTTTATCATTCGTGTCAATTGGAATGAGTACATCATTGGACATCAAAGTGCGAAGAGTGAGACTCTTGGGCCTTTCTTTGGATGAAACGGCGAGCAATAATCCAATTTCACCTCTGACCGTGGTGGAAGCTGCACATCAGCACTCCTGACAGTGTTGTGGTCATGAGGCCATTAAGGTCACTTAAATGGTTGGGACAGGCGAATCCTGGAAAAAACGCGTCCTCCAAATGCGGTAGACACCGTTGACCGTGCAATTTCGGATGCATTCATGATCCTTGGATCGATGGATATCGATGGACAAGCGACCATCAAGCGACAAGCGACATCGCTCAAACGGACATCAACGGACAGGGTATGACAGGGTGGGTTTGTACTGGACCGCCATGGACCGCCCCAATGCAACATCAATCAAGATCAATCAAGCGAATCAAGTGTCTCCGTGCTTGCTGAGGTCAGGCCGACCGAGTTTCGTAGCACAATCACCTACGAACTGAGGCCAATGCCAATGTGTGAAGCGAAAGTTGCTTCGTGTTTCAAAGATCTTCAAAGATCTTCCAAACATACTTTGATCGTTTTTGATCCACTTCAAAGCACAACTTCAATATCCCCTGATTGCACGTTTTCATCCATGTTTCATCCATTTTATATCATTTTTAATATATTTTATCATATTTTATCCATGTTTTTCGGCGTTCCGATGCGTTCCGATATGCGTTCCAGGCGTACGTTCCCAGTGATTGACGATGATCAGGTCGTCCAGCATCTTGCGATGTGCCGGTTCCGAAACCTCGGTCGAGAGCAACTGACAGAGGACAGCAGAGACAGATCTGGATCTGCTGGATCTGAGTGACGTCGAAGTCATATCGACCATCAGAACCTGAGGATCTGCATGGTGTTACACGACTGGACCATGGACTGGCCAGAATTCTGAGTCAGGGATCATATAAGCTGGCTCATTTAAGCTATAAAGTTTAAGCGTTTTGCAGAAGCCACTTGTCAGGGATGCGATTGCAATGGTGAAAGAATTGTCAAGGACGACACATGCTGGGTTGAAAAGGAGCAGATTCACAATAGAAGCACGATCGCGAACCAGCGATGCCTCAAGACAGGCAAGTCAACATAAGGCAACACCTGCCAAGAACAGCATTCCAAAAGTGTCTCAAAAATTCTGCAACAGTAGAAGATTTCTGCATTGCAACCGTTGTTTCAGATTCAGTCTCAACATTCTCAACGCTTTTGGTTCACGCGATAAATTCTATATCAATTCCAGCCGCCAAACACAGCAACATGTGCAACTGATCCAACTTGATTCTGGGTTTGGAGCCCCGTGGTGGCCGCAGTTAACAGCAAGGTCAAAACCACCTGTGACTTCCACAACGTGCAAGGCAGAATGTGGTGGCCACGATTCGACAACCCGATTCGACAAACCATTGCAACTTCCGCCGGGGCCTAAAGTATTGATTTCTGGCACAGCTGGTAACAGTCGATCCACCACGTCTGTGCGCCTGGGTCCATGCAAAGAAAAAACCATGCAAATCAATCAACATCAATCAATCATCTACAAACTACACACCATCTAAATCCAATCGAATGGTGGTTTACTTATTCAAAATGGCGATTTTCTATAGCTATGTTAAATTATCAGAGGGTAAATCCAATCGAAATACCATTTACGATGACCTCTCTGCTTCCACACTGTGAACGTCGGTGCATTCTTTTCATCCGAGATTTCCCAAGATCTCTCGTTTGGTTCGCATAAGTTTGCTGGTCACATCACATGCTTGGCTGCCACGCAGTACTGGGTCGAGCTCTGAAAGATACCTTGGATGGATCCGTTAGCTGTCTCAGTTGACAGTTCTGATTTAGAAGAGTTGTGCATTTGTTTGATCTCGTTTTGATCTCGTTTCATCTTTATCTTTTTCACCCTCGGTCGTTCTGTGGCGGAGAGAGGTCTGTTTCACAAGTCCTTGAAGGTCCAGGCCTCACATGGCTCAGCTTCAGGTTCAGATCAACTGCCATCGCCTGCCACGGCGCCGGCAGTGCCATACAGAGCCGAATGGATAGCAAGCGGGAAAATAGATTCTCACTTCCAATAGATTCTCTCATCATGTTTCCTCATGAAATGGCTATTCTTCCAGGGCATATGCGGCATACGAAACATTTCTCATCGTCAATGCCCCGCCTCCAGGAAGATTAAGCGTGCCTTCACCAGGAACATTGGGATCACCAGAATTCTGGTGTCTCTGTCGAAACCGCTCCCCTAAAACTGACACATCTGACACATCTGGCACATCTGACACCTCCAGATCTGCCAAGCCGTTGAATAGTTGAGCCACCTGTTTAGGTTGCAATCTTGAAAAGCATCTGAATCTCCAGAAGCACAGCTTTTCTAAGTGCAATGACGAGTAGCATCCTTCGGCTTAACAAAGCCAGGAATGTTCAGTGCTTCTTTGCTCGGTTGAAAAATGGAAATCAATGGATTTCACATCTTCCACAGCATTCAAGCGAAGCTTTTAGCACGGCTTCGGGCTGCGCACTGCGCAGGGCCTTGACAAAATCCACCAATCCAACCTTCAACTTCCTCTTCTCGTTGACCCTGCGGTTAAAAACATTCAATCAGGAACAGAGTCTGTCAACATATATATGTCAACATGAATGTCAACAGTTTCAACTCAGAGTTTTCTCCAGCTGATTCTTTTTACCCTCTGGTAAACTAACATAACTATGGAACATCACCAGTTTTAATGGGAAAACTCACTATAAATGGCCATATTCAATAGCTATGTTAAATTACCAGAGGGTAGATCATCCAATGTTCCAACATGTTCCAATCACTTCTGCCGGTGTCCTGGAGATGAGCTGCGTCGCTTCGATCTTCACCCCGAGCTCCATGGGGAAACGAAACGCAAAGGAGACGCTGCCTGTGCTACCATGAATTGATCTGTTGGGCCTGTTAGATATATTTCTATCTGTTTTCTTTCATGGTGTTATTAGTAGCAAATCATGAAATTTGGCAGTCAATCAATGTGGAAGCAATCAATGACATTGAATGTGTTGTGTTCATCTATGAATAACATTGAATAACATCATGTAACATAGATATACATAGATGGTCATTGATGATTTATTTTGCTCATTCTATCCAAGGAGAACGACAGGTGGCGCCTTGCTGTGGCACCTCAGCGGCAGTTTCATGACACTTTCTTTTTCAAAAAGAACAACTCGCTACAGCAATAGATTAATGTAGATTAATGTAGATTGATGCAGATTAATGTAGATTGTATAGATATCTTCAGAAACTCTTAAGATCTCTAACATTCTAACGATACAGTATATATATATACATGTATATACTGATTGTATCTGATTGTGTATTCTAGGTGCTCACTTCCACTGGGTGCTTCGACAGATTGGTTCTTTCCCCACAACTTCAGAATCTCATCGCCGCGCTCCTCGTGCCGGAACTCACAATCAGGCCATGGTAAACCATGGTAAAGCATCAATGATGGACCAAACGGTGGACCAGTTTGTAGTTTTCTTTTCTTTTTCCCATGCCTATTCCATGTCTATCTGCTTCTATCCGGTACTCTCATGACATCTACTGTAGATAGCCACAGAATGCCACAGATATCACTTGTCGCCCTCTCCTCGAATTTAAAGAGTTCGGTGATTGGCCGTGACTGACTCTTGCATCGCCTGTCGTCGCGATTCCCCGTTTGCAGCGGTGAGACTTGGCACATCATGACTGGAATATACTGGAATCCACGCTGAGCCTTAACAACATACGGAGAAGTGCTCGATGCTGAGGATGCATCAGGTTCAATGTGTAATGCGCAGTAGGATCAGACTGCTCCTTGCCATCGGGATCTCCCGAAATGTTGAAATTCCAACTCGGAGCTGAATCAAATCTGTCATTAGGTCATTAGGTCTCACAGCAAACTGATGCAATGAAGTTTCTATCCTTTTTGGACCGCTGGTGATTACCAGCTTTGATTCTGACAAGCCTGGTTCTTGTTATTCACATACTGAGATGATTGGGGGTCGATCATGTCAACAAGGCCAAGCCGGCAGGAGGGTTGCATGCCCATGACCATCATGACCATCATGACCATCATGACCATTCACCAAGTGTCGTAAGGTACTGCCACGCAAGATGGCAAGGCTTCTCGTATCTGCGACAAATGCAAGGTCTTGAGACCTGCCGTTGCCATTCGTTGCTGTCGAAACCGGCTGGAAAACCCACTCGATTGCACTCAAATCTCGATTGCACTCAACAAAGCGAAATAAAGATAAAGCAAGAAAAGAAGATAAAAGAAGCGACATGAAGCGACCCTATGCTGCATATTGCTGCATATTGCTGCATCCGCCAGGTCTTGCATCACGCTGAGATCGATTGAGGCTCCGGGCTCTTGTGGGTGATCAGAATCCTATTCAAAGTCAGAGCGAAGATGGCGAAGTGCACAAAGCTTCAATCGATCGCAGGTTTCTGATCCGTTGATTTTGGGAAGCTTGTAGATAAGCAATGATAAGATATATGATAAGCAGATGTCCAAGAGCCGCTTCCCTGCCGCGAAGTTTCACGATACCCGCCACAATTTCCAACATGGAAAGTGAACGTGACATCCTGCAGTCATCCCCTTGGGGTTCCCAAAAATTAAAATCGGCGGCCTCAAAAGGCAGCGCACTCCCATTACACCCTGGCAGCGATCGTTTCACAGCGATAGTTTCACAACATCGGTGGAGGATTTGGCAGTCATGTTATGTCATGTTTGGACCAATACTGACATATATCATCTCCATCTTGGAACACTAGGAGAAACCTTGCAAAACCTTCCATGGAAAACACCATGGAAACTCCGGTGAAGATGGTGAAGATGTCCGCCTGGAAGGCGTTATTGCTGAGGTCCAATTCTTCTAAGCCGCAGCCCTGCTTTGACTGCAAGGCATCCTGTCGATGTCCGATGTTCAGGTTTTCATGGAGAGAAAACGTGTCGACACAAAAGCATCACCAAAACCGAGTCGAACATGTTCAATTCATCTTGGATCAAACCCGAAACTTATAGGATATACATGGATATACATTACTTGAGATAGCGCGGTTGAATTCTTTTCTGATCATTTCTGTGTGCCGGTAGAAGCACCACAGCATCCACGGCACCTCCAAAATGAAGTCCTGGCGATGCTGGATCTATGCTGAATGCTTCCAGACAACGGAGGACGAACTCTTTGACTCAAATCTTTACAAGTCCTCGTCAAAGTTCAGCTGGCAACCCGCTAATTTCCTAAGTCACTTTGATGAATGACATGAACATCGACCAAATGACACGAAATGTGTGTGCAGTTTCTTATGTTTCTTCGCAACTCTGAGGGGCTATTTGATGGTTGCGTCACCAAATGTCACCAAGCTGCTGTTTTTTGCTGAGGAAAAAAAGGTGTGATGGCCACAGGATGCCACAGGTCACCACCATTCACTGCGAAGATCTGCCAAGTTGCAAGGTGGTCAAGGACTTTGACTTTCCGACGCCTTCGCAAACCAAGGAGATCGGATTGAACCTCGAAGGTTCTCGAAGGACACCACGTCGATCAACGTCGACTTGTTGTCATTCGATATGGATCGAAAATGGGTTACCTATGGGGTATGTGGAGTACCTTCCATGTGATAACGTCTTCCATTCAAACGGCAATTGATTGGGAATATTTGGACAAAGCATGACAAAGCTATATCAAATATTGATATTGTCAGAATGTGCTTGGAGATATTTGGATTCTGAATGATTCTGATTCGAATTTTCTTGGGTTCCATCTGAGTTCCAAGGGCTGCACGCTGCAATTCCTTGCGAACGACTGTCACTGCGAAGGACCTGACAAGTCAACAAGTCGAGATATGCCATGGATAGTGCCATGGGGTACCGTGGGGTACTAGGCTTCCGGACTGTAAAGAGATTTTCCACCTCGATGTTGACGGCACCAGCACTCTCTGTGAGCACAAAGCCTCCTGCATTGTAACCTGACACGCAGGCTCAGAAGTACCAGGATCTACCAGGATTTACCAGGTACAATGGGTACCAAAACACAAACGCAGAAGCAAAACTCGTGCTTCTAATGCTGCTAATGTATGCTAATGCTGCTAGGATGCTGCTTTGCTAAGGATGGCACTGAGATCTAAGACCTCCAAATTTCCATGGCCTTCCAAGGAATGGGCTAAAGCCTTGCAACCTCAGCATCTACCATCAAGGTCGGATGTTCAGCAAAGTCATACGTTTTTTTGTTACGAAACACTTCATAAATTTCCAGGATCGCACTGGAGATTTCTTGACAGATTGGAAGAGATTTCTGGATCCCTGTCTCAGGCTCCAGCCTTCGAAACTGAAAAAGTTTCCGCTGAGGTTCAACGATTTCAAGCCCGGCCTTGCCACGGCAACAAACCGTGCCGAACAAAACCGAACCATCCCCAATAGAGTGGAATAACAATAGAGTGGAATAATGAATACCATCTTGTTTTTTTAACATAGCCATGGAAAATGGCCCATTTATAGATGGTTTACCCATTATAAATGGTGATTTTCCATAGCTATGTTAAATAATCAGAGGGTAATACTGACAATCATAGTCATATAATACTAGTATGTCATAATAATATAATGTTTATTGGGATTTACATATGGATTTATGAGAAATGATGGGACAATGATTGGAAATGGATCAAGTCCCTGCCAAGCTGCAGTGAGAGTGGCAGCTCCCCCACCAGGCAGGGCACATCCTGAGAGCGGCGACCTGTCACCAGCGACACACTTGCGAGCGACGGCACGAGGTTGTGGAAATCTGTAGAACCTCAGTTCCTTTGAACATTTTGAACTGGAACTAAGAGCTTGGGAGAATTTGGATCAACAAGTCCCGGTCAATGAGCAAAAAAAATGCCAGTTTATGGTGTGGCTAATGGCGCACCGATGGCCATATCAGCAAGGCCCAGCTCCTCACCATGCCGACACCATGCATGCCACATCGCGGCCATGGAAACCGATGTTCCGGTCCTGCAAGTAGGTCAAGCACCTGAGACCTTCCACCAGCACTAGCCATGAGGGCTGTTCAAAGCGCGTACCATCCAACCTGAGTTGGTCGTCATTGGTCGTCATTGGTCGTCTGGAATTGGGTATTTTCATGTGTTTTTCCACGTTTTCCGCTGCTTTGTTGACTTCCATCATCATTCTATCATCTTCCATTCCTATTTGGGTTTGTCTGAAAATAGTGTACCCCTACATCCAATGGTTAATGATCATTATCCCTACTAAATGGCTATAATTGGGGGTATACCCCATTTTCAGACATTCCTATTTGTCACAGAAGACAGCACAGCACCACAGCACAGCACTGGGTGGGGGCACTTCAGCACTCGCAACTTCATCAAGGCTCTCGGCAATGCCTTGGGACGGTACCAGGCGTGGACTCTTAAGGGTTCTGGTCATTTCTTGTCCCAAAATCTCCCCAAAAACCAGGGACAAAATTTAGGGAAACCAAGTAGAACCATCATCAAATCATCAAAGATCCGGTCTTACCTGTCTTTCGAATCTTTTTTTGCACGCCAATGTGACACCAAGAAACCTCTCAAGTTGGACTTCTGCGATGGTGCCAAGTTGCGTGTGCCAAGAAACTGATGGATTTTTCTCCCATGTGGGCAGATCCGGACAAGTCCAGGATTGTCATACCTGGCCAATGGTCCGGCGATGGTCTGGCGATGGTCCAAACGGTCCAAATCGTCGCCTAGTGATTACATGATTGTAACATATATTGAACATATATAGTTCAACTCCCCATCAAAAGTATCTTATGATTATCCGGTGGGGTCAATACCCAAAAAAAATCAACTTGGAGGATGCCATCTACTATGGCAGATGAAATATCTTGATTTGACCAGGCCAAGTTGCTCATAAATTTGTCACAAGCCAGCTGTAGAAGCCTTAGAGCAATGGCAGGGATCAATATAGCGGGCTCTCTCAGTGACTTCTAAGCTGATCTAAGCTGACATAACAAACAGATACAATCAGTATCATCCATCTACATGCCTGTATCTGTATTCTCATACGTATGAGTTATGTATGCAATCTGCTACAATCAATCCTTGAACATCCTTGAACATCCATGAATCAGCTGGGATGCTGGCGGTTCGTAGAATGCATCCGTTAGCTGTGGATTGCCAGAGATCAGCATGGTCTGCAAATTGTCGACCATGCAATCCCTAAAGGAACACCGCCTTTCGGAAAAAATCGATATACACCTACATGATCCGATATTCCAATATATTCCAGATATATTCCAATATATTCCAATATATTCCAGATATATTCCATTGTGCAAAGCCCATAGCTGCTTAGCGATCCTTGGCAAAGTGTGTTACCGTTGGGCTTTGCCCAAAAAATTGGTCGGCTCCGCCTTAAAGGCAACATCTCGCACACGGAGGCCCATCACAATGGGCACCGCCTTGCGAATGTTTCGATTTTGCGGCTTGAAGGGCAGTTTTTTTTAATCTGGAACCATCTGGAACCATCTGGAAATATATCAAAATATATTCAAATATCGCAAATATTGAAGTGTGCTTTTCAGCTGATGAGGAGACGCTGCTTTTCAAATCTTTTCCCGTGAGCTGTCGACAGTGGACTGGTCCGCAACGTTTATTTTGGTCCACAGGCCATCCTGACCAACCTTTTCTAACATCCGAGGGGATGACAGGATGACAGGAAGATTAAGCCGACACGAAGGCCGACACTATATAGGTTGACTGATGTTGACTGAGCCTGCTGAAGAAACAACTGAGTTGGACCGACATGAAGATCAACCTGCTGGAAATCGGCTGAAAAAATTGAGACTCAGCATGACTCAGCTGTCAACCGCTGATAGATGCGAAATGATAAGCCATGATAAGCCGCTAAGCACAGATAGCACAGATAGCACAGAATCTCTGCAGAAAGTCCTGCTTGATCGTGAGACGAATGCCTCACCTGTTTAATTTCTTGACTCTGGGTGTGGAAGGCCCGCTCTGACTCGAAATGACTCATGAGGACTCGGGGAATCAATTGGGAAATGCGACGAGTCAGACCCAAAATTGCAGAGTCAAGTGTCGATGACTGTTGGATCGACGGTACCAAACTCAGCAAACTCAGACATCCTGGCTCTCTTGCCTTGCGCTTCGCAACTTCGCAATGTGAACCAACCAATGTGAAGGGCATTTTCCAATCGAAGATGCAGAAATCATAGATAATCATAGTGGTTTTGATGGTTCATCAATGTTCATCACCATTTTAGTGAAATGGATATGGATGGTTCACCACACCGAAAGACTCAACTCCCACAGCAAACAGCTGGAAACTGAAGCCGAGTGAAGTGCATCGCATCGAATATCGAATTGCTGGGATCCCAAAGGAGAAGTTTTTCACACCAATTTCCAGGGGGATTACCATCAAAATCATCAAAATAAGGCAATTTTAATGTGACATAATTGTAGTAAACTTAGTAAACTTAGTAAACCTAGTAAACTTAGTAAACCTAGTAAACAAAATGCTGGTGATTTAGGGGTTTCCCCGGCTTTTTCCATTGGATCAGACCAATCCGAGCCCAGCTGCTTTGCCCATGTGAATGGTTTGCGTCGAGGGTTCTCCACCTGGAAAATAAAAGGAAGCCAATTCAAAGTTGGACATACTTGGACTGAGCAAACTTGGACATTCTCTGTGGAAATTTGGATTCTTTGTAGAAGAAAATTCGGGACTGAAGCTGTAGTTATGGTCATTTGAATGGGGTGGTGATGTATGGTGATAAACCCTTGGATTTTTGAGCGTTTCATGGCGTCCAAAGGCAGTGTGGCCTCCTCTGTCTTTGCCCACCCTGACGAGAAGCCGGCACCCTGTGGCAGATGCATCGAGCATGGAGAAATCAATCACTGCGCTTTGGGGAATTCATCTTCAACATTTTCAAAAATGGAATTCCGATGGATCATCAAACATCATCCAGTTAAGAATTCAATGGAATTCATCTCAAAATTGGGATAATCTGTTTCACCATGGTGGTAAACACACAAACACCACCCAAAATCGCCATGGAAAGGTGCCCATTTTCACCACAAAAACCGCCGGTCACCGCCGTCGGACCGTGGCGCGGCACCGTGGCGTTGGGCCTCTTCCACCTTGGCGTTGAGGAGTGGCCACGGCGAGAGATCAGGCTCCTCGGGACATGGACATTTCCGAGCTTCATGAGACCTGAGGATTGAGGACTGATGATGATTTAGTACAAATATATGTACAAATATATGGTAAATCATCATCAAATATTAGTTCAAATATCATCATTTGTATATATATGATTTACCATATATTGATAATACAAATATTAGTACAAATGATATTGTCATCCAGATATCATCTAAATATCATCAATTGATTTACCATCTAGTTATGACTAACATTTTGCCATGGAAAGATCCACCATGCTATTAAGAACGGTAAACCATCTATTTCGATTAGGGCCATGGCTTAACCATGGCTATGTTAGTCATAACCAGAGGGTAAGATATTTATAGTACAAATATTAGTACACATGATATTGAACATCAATATAATATGATATAATATGTTCATAAATCTGTTGAAGATATAAAGAACACATATGATATTGAACATATTTATAGTACAGTATATTGTAAAACACTCTATCATATCAGAATCATACTATATCACATATCATATCATATCATATGATATAAATAATATGATATATTGAACATATCCGAGGGGGATGAAACATGTTGGCGCCAAACCCCCACGTTCGCCCACACCCAAATAACACACCCAAACAAGATTAAATCATATACTTGTCATTAAAGGATGAATGAAAACACTGGCTATACGCAGCGATTCTGACTTTAGGTTTTTAGAATTTAGGGTTTTAGGGTCTAGTTTTTTAGGTTTTTAGGCTTTTATGCTTTTAGGGTTTTTGGGTTTTAGGTTTTGGAAAGTAAAAAACGCTAGCCCTACGCAGGGATTTGAGCATGTCAAAGGATATGCGGGATCCGATGCGGGCAAACGTGGGGTTTGCCGCGAACATGTTTCAAAGCCAAGCCGGTCACAGCGTGCTCCTCTGTCTTCGCCATACCACCTCCCAGTTCAAGGACCGATTGCAGAAGCAGTTGCATCAAAATTGTTATCTGGTTGGTGGTTTCAACCATCTTGAAAAATATGAAAGTCAGTTGGGAAGGATTATCCCATGTTTGACACCACCAACCACTCAAAAAGTCAAACTCTGAAAGCTGAAATCCACTCGCTGTGGATCTTTGGACCTGGATACTCCTCCTCATTGTCCGAAACTTCGTCATCACCACCTAAGCTCATCAGCCAGGAGCCAAAAGATGCCAATTTGGTACCACAGAGAAAGAATTGGAGACCACGACTACAGTGACAATTCCCAATTCCTATCCTTTTTCATTCTTTTCTTCTCCTTTTCCCTTTCATTCTCTTTTATCTTAGGGGTTTCCTGAAACGGTGGTACTGAAAATCATCCATCGTATTTTCGGATTTATAAACCAGCCATTTTGGGGATTCCCCGTGGAAATGGCACCCCCCATTCCAAAGCTTTCGCCCGCGGACAGCGGCCTCGCCAACCACGGTTCCAGCGCTTTTGATCACGCCACATTTCTCGATCGAAGCGGTGACCTTCAGCAAATCAAAAAAACTAAGAGCGTAGACCAAGAAAACTGCAGAAAAAACATGCAGAACCCAAAATCATCCCAAATCTATTCTCAGCATTTATTCAAATTTATTCATATTTATTCATATTTATCCTATCATAATCACTGATCATAATCACTTACATTATCTTATATTCTTTAAAGAAGTGATGGATTTTTCTTGGAGCCCCAGTGCACCTTGACGACCTCGACGCCAATCGCCTGACCAAAAGGACCGCCGCTGAGATGGCGTTTTTGGTTGTCCAGCGATCCAGGATGAACAGATTCATCATATTATCATCATATTAAATACCCTCTGGTAATTTAACATGAACCATGGGGGATTGAACCATGATTTAATGGGATTATATTAAATAGATCCACTGAAAATGTCTGTTTTCTACGGGATTTCATGGAATTGTTCATGGGATTTACCCTCTGGTAATTTAACGTAGCTATGGAAAATATGGCCCAGTCGAAATTGTGGATTTTCGCAGCTAGAAAATGGTGATTTTCCATAGAAAAATGTTAGCCTACCAGAGGGTAGATCCACTGAACATGTCTGCTTTGTATTTCTTTCTAAATGACATGTAATGACATGTAATTACTGTACTGTATATGCAAAGACATGTAAAGACCATATCTGTCCTTCTTTTTTTACATCCCCGCCTTTGCTCCTGCTCGGAAAGACTTTGATGTAGATCTTCGAATCCTTCTCCTCAGATGGCTCAGCTTTTTCGTCGAGTTGAGCGGCAATTGGACTATGTTGGAATGAAATGGACTTAACGAATGGCGCATTCCAAATTTGGTACTGTTGAAATATGTTGAAATCCTCTGGTGAATTTTCAAACTGGTTCAAACTGGTGCACATGTCTGTATTCCTGGCTTCCAAGAGTCTGTGACGCTGTAACGCAAAGCTCTTGTCGAAGTGTCTTGAAACATGTGAGCATTCACGGAGTCCAAAATATCGTCCTTGGTCAAGCCTGCGGACAGGTCGTACATTGTTGTAAATGGTACCCTCTGGTCAACTGTCACATAGCTATGGAAAGATCCACCATTTTTAATGGGTAAATCCACTATTTCGACTGGGCCATTTTCAATAGCTATTTTGACATAACCAGAGGGTAAAACACAGGTCCACAATGGTCCACAATGGTGGTCCACGGCCTTGTCGGTGTCCCCAAGCTTCCATCAAATTCTCCAGTTCGAAGGTACCATCATCCACTTCCAAGCCATCTGGTTGATGCTTCCTGAGCTGCGAAAGGTGCTCTCCAGGCTTGATATCTTGTGTGTATACATAATTCTACAATATATATATATGTACATATATATATATGTATATATGTATATCATACATGATCATGTAATTACATATGACAGAACAGTCAGTATGTATAAGATGGTATCAGTATGTATGGAATTATACGCACATATTTTGACCCTTTGGTGCGGTGCTTGCTTCAGTTCGGCAGTAGGACACTTGGTTGTGCTGTTTGCGAATGCGCCAAGTAGCGGGTATCGCCCGAGGGCACAAAGTGCCTCGGGTCTGCACAGATCTTGAGTGTTTTGTCACAACATATCATCCAGTTCCATCTGATGCGACAAAATGACACATGTCACAAAGGTCGATCTGAATCGACTGTGGGATTTTTCATATTCTTTAATGGGATAATATATATATATATACACATATTACGGGATACAACTAATTTCAATACTCATTAACATATATTAACATAATTTAACCAGTTATTGAATGGACATGTTGAACTGTGCCACGGTGCTGAAGAGATCCGTCGTGTGTTCAAACCTCCACGCGGAGAACGGGAGCGCTTCCTTGGTCGTCCTTCCTGCGGCGAGAGCATGCGACAGCACTTTGGACATCTTCACAAAGTTGTTTAAATATGTTTAAATGATTTTAATGGATCTTCCACTTAGATATCTTAGATGGATTTTCCCTTAGATTCTTAGATTCTTAGCTGTCACAATTGTCTCTTTCCTGCACCATCAACATGTGGAGATGATGCCGATGCCCATTGCCCTGTGAGATCCAGGAACGAAGCTCCTCCCTCCACGACATTGCTCCAAAATCCCAACGCCCTCAACGCCCTCAACGCCCTCCACTTCACTTGAGCCCACTCTGCAGTACGAAAACTGCGGGGAGAGACATTGACAGGATCACCTGGGGAGAAGACAATTGAAGACAATATTTTTTCAAAATTGAACACAAAATGAAATCGAAATTTTAAATTGAAATCAATTGAAACCAATTGCATCTCGACATATCTCGACAATTTCGAAATGACATCGTCACCATCGTCATCTCTCGGAAGAACTTGGCCATGCCATGCAGGGGCCGTTCTCTCTGTGCCTCGTCATCTGTGAGGTTCATCCCCCGCAGGTCAAGAACCTGACCCTCGTCATCTTTCCTTGGCTCATTTGGCACCAGGAGTGACCAGAGGAGTCACCAGGAGTCACCAGGAGTCACCAGCTTCGGGTTTCAACTCATCGAACTGAGATATCGAAGTGACCCAGTTGCTTTGAACATTTTGAAATCAAGGTCGAGTCAAGCGCAGAGTGATGTAAAATGATCTAAATATATCTAAAAATCATCAATCATCCCACCATTTAGCATCAGCATTTGCCAACTTCCCCGAGTCTATGAATCCATATGAATCCACCCTCTGAGACTTCCAACTCCTCATCGAAGCCTGGGACCGGCAATAGGCACCTTAAGGGCGCATAAGGGCGATCGAATCGATCGAATCGATCGAATCGAATCGAATCGATGAATCGATGAATCGATGAATCGATGAGCTGAAGAATTTTACAGTTTGATGTTTCAAGTGTCCGATGATCCTCTACCCATCTCTTTTTCGCAAAAAGCTGTCCGTCAAAAAGCGAGTGCTTTTAATACAAAGCCCTCACAGTGTCATTTGCCACGAAGCAACAACACCCACGGCATTTGCAACAGAAGAAGCGATCAAAGCGTAGACATTGAACCAAAAAGTTTGCTCTTTGGCAAACCATATAGGGGCTTGCCCTGCTACATTCCACATTCTACGATGATAGAAAATAGCCGAGAAATTGTAAATGAAGAGAATGACATGGACAAAGAAGCGTTCTCGAACCTCGTAGAATAATGCACTCATCACACAGAAAGTTGCCAGGACGACATGTAAACAGCCTTGATGGCCCATCAGGCACCAGCGAGCAAAACCTGAGTTGCTCAGTGCCTTTTTTTCTTTCTCTTCGAGCATTTCAAGCATCACTTCTTGTTGGAAGAGCATTGGCAATCCCTGTCCCAGCGAACCCATGGCAGTGAAGAAAAGGACCAATTGGTCGAGCATTTCGCGTCAAAAACTCTCAGAATGAATCAGACTCTGCAGGCTTTCTCTAGACTTGGGGCATAGAAACGAGCACGATGAACCAGAAACGGCTCGCTGGACAGCCATGCACTCAGTTGGCCAATAAAATGCCATAAGTCCCCTTCCACAGAATGACTGGCGAAAATCATAGGGACTGGAACAGAAATCTGGCAATGCAAGGCAACCAAATCGAGATTTTGTGGTGACAACCACTACAGTAAACCCTCTGAATGCAATGGCACCAAGACATGTTGCTTGGTCAACACCTCTGCTTTTGCAAATGCACACGACATTCACCAACATTCTTCATAGGAACGGCTTTGCAGTGCAAAGCACTTCAGCTGGGAAAAAACTTTCTGGATCAGACTCTGTTCCTGATCACATCCGATAATCCACAAGGAATAGTTGGGGTAAAGTTTAATCAAACAACAAACAAAATCGTGATGCACAACAGTAAATTGAGTTAAAAAAAGAGTCAAAGCTGAAACCCTGAGATGCCCGCAGCGCTCCTAAGCGCTCCTAAGCACTGGACTTTGGTGCCTGTGGAATCTTCTTGCGCTTTGCTGCGACCGCTGCATAGACCACAGACACATCACGAGACTCCTGAAGCTTCATTGTCAGACTGAAAAGTCTGTTTGAACAGTCTCGTTTTTTGAGTTCACCACATGATCACTATCAATATCTCATCCATTCCCTAGGTAAAACGCACCAATTCATTGGTTGTGACTAACACTTCGCCATGGAAAATCATCACCATGCTAAGAACGGCAAACCATCTAAACCATCTAAACCATCTATTTCGATTAGGGCCATAATTGGCCATCGAAATCCCATGGATATGTTAGTCATAACCAGAGGCTCGTCACCCTGGAAAACATCATCTCCTCGGCTCCGCGTGGAGGCTCTTTGATACGGGGGCCGTGCCTCAAAATCCCACCATCCCACAGCAGAGAGTGAAAATGGCTATCAAATGTTACATGGCTACCACCAGTATCAATACGTATCAATATGTATCAATATGTATCAATACATATACCTGGGTAAATTTGATCACGACCTCACTGTTCTCCCTCACCGGAATCATGCTTAGGATTCGGGAAATCATCCCCAAATGGCCTTAATTCAGGTTGGTGAAATATCATAATTTACCCAAGATATACATATACAGTACCCTCTGGTTATTTAACATAGCCATGGAAAATAGCCCATTTATAGTGGATTTTCCCATTAAAACCTCCATTTATGAGGGATTTTCCATGGCTATGTTAAATAACCAGATGATATCAATCTTTATAGGCTTTATCACGGCTTTATCATGGCTGAGAAACATATCTATAACATTATACATATTTATAAATATCTTCAAGCAAAAGGAAAATCAAAGTTACACGATGTTATCAGCACTGCTATGGACTACAATTTAGGATTACGAGTGCCATTGAAATCTAGGCAGGATTCACTCTTATTTCAAGGAGTTTCCCAACCACCCAACTTAGGTAAATTACCATCTGGGTTTGTCTGGAAATAGGATACCTCAATGGCTTATCATCATTTTTTCAACAACATGACCATTTTTGAATATTTTTGATATTCTCCATTTTCAGACAAGCCCAAATAGTTCGAACTAGTTGGTTACATAATCTATCCCATTACATCCCCGTTCAAGCTTTATTTGTTGCTTAAATCACATCATCAATCCATGGAAAATCATCAATTTCTTGGAGAAATCCTATGGGAAAATTCATATTGATGCTTAAATCACCAGGATAAATCCATGGAAAATCATCATTTTGTTGGTGAAATCCTATGGAAAATTCATGAAAATTCATATTGATAGTTAAATCACCAGGAAAAAATCCACATTTTCCGAGTTCGTTTCGCTTGGATGCTTTGTTGTTAGCTTGGATCTGCCATGATCTGCCTCACAAGTCGAGGAAGTTCGCGGGCAGCCGTGGTGTGCGGTCTGGGAGGCAAGTCCTCCTGATTTTTTCGGTGACCCGGTGACCCTGTTGGGCCCGGCATCCCGAACACATGAAAATAGGGATTTCACCATCAAAAATGTGGATTTAAGCAGCTTAAATCCTCTGGTTATGACTAACATAGCCATGGAAAATCCCCAAAACAAATGGAGGTTTCTAGCTGGGAAAATCATCTAACAAAAACAACAAAAAACAAGATCCTCAATTTGGAAAACGATCATTTTTTTCTTTTTTCAACACGATTCGAGGCACCTTCATGGTGGCATTGGTGCCATTGAGTTGCCTGCAAGATAGAGAATTCTCAAGCTTTGCCAAGACTTTTTGAGAGAAACCAAAGAATCACCTGGGGTTGTCTCAAAATTCCAAAGAATCTTGGAACCCCCATTCCATTCCCAGATTTACAATCGATCAGTCTCCACATTTTTCAATCGAAAAAACACATGTTTTGCGCCTCGGCTGGGCTGAGCTGAATCTGAGCCGCGGACCGGATATATCTTCGGATGCCTTGAATGCGGTCTTTCGTGCACATGTCATCGATCTTCCAATCCTGGACGGACCAACCGTCCGAAGCGTCACTGGTTTAGGAAAGCCGGGTTTGACCAACGAAAAACGAACAAAAACACGGGGGCTTCCGGTGAATTTTTGCCACCAATTCGATGTTGTAAGAAATACCACACCTGGGAAAATGAGCTGAGACTGGGAAACCAACATTAAACCGATTTAAAGCATAACAAGTATTTACAAGTTATAGAATGTTATAGAAGCCTTAGCCTTATGAAACTGAACGTGGAGAGCACTCCGATAATGGAGGATTGGCCACAACACAACAATACCACAGAGCTAAGGTTCGATGCGACACTGCCTTCGTGGAGCACTGCGGCCTAGCGAAGTCATGCGAAGTCCACGAGTACGTTTTTCTTTCTTCCTTCAATGTATATCAACAACAGTTTCTGACCATTTGACGTCAATCTTGACAGTACACAGCCGAAATTTTACAATGAAACTCAGTCCCATGGTCATCGCCATATCCAAAAGCCTCGAAAATCAATGACTCCCGAAATTAAACCCTATCAAATCTATCAATTCAATGTTTTACTTTACCATGGGCTTCAGTAAGTGATAAAATAATCATTCATGTTTACCATCAATTGATTCGTACCCTCTGGTAATTTAACAGTTCGCTATTGAACATGGCCATTTAGTTCGTTGATTTACCTATTAGACATGGTGATTTTCCATAGCTATGTTGGTTTACCAGAGGGTAATTCACATTGTCAGTTGGTGAAAATCATCTTCCGTCGCTTCCGGTTCGACAACGGGCCTTGCCGCACGAAGTCGCTGGCGGCTTTGCATTTGATCCGATGCTCTGCAATGTTGCCTTGGCGATGAATTCCCAATTCCCATTCAGAATTCCCTCAAGCTTCGAAGAGAGAAGGGTTACCCTATTTTTCTAGCATATTGTAACATATTGTAACTATAGATCATTATAGATCTATTTAGCACAATTTTTGACCAGAACATGCAGCAAGACAGACTTGTGACCTTCCACAGGAATTCTGGAACTTGTCTGACGGCATGTCGTCAAAATATGCGTCGTTTTCCGTTGAATAACATGCCACAACATGCCTTTAGCCGTTTAGCCCATAACATGTCGTTTAGCCTCTCTTGGCATTTTGGCCTCCCTTAGCCATATTTTTCACAAGATCTCTCAATGTTTCACATCAATTTGGCCTGAAACTCAGCCAAACAACTGCAAAATAGAACATCTGGGAAAGAGCAGACATGCTCTAATGAAGCTGTAATCACTCAATCGCCGGGACATGCAAACTCATGCTGCAATGTACTTTGGCTCTTACTATTAGCTGAGTTGGCTGACTTGCAACGTGACATTGAAGTGACTTCAACACAATGATCATCAACTATCACATATTATCACTTTCATCTGCTTTCTGCAATCCTTTGGGTCTGTCACGTGTCCTATCGCCTATCGCCCAAACCTGATTGGTCTGCCAGGATGCTATCCAAGCAATCCTGAGTTCCCCAAGTCAACACCACAAAAGATGGAACACAACAAAAAAAACCAGGTGTAGCAGTGTAACAGCTTCATTTGTCCATTGCATATCAACTCCAGGTTTTCTTCAGATTGCAAGCAACTGTGCCTACACCCTTGCTCTCTACTTCAGTCGAAAGTGTTTCTGTGTACTATGTGCCATATTTTGCCATCAGTTTGCCAGATGTCTGTTTGTTGCAGCATAGATTCGGCAGTGCAAAGCCAAGCACCTCCAGCTCGACCTCAGTTCATTTCATTTCGGCAGAGGAGTTAGGTCCTTGTCAGGTCCTTGTCATGTCCAGCCACAGATTACCCATAGATTACCCATAGATTAGCCAGAGATTCCCCATAGATTAGCCATAGATTAGCCATAGATTATCCAAGTGTTCTCAAAAAAAAATCCCATGAATCCTACTGCGTCATCATGCACTCTGAGCCATCAGGCTATGCTCGTTGCGAAGGAAAGTCTTCGCTTCCTGCACAGAAGCATGGGATCAAAAGTTCGTAGCAACAGTGGGATCAAAAGTGACAAGCACAAAAGTGCTTTTAGCACTACAAAACAGTTGGATACAGCAAAATTCAATTTCAACAGATTTCAACAGATTTCAACAGATCCAATTTTCATATCGGCTTTGGTGAAATCTTTGCACATCGATCGAAGACATCCGACCTGAAAAGTCCCACCAGGTGATACTGGCTCCACACCTAGGCTCGGTATAGCTCAGTATAGCTCGGTGTCGACAACATGTCGACAGTTTCGTACAAATTCTTCAACGCAATAGAAGTGTCACACATCATTTACACAGGACATGAACATAAATTAACAGTGACTAAGCTCACAGAGAAGTGAATCATGCTTCGAATGGAATTGGTATGAATCAATATGAATCAATTATTGATTCATTTTGATTCATATCAATTCCATTCGAAGCATGATTCACTTCTCTGTGAGCTTAGTCAATTGTTAATTCACCAAGTACAACAGACTAGCGCAGCGGCCTCGCAAGAAGGGTGCAATAGGCTGATTTGCAGGAAGAAGTGCAAAACTCCTTGCGGCCAAATGGGTTGCAGTTGCAAAGTGTTGCAAACCGGTGAGAAACGAGACAATCGAGACAAACAGTGATGCAAACATGACGGAGACTGACGAGACATGGCACTTGGTGCACTCGATTTCAACACCATCGTTACTGTGTCCTTGTCGGCTCCAAATCCAAATCCACTTCCACATTCAAGCGAGCCCTGGCCTTGCGAAGACGGGTTGGATGATGCAATCTTTCAGAAAGTATCAAGAGGCTTCTTCAGTTTTTTTTGGGCTATTTTGGACTGGAATCTAACCCCGCGGTTCACACACACACACAACAGTGTATTGAAATACAACACTGGCCTTCTGAGAGTCCTGTGCTTGTCTGGGTAAGGCGAAATCGGCGAAGTCAACATACTGCGGCAACCTTCGTGGCAGACGCCGCAGAGCCCCCGTTGCAAACATCTGTGTTTTACCCGATTTCCATCCGATTCCCGATTCCGATGGCAAAAAACGTTGAGAGGATCCAAAAAAGTGAGAAGATGTGAGATATGTGAGAAGAAACATCCAAGAGATTTCAGTATCAGTTCAGCATAGTTCAGGATGTTCAGGTATCTAGCACTGGGTCCAGCACAGTGATGGTGTGGCCGGGCTGTTGCTGTTGGAGTTCTTTCGAAATGGCGCCGGTGATGTTCGGTTCCTCTCGGGGCTAACTCGAGCGGACATGGGACATGGGACATCGGGACCAGGTATGTGCAGTCCTGATGAGCCAGGTTTTTCCAATATCCGGCACATCCGACTTCTGCCTGGCAACAAAATACACAGTCTCGGCAGTCTGTATAAGTTGCCCCGTTTGCATGATGGTTTCCCGGGCAGGTTCTGGAACATATTTTGGATGCTTCCATACTTTATTTACCTTCATTTCGCTTTGCAGTTACATATGTTAATGGAAACATAGATCACTTGCTTCCACATGTTTTTGCATCAGTCCGAATCATTTTTGCCAGTTTCTAAAAACGGCAACAAACTCCAACCAAGTCAAGCGGCTGTGCGTTGCAGTCGACATTCAACATCTTCTTCTTTGGTTTTGTCGACATTGGCGCCAGTCCCATCAACTTCTCCTCGATGCTGATTTCTTCGTCCACCTGAAAACGCGTTGTCTGCCGTCTGTCCTGCGAAACCGGTGGTCTTTCTGGTCTTCCAGCACAAAATTCACCAGCTCTCATAATGAAAACCCCTGCGCACAGCAAATTGCCTGACCTTCAACTAGATGATATACTCATTGGAAAACTGATGATACACTGATACACCACGTCACTGCGCTGCTCCTCCACTTGAAAGCCCTGGGATGTTGGACACGGGTGACCAAACATCGACCGAACATCGACCACAACATCGACACACATCCACAATGGGTCTAGAGCCCTACAAACCAATCGGTTCATTGGCTCCTATGTGTATTAGATTATTTAGATCAGAATTAGATTAGATTAGATGAGATTTAGCTTAGATTGAGATAGATAATGCAACCATATATATATATACACATATATATATATATGTATATTAGATTAGATCAGAATTAGGTTGGAATAGATTAGATTAGATTAGATGAGATGAGATTTAGATTAGATTAGATTGGATTGGATTGGATTGGATTGGATTAGATTTAGCTTGGATGTAAATAGACAATGCAACTATATCATATATCTAAATTAGATGCGTATTAGATTAGATCAGAATTAGATTAGATTCGATTAGGTTAGATTAGATTTATTTATTTAGATTAGATTCAGATAGATAATGCAACTGTATATATATATATGTATATTCGATTAGATTAGATTTAGATAGATACTGCAACTATATCTATATGTATGTTAGATTAGATCAGAATTAGATGAGATTTCACTAGATTAGATTAGATTAGATTAGATTTAGATAAGCAATGCAACTGTATATATATATATATGTCTATTAGATTAGATCAGAATTAGATTATAGATTAGATTTGATTTAGATTTGACTCAGATAGAAATGCAACTATATCTATATGTATATTAGACTAGATCAGACTTAGACTAGATTAGATCAGATTAGATTCAGATTTAGCTTGGATGTAAATAGATAATGCAACTATATCTATACTATATGCACATTAGATTAGATCAGAATTAGATTCGATTAGCTTAGATTAAGATAGATAATGCAACTGTATATTTACTAGTATACAATATCCGCCGGCCCTGGGCGATGCAGGGGGAGCGCGTAAGGGAAGAAGAGTTTAGTACCGTTAGTGTTATCAATACTGTTAATGCTATTTGTACTATTAGTACTATTAGTACCATTCGTACCATTCGTAGTATTCGTACTATTAGTACTATTAATACTATTAATGCTATTAATGCTATTAATAGAGTTAGTACTATGCTGCTGCTGCTGCTGCTGCTGCTACTCCTACTCCTACTCCTACTCCACTCCTACTACTACTACTCCTACTGCTACTGCTACTGCTACTGCTACTGCTACTGCTACTGCTGCTGCTGCTGCTACTACTACTACTACTACTACCACTACCACTACCACTACCACTACCACCGCTGCTGCTGCTGCTGCTACTACTCCCACTCCCACTCCCACTCCTACTACTACTACTACTTCTTCTTCTTCTTCCTCCTCCTCCCCTTCTTATATAATTAGGTCGTGTTTTGCCCTTGTGGAAGCGTCACGAAAACATATCATGTCTGCTTGGCGGGCTTGGTGGCTGCAAAATTTTGCAGAAAGCTGGAAAAGCTGAAATGTCTATGTTCCTTTTGCTATGTTTTTTGGCACGAAATTAGGTGGTGTTTTGCTGTTGCGGATCATGTCTGCCTGGGGGGCTTGGTGGCTGCAAGATTTTGCAGAAAGCTGGAAAAAGCTGAAATGTCTAGATTTTAGTAGGAATCCAGAAGGGACGTTGGGGACCTTGAGGGGTTCCTTTTGCAATGTTTTGGGTACGAAATTAAGTGTTGTTTTGTTGCGGAAGCGTCACAAAGGCATATTTTGCAGAAAGCTGGAAAAGGTAAAATGTCTAGATATTAGTCGGGATCCAGAAGGGGCGTTAGTGACTTTGAGGAGTTCCTTTTGCAATGTTTTGGGCACGAAATTAGGTGGTGTTTTGCCGTTGCGGAAGCGTCACAAAGGCATATCATGTCTGCTTGGCGGGCTTGGTGGCTGCAAGATTTTGAGGAAAGCTGGAAATGCAGAAACGTCTAGATTTTAGTAGGGATCCAGGCAGCCGCAGCAGCAGCAGCCGCAGCAGCTGTCAGGCGCAAGCTTTTAAATCCGGGCGCCGGCCACGGGCCCGGTGGTAACCGAAGGTTATTTAAGCTATTTAAGCGCTTACGCGCGACAGCCGGCCAGGGGCCCATGTTGAGGTGATAGGGGTCGAGCAGGGAGCAAGAGCTCAAGGCTATGTTGCCCCATCGGGAGGCTATGTCGCTTGGGGCTATCGGGGGGTAGTTGTGAACGGCTTGGGGCTATATGGGCCCATCTTGGGGCTATGTTGGCCTATCTTGCCCCTTCTTGGGGCTATGTTCGCCTATCTTGAGGGCTTTGGGCCCATCTTAGGGCTATGTTGACCCATCTTGGGGCTATGTTGGCCCATCTTGGACCCATCATCTTGGGGCTACGTTGGCCCATCTTGCGGCCTATGTTGGCCCATCTTGACCCATCTTCAGCCACAAACTCCGAAAAATGCGAAAAATTGAGAACAGCAAAAAACGCCGTAAAACGCGGGAGTTTTTGATGGTACGCGGTGGTCGGCGGCAGGGGCGTGGCCGGATATGCGCTGCCCCCCCCTGCAGCACAATTTTTTGTTGGCGAAAGTAAAAGGCCGTGGTTTTTACGTGGTTTTTGGTTCCGCAGAAAGGTCCTGGAAGGAAAAATGGACATCTTGGAGGTCTTTCAACAGGGATGGTCTCACATATCGCCAGCATAGCCTCAACATAGGCCCCAAGATGGGCCAACATGGTGCCAACATAGGCCAACATAGGGCTAAGACAGGGCCAACATAGGCCAAGCTAGGGCTAACATAGGGCCAACATAGGCCCAAGATAGGCCGAAGACAGGCCCAACCTGGCCTAACATGGGCCCAAGGGCGAAGTGAAAAAACGTGGCTTCTGTTTGCAATCGCACAGTCGACGAAAAATTCGACGATGTATAGAAACTTCATGCTGGTTATATATAGCATGGAGGTTGAAAGAGACCCACATCAGGTTCCAATCTGAACTCATGATTGCACATTGTCCATCATTGTCCTGGAAAATGTTCATGATTTCCGCATCTCGCGCCCATCGACTTATTTACAGACTTTCTGTGATCGGCGACAGGGGGCGTAGCCCTTCAATCCGGGATGGTCTAAGATATCGCCACCATAGCCTCCCCTGCGCGCAACATGCTCCCAACACTGCCTTCCGGCCGTTTCTCTGCCGGCGCCCGGCTGTCAGGCGTAAGCCCTTACATCCGGCGATGCGCCGTGTTTGTGTAGCGATACGCCATAGCTTTAGCTACCCGGGGTTGCGCCCCATCCGCTGACCCCCACACCCAAATCCTTCACTCTACGTTTTTGGGCGTCCGGGGCCGGGAAAAAAGATGCCAAAATTATAAGATGCTTTTGGCAGTTGATTCCGGCCGTTTCTGAGCAATTTTTTGACGATTTTTTGCTGCGCCCGGGAAGCAAAAACATCGCAAAATACAGTGTTTTTGTCCTTTCCGCATATAGAAACTACATCTTGCAACATGGCGAAAGCTGCGTAAACACCAGTGTTCAAAAAACATGGTAAATACCGTGATTTTGCTACCAGAGGCAAACAGCATCGTAAATACCGTGGTTTTGGGCTTCCAAAGCGCAAAAAACATCAGTATTTACAATGTTTTTTGCTTCGGGAGTGTCCAAAAAATGCGAAGACACCACCTATTTGACGATTTTTAGGGGTCCACAAAAATGCGAAAATATACAACAACAACAACGACGACAACGACGACAACGACAACGACAACGACAACGACAACGACAACGACAACGACAACAACAACAACAACAACATCAACATCAACATCAACCACAACCACAACCACCAACAACAACCACCAACAACAACCACCAACAACAACCACCAACAACAACCACCAACAACAACCACCAACAACAACCACCAACAACAACCACCAACAACAACCACCACCACCACCGCCACCACCACCACCAACAACAACAACAACAAGAACAACAAGAACAACAACAAGAAGAAGAACAAGCACAAAAATGCGACAAAAAGATGTGTGGTAAGATGGTTGCAAGCTGCGGTATGACAAGCACACCACACTGTGCTCTGCACCTGCGCGCGCGCGCAGAGCACATGAACAACACCAACGCTCACACTACTATACATAGCCCATCATAGCCATAACTTATGGCATCGCCGGTGTGCGAAGCTCTACAATGAATGTATACTGCTATCATAACCAATCCTTTTACCCTCTGGTAAACTAGCATAGCTATTGAAAATTGCCATTTATAGTGGATTTACCCATTAAAAATGGTGATTTTCCATAGCTATGTTAAATTACCAGAGGGTATAGCTGTCAGGCTGCCCAATAAGGTCAGCTAAGTTAGTGTACTGCACCCGCCTCCTTCAAACCTGTCAAGGTCACTGATCGCCTTCTGCCAGCCTTGCGCCCGTCCAGAACTCTGCCCAGGTCGCAACTTGGATCAGTTTTCACAGAAATAACATGTCACATACTGTGGATGGAAGAAATCCTGCACCACCTTGGATGGTTGAAACCCTATAAATAATGGGGTAAACCATCTATCAACTGGCGCAGGATTTCTTCCATCCACTGTATGTCACACATGTCACCACAAAACTCGATTTCTGGAGACCCTCTTGTTCGAGATTCTTCCACTTCCACCATTTTGACATCGGAGTTCTCTTCCCAAGCCCACTTCGCGTGCCTCTTTTGACATCGGTCTTACGTTGGAGGTGGGCATCACAGTGTGGCGCTTCAACTGGGCAAGTTGGATTGAAATTCGCCCATCCGTTTCTCGAAACTGAAGGATGTAGGATGAAGTAGAGCAGGCCATGCTTTCAGAATTCACCATTTTTCATGTCCATATCATCAATCTTCTGCGGCACAAACTATGCAGTGGTCAACGTTGATTGCCATCGAAAACTAAACACGTAAATCGTCACGTAAAGCATGAAAGAAAAGGCCCTGTGCGATGCACTGCTGGGAGAGATACTGCAGAAGCGATACCAGAACCAGCACTCGAATAGCAAGTTCTCACAGTAAACATACAAGTTGTTCGGTCCAGGTGAAAAGGTAAAAGGCTTGTTCAACTGATGTACAAGACAACTTTCTCGTGAAGTGTCTGGCGAACTTTTGATTCGAACCTCCACCATTGATTCACAAGCTAAAACTTCCGTACACTACCAAACACACACACACAAATGCAAGGGTTCTGCAAAGAAATTTCTTGACATCTGTAACCAGTGGCTGTGTTCTCAGAACACGATGTCACATTTTGATGAATAAGTGTGCATGAGATTGCATAAGAGTAGAAGAACTTTTTTCGGGTGCAGAAGTGTCATGCCATCACATATCCTGACCGTTGTTCTTCGTCCATCAACCCAAAGGATTCGGCCTGCTTCGCATCATCCGGATCTGCACAAGTCACAAGCCATGGTTTGAGGCTGGGGGAAATTTCTTCTGTGGGCGGGCGATGTGAGAAAGGAGGGAAGTAGATGATAGAATGACGGAATGCGTCGGAAGTCTTTTACACTCTGGAAGTTATGGGCGCAAGATAATAATTTTTGGGCGCAAGATAAATTATATAGAACATTATAGAACTAATTCACTCACCTGAAATAAGGCAATATTCGGAGAATCCTTCCTAACTATCATTCCAGTGAGCTGCGGCATCCTGCCTTTGATGGATGCGCGCGAGTTGCCACGACCTTAGAGGCGTGGCGGATCGTGGCGGCGTAGAAGAACACATGCCCTGTGTCTCCAAGAAACCCGAAGATCTATGAAGAACGAAGCTACATGGAACATCACGACTATCATTAGTTTGGTTTTATGACCCAGGTCAGCAGAACCTGGATCTTGACGATCATTTTGTCTTTTTTTCTCAGTCACTTAGGTACGTGCGAAACATGGCTTCTTCCTTCTAGTTCAATTTTGTTATCATTTTCTTGTCATTTGGTTGTGTGTCGCCTTCTTTTGTCAGTTGGATTTGTAAATTTCCTGTCATTTCTTCAGGCTCTTCTGCCAATGCCGGGTTCCAACAAAAAGAGAAATGACAGAAACTTGGTAGTAGTGGTAGTAGTGGTAGTAGTGGTAGTAGTGGCAGTGGTAGTAGTGGTAGTGTGGTGTAGTGGTGGTGGTGGTGGTGGTGGTTGTGATCGTCGTCGTAGTAGTAGCAGTAGTAGCAGTAGTAGCAGTTATTGTTGTTGTTGTTGTCGCCGTCGTCGTTGTGTAGCGTGGTGCGGTTGAACTCCAAAAGCGGTCCGGACAAATGATAGAACAAATGCAAGCGACAGAAAAACGACCATGACAAATCACAAGACCTGTCAAAAAAATGACACGTAGCAATGCCAAAGAGATGTCAAACACGTGACAAAAATAAAGCTTTGCTTTCACTCAGAACTTGCTTGTAAGTAAATCATAAAATTAGTTAAGCCATAGTTTGGTTTGCCATAATGGATTGGCATAGCAACTTGATGCATTTCCGTCTGCCGGACCTTCTAGCTCGGGAGGTTGCCTCAGGAAAGGTACATTAATTTGGTTGCTTTCTCCACTCGGAGAAAGATGTCATTCTTAGTGTTCCTTGATGTTCCTTGTACAAAAACACAACCAACACATTCACCCAGTACCAACCGCCACCAAAGTGACTCACATTGGCGCGCTTCGGAGAAAGCATGTTGTCTGCCGTGGCCTGTGGAAGCCATGGGACATCATGGGACATGCGCAGAGAATCGCTTGCTGCGAGCCCAGCCCTGAGACAGTCGCAAGCCACGCGGTCCTGTTTTGACAGGACATTTCTTAGTCAAATTGCCTTGAACATAAATGACATCCGCGAAGGCCACAGCATTGATCCGCAACCGCTTTGTGATCAAAACAGCTGACTTTCAATGTGAACCAACACTTTCGATGGCTGGCTGCATTGAACCAAGAAGCCTTGATTCATCTTATTGTTGTCAAAAGTCAAACTGGTAATGATGTGGTCAGCTTGAAATTGCCTACGATGACACGTGCTGCCAGCAATTTCTGGCAGCCGTCATGAAGGAGGAATGCTCCTGCAGATTCTGCGAAGCTTTAAATCTGCACTATGACGACAACCATGTTTTGGCATCAAATCCTGAAAAATACCAACAAATCGACTGAAAGACCATCAATAAAGATTGCTACCGCGCAGAATTTTGAGCAAAACCTCTACGTAGGGCTTAGAAATTTCTCAGTGCTCGGTACAATGGTGCCTTTTTTGTCAGACCTTCATCAGAAATATGATGCATCTGACCAAACGAAATGCTGAAATCGAAACCCGAACACAGAGATATGAATTCAGCGCAATCAGCAAAAGGCTTCTCGACTGTGCGTCTTGGAGTGCCTGAAGCAAACCATTGGGACAAATTGAACATCTGTGGAGATGGGCATGTTGTCGCATGTTGTCGCCTAGGTCTAAGTTTATTTCGCAGCTCTTAATGTTTTTTTTTTCAATCTTTTGTTGGCATGTCTGGTTCGTCGTCTTGTGGAAAGAACACAATCAAATCATGCTGAACATTCAATCGAAAACATGGCACACTGAACCCCATCAGTTGGCTGCGTTCTGCCAAGGGTCAACGACTACGCTGAAGCCATTGGGAAGCAGGTGGCAAAGTCCGATTTTGGGTGCTTGCTCTCGGCATGAGCCTGTAGCAGAAGTGCCGCATGCTAGGCGTAAACGCACCAACTTTGACCTTCGAATTCAACTGCCAGTTGCCGGCCTCATGCAATGCCCATTCACACATCAATATGTCAAGAGTAGATGCCAGTAGATATGCCAGAAATTTACTAGTGCTGCTACTATATGTGTATAATCATTCATATATTCATATTCATATCATTTGATATCTCAGATCTGAGAATATATGTTAGATTCAGAGCGTCTGTAGGAGAACAGGTCAAAATCTATACTAGTTGGTGGTTTTAACCATCTTGAAACATATTTTATAGTCAATCGAAAGGATTATTCCATATATTATGGAAAATAAAAACCATGGCTCCAACAAGATCTCCGACCAGTGGGTCCATCTTGCGTATTGCGGCAACTCCATGCGGTTGAGTCCAAAACATCAAAACATTAATCCACAGGTGCCAGTTGTCTGGCTTTCTCCTTGGCGACGTCTTGCCACACATGGATAACATTCAAAGGCAAGTTCATAACATTCAACGAAGCATTTCACAGTTCGCCACACAAGATACGACACCGCCTCTGCCAAAACCGTCTTGGGTGGATAACAGTTTCACGTTTTCGATACATTTGTCAATAGATTGGTTTAAGGGAGAATCTTAAGCGAAAATGGCGGAAACTGTAGATTTTCCCGTAGATCTCAAGATCTCAAGTGCCTGAGCCGCTTTCGTCTGAGTGCTGGGGAAGCACTGCATGCAGACGGAGCCTCGGTTGCTGTGTAATGCTATGCGATCGGCCTGGCTGCATTTGTGTTGCATGTCACGCATGTCAGGCATGTCAGAATTGTCAGGCATGTCAGGCATGCATCATGTCATGTTATGCATGTTGTATGCATCCAGATGCATCCAGATGCATCCAGATGCATCCAGATGCATCCGTTTGACACCAGGGAACACTTCAAGTCCATCTGGGCTTGTCGTTTCGCCATCCTTGGCCAAGTTGATGACGACATCATCGGATGACGTACATCATTCTACAAAAACACTTCACTGGGTGACCATCCATCAAAACATCCAAAACATCCAAAACATCCATGGTTTTACGATGTGAGGGTCATCTGATCTGATTATCTGAGCTCGCGAACCCCTCCTTGCCGCCACCTCCGCCCTGGCGACACAGAAAGCGACACGTACCACGTACGTCACGCACGGATGGTCGCCAGCCAGGGGGAAACACGCAGAAAGTGAAATGAAGAAATACGAAGAATCCAACTAAGCAATACTTAATAGAAGTTAAATTTTAGTTTACTTACTGATATTTACTGATGTTACTGTTACTTAGTTACTTAAAGATTTACTAAGACTGAAATAACATCCTTCATAACACTGCAATTTCGAAATCACATCACGCCCTAACTATTGAGACAATTTGATCCTGTTCATTCACATCCAGCATGTTACACTGTTACACTGTTACACGTGTTGCCTTTGGATCTGCTCAGTCTATGCTGCTTTATCACAGGATTTGGGGAACAAGTATCCACTGTACCATACTGGCCAGGTTCAGCCATATTCATATTCATTTTCCCATATTAAAATAGCAATTTTCAATCCATTGGATGATGGGGAACTCCCCGTTTTTTGGGCATGGAATTTTTATATCATAAAATCAGAATTTTGGATCAGAAAAAATCCCCAACGGTGGCGAAATCCCAGCATTTTCTCAATTGAGAAATCCTGGCCTTCTCGGCGTCTGCCTTGGCTTGGTTTCGGGCCCGCGCAGTGGCTGCCTTCTGTCCGTTTCCACCACCCATGATGCCTCGAATTGACGTGTGACGCATCGTGAAGCGATGAGGCGATGAAGAAACACCGAGGAAAGATCTTCCGAGATTTGTTAAAAGGAGATCTTTCCAATTTGTAAGATAGCAAAGATAGCAAAGATAGCAAAGATAGCAAAGATAGCAAAGCTGCAAGCTATGGGCCCCAACATGCACCAATGTTTTTCCATTTTTGTGTTTCGCATGTCTCGCACTCCCATAGCAGCAGCAATAGCATTTTGTTTAGTTGAGGATCAGAGTCGTGCAGAAAACCACGGCTTCTTGCACCAAGAAACTCCACACGCTGGACGCTTGTAGACTGGAAAAGGCTGCGCTTGCTACAAAGCCAAAGGCACAGAACGGGCGATGCATGTGATGCTGGCTTCATAAACATCAACTATGCCACTGTCCGCGCCGCTAAGCCACTGTCAGCAAACTGTCTACCATTGTCCAAATAGAAACGGAGAAACTCAGCTTAAATCTTTAAGGATTCTCGAAGCTCATTCATCTCATTCTATATACATTTTAAAGATAAAGCAAATTCCCACTTAAATTTACTGCACCAACTGGCGTATGGCGTATGCTGGCTATGCTGGCCTGAAGCTTGTCGTTGTCGATGGTAAAATCCGCCTCCATGGTGTGCGCCGCCTTGTGAATCGCAGAGGTTGCTTTGATCCGCGAGTCCATCGCCAACCTCGGAACCAGAAACGGTTGGAAGGGATGAAGATGGATGAAGTGTGAACGCTGCAAACCTCACCAAATTTCCCCAGTATTTCCCAATATAATAATCAACATATATCAAGATATTTCAAAATAGATCAACATATCATTTCAAAATCATGGGATGACTGAGAATTGAATGAACCATCAATTGAAATGTCGGCCAATGCTAGGTCTCGTGCGCTTTAGGTCCTTGGTTCCAACAGAGGGTCAATACGCAGGATTTCACCAAGGATCTGCTCTCGAGTCACATGACCATGGAAAAGCCCTCCAGTGGCGAATGATGGCGAAGTACAATCAACAGAACATGTATACTAGTATAAATGAAACTTTCCCGAAATGAGAATATCAGAATACCCCACATCAAAAAAAACACCATTTTGTAGCTGGTTGGTGGTTTTTCGCCACCCCTCTGAAAAATGATGGAGTTCGTCAGTTGGGATGGAATGACATTCCCAACTGAATGGAAAGTTATGAAAATCCATATGTTAACCAGGTATTTCCATATTTTAACCATATATGGAAAAAACTACCAAGCAGTCTAGTATCTGGGTAAATTATAATAATTCACTAACCTGAATTGTTGGGCCATTTGGGGATCATTTCCCCTACTAACTATGATTATAGTGAGGGAGAACAGTGAGGTCGTTATAATTTACCCAGATCATATTAAATCCCCTCTGGTAATTTAACATGAACCATGGGGGATTGAACCATGATTTAATGGGATTTCATGGAATTGTTCATGGGATTTACCCTCTGGTAATTTAACGCTTTTGGCATCCCCATAGGATTTTCCACTGCCAGAAGGATGCTGCATGCTGAGGCGTCCACGAGCTCGTCCCTCTGGTGCTGTTTGGGCCCTACGAAAAAAAGGACTGCCATTGGGTCAATGGGGGTCAATGGGGACGCGGTTGAGTTTCAATCAATGAATACCAGTTACTAGTATCATTCAACTAATATCATACGAATGTCGATCATAATCTGGTCAAGTTCAGTGAATGTGAAGTAAGAAAAACTGAAAACCAGCATCTACTCTTGAAGAGCACGTAGTGAACATGGCACTGCAGAAGCCCACCTCAAAGCCGCAGGGGATATGCAACTTGTGGACAGACCACTAGGACCAGTAGCACCAGTAGGACTCCTGGCAGCTGTCGTTACCGTGGCATCCCATCCCTGGCACGAAACTCTCCGACAAAGCACGGCCCGGCACCTGGGTTGATTCGAAAAATCCGTTGTAGCACCAAACCTCCGTGGATCTCGGGTTCAAAGCAGGTGTCAGCGGTAGAAAATGCTACCCTTCTCTGCTGCATATGCCTTGAAGGACAATCTTTCCTGCAGAAAAACATAGGAAAACCAATGACCCTCGACAGCATTCTATCATATTCCATCATCTATCAATCATCTATCAATCATCTATCAATCATCTATCAATCATCTATCTCACATGTTTCGCTACTGTTTACTTCTGAGATTTTTGACCCCATATACCCCATCTCGCGCACGCCTTCGTTCGAGCTTCGGCGCAGAGGCAGCGACTTTGGCCGCACGCTTTGTGGCTGCTGCCGGCTCTTCTTTCGGGCCCTGCCGTGACACCATGGACAGTGTCGGACACCGTGGACACCGTGACGCTGCCACACGCAGGTCGTATCGAACACCGTGTATTGGGTGAACTGGTGAACTAATATTTCATTGTCACCTCCATACCTCACTTGGTGGGTGCTACTTCGCAAAGGAAACACTTCAATCCAGTCGAGCGCAATGAATGAATTTGCAATTTATAATTCTAGGTCCTTTGTGGACATCAAATCAACAAGCCGCTTTGTTCTATTCTGGTTTAGACATGTTTAGGCCATCTGAATGACAATCTATTTCAATGATTTCTTAATTTATTTAGATAACTTTTGTAACTTCCAATGACAAAAAATTCTCGGTGAGCTTCGCATGCCTTGGATCGAGGGGACGGCGAACTGCAATGAGAGGAGCCCCTTGGGCTGTTGAGGCTGAAGTCATCTGCGGAAGCCCGGCACCGCGACAGGGACGACAGGGACGACAGGGACGATGGTCCATTCTTTCTGATTGCGGTCTGACATGGTTAGAATAATGTTAGAATATGTTACTAACTGTTAGAATGCTCTGATATGCTCTGATTCTGACAGTGTCCTTCGATGTGCTTCAATGTCCTTCGAGAATATTTTTTCGGCCTGGGGTCTGCTTCAATGGGGTTCTGCTTTCAGCAACTTATCGGGCCGCCCTGTGAAATTCCCACAGACCCACAGAAGTCCAGTTGTGACCTGGCATATCTTTCATCTTGGCACTACTGTTGGTGAGGTTCCACCACCAGGCCTCAACAGGTTGGAAGATGTTGGAAGATGTTGGAACTGGCTGATAGGTTTCATAGGTTTCATAGCTTTCATAGGTTTCAGATATGGCTTCAGAAATGGCTTCATAATTCAGATCACCACATGCTCTTACTTTGGCCTGTTCCATGGTAAGAGTTATTCTGACAATGTCATGTCGAAACAGAATCTCTTTGGAAAATGTTGAGAACACATGGTGACACATGGGTGTCTAAAATCGGCTAACCTGCTAAAATATGTTGCTCTATCATCATATTTTCCAGCTTTTCTTTACATCTTTTGAAGATTTCCATATATCAATGGCCATTGAAATGCCATTGATATCATCATTTTACGGGTGTCCAACAAAAATCTTCACCGAACTATCCTAGCCGGTCCCAGCCAGCGATTTCGCTGCCGCCTCCCGAGCATGCTGAGCTTGTTGAGAACGTGGAGTCTCCAAGGCGTCAGGCAAGCGGAACTTTTCCTCAGGCCTCATACATCGTTGTCCGGACCAAGAGCGGGCTGCAACATGCTGTAACTCATACCCTCTGGTAAATTAACATAGACCCTGGCACTCATCGGGGTTGGAAGACTAGTTTCCATGAAACATTGGTGATTTTCAGGGTCTATGTTTATTTACCAGAGGGTAATATGATGATCCCATGAAAAAAAGTGCCATATCATATTGTGGCATATATCTATCAGATTCTATCAGTTGTCATATTAACTGGGACCATTCATAGAATTTAACCCTAAAAATTCAAACATATATCAGACCTTTCCTTCGGAGTACCGCCGCTGGCGTGCCGCCTTGCGGATAGGTGGAAGACTAGCCATTGTAACCTCCGGCACGCGCCAAGGATCAGTTCTTCCACTTTGTTCCACTTTGTTCCACTTTGGCAAAGCGGTGGATCATTGATAATCATTGTCATCCGCTCTACCCAACGATAGTGTGACAACCTGAAAACCTTCGATGATCGGTGAATGTTTTCCAGAGAATCACCGATCATCATGATCATCCACTCCGGCCAAGTTGTCCAATAAATTGCTGCCTCAAGTGCAGAAATTGCTGCCGCTTTTCCTGCGCAATGACAATGCCTTTTTTAGAATTCCATGGTGTGGTTTAAACCATTATTTATCCATTTTTCATGAAGTCACCAAGAGCTTCCCAATTCAAATCCGTATGGGTTTGTCTGGAAATAGGATCTTTTATTGACTTTATTGCATACTAGATTAAATTCTCCATGAAAAAATGGGTTTCAGCCACCCATTTTCAGCCCATTTTCAGACAGAGCCATAGATGCCATAGATGCCATTCCGCATTCGTTTCAGGCTGTCGCACATGTTTTTTTTTCAGTCCTGGATGATGGCGTTGATGCACCGAAGCAGCCGATCCACCGGAGTGATGTCAGACTGACGCCGCGAGCACGGCAGTCCCAGAGATCTTGGAATGGTTAAGAGCTATCAATCAAATGCCTGTCATCAATTGCCTGATCCAAATTTGCAGAATGTTTAAACCATCAATTTAACATATATATATTTAACATATTAGTCTGAAATTCTTCCTTTGGACCTCTGACACATTTGATCTGCTGGCCTTGCTGATGCTGCGGGTATCTGAAGTGATATTGCTCACCTCTGCGCGCAAGGGAATGCAACGTATGGTCCGTATGGCCCTTGCCTTCTGCAGTGTTGTGGATTCTCGTCCTGAAACTATCTATCAATTGCATTCAGCTGGTTCTATCGAATCAAAAAACGAGGGCGTTCTTGGCTGCCCGACCGCAATAATCAAACGTTGCAGACTCAAGTCCTTTGGCTACCAGACAAGGTCATCTGAGTCATCCCAAGCAGAACAGCAGCACATGCTTCACGGCATGTATGTCTTTATAATTTATAATTATATCTGAATATTTTCCAGCAAGTCAGCAATAATTCTCTATGATTTTACCATATTTTACCATATTTTACCAAATTTAACCATGTTTTACCACATCCCAAAGCTATTCCCTGTACGAAATTCGACACTTTCACCTCCACTGTGCCGTTTCACCGTGCGATTTCGCGTTTCGCGTCACGGCGTCCTCGGACTGTGCCACTGCCCAGGCCGGGGTGAAGTCCACCTCAGCCATTTCCTGCAGGTCACCAGGAATTGGAATCAACACCAGGGATGATATAATGATGGTATTATACCGTAATAGTACCATATAGTTATAATAATGAATAGTTAATTATGGTTAGTTATATCACTATACATAGGGTTAGTTATATCACTATAGATCACTATAGTTAGTTGAGTAGTTAATGATGCAACTGGTGATATATCTTATAACCAACCAACCAACCAACCAACCAACCAACCAAAATAGTGATATATATATATATACAGTACATATATATATGCCTAACACCATCATAACATGATATGAATATTATATAATATTATCTGAACTTTTGGTTGACATATAAACATATCTGAAATTATATGAATCTATATGAAACATAATCAAGATTAATAAATTTCATGACAGTGTTTCAAGTTTGTCATCTCGGGTGAACTTTGCTGATGGCCCGGTCCACATGGTCGACAGCATGGCGCCGAAAAAGACTTTTGGAGCGCAACAAAGAGGGATCTGGCAGATCTTCCTGGTGCCCAGAAGAACTCCCCAGGACCAAGCAATTTGGGTCACGGAAGGTTGTCATATATTTCTTCCATTATGTATATATATATATATTATACAGTACAGTATCTCTAAACAAGTCTGTTAACATGTGGATGTAGATTATGAAGATGGGATGGGACAAGGGATGTTCAATTTGGAGACGGAAGTCTCTGGAAATTTCTGCATCAAACACTCCCCGATCATCATCTCATCCTGCCAGGTCTTAACCCTCCTGAGATCTGGTTGAGCTTAGAAAAAAAGCGCACGAACACTGCGCACCTCGTGTGATTCCTCTGAAGAGAAGTCACTACTGGAGCTGCCTGCAGGATATTGCAGGATCTGCAGGACAGGATGGCACTTCTGAAGTGAATGCCTGGTGAATATTAGGTGAAAATGATGGTAGAATAAAGTAGAAATAAGTAGAAATAAGTAGAATATGCCTGGTGCTTTATCATCTTTATATATCTTTATCTTGGTGATGTAACATCGTGACATCGTGACAGTCGTCTAACAATGGTGGGCACTTCCGGGCACCGGGCCTTCCGATGTCTCATCGGGTGGCCTCTCTGGCTTAGCCTCTGACATCTTGCCTGCGCAAAGAACATTCAACATCGCAGCGAATTCGGGTGTATTTTCTTTGCACCGCTTTTGAAATGGGACTGGACACACAAATCTCTTCTTCAACTTTGCAATGTTTGTGCAGGTTTTTGAAGTGTTCCCCAAGTGAATTTGTGACATCACGCCACTGCAGTTTGTCACGACTCGGTGTATCCCCTTCACCAAACTGGTGTTTTTTCCGGCAACAGCAACTAGCCTCCAGCATTCGGGCCCGGGGCACCGCTGGAGTTTCTGTCCAAACACACCTGAAATTGCTATGTATTGCCTCTTTCCAAGACATCAACTGTGAAACTTCAAGAACTCCGAGGTCTGAGTAGTTTCAAGGAGTGCTGGGACTGTAGCGATCTTACGAGGATTCAGCCAACATCTTTCAGTTGAACACATTCATAGACTTGCTACCAGCCATTTCCAGCCATTTCCAAATATTTCCAACGGAAATGTGGTGGATTTGACATGGACACTTCGCGAAAGTGGGGAAAATTTCGGTCACCTCTTGGCTTGGCCAAGTGGAACCATCGTGGCTGCAGCGAGGTGGGCTGCGAGGGGTTGTGTTCTGGTCAAATGTATCTGAAAAATGATGTGAATTGATGTGGATTTCATATGTGAATTGATGTGAATTGATGTGAATTGATGTGAATTGATGTGAATTGATGTGAATTGATGTGAATTGATGTGAATTGATGTGAATTGATGTGAATTGAAAGATGTTTAAAAGTTGAATCATCAATATCATCATTAATATTAATATCATCTTTTTTTGAATCTCATAACTCTTTGCCAAGAAAAGGACCACACCATGACACCATGACACCATGAACCATCCAACTTCTTTCTGTGCCAGAAACATGTCGGCAAGGCAAGGGGCCAAGGGGCCACGCGGGGGGCACCTCTAAAGTTGTGGCCAGGTCGCGCATGGAGTTCACAGCCTCTGCCTACCAAACTGACCCCGGAACCCACTAGTGGACTCCTGGAAGAATCATGGATTTTTTATGGAAGAATTCGGAGAAATACTAATGTTCAAAAATATCACCAAAAATAAAGAGGATCATTTAATGGGCTTAAATCTCACTGCAGTGTCACTGAATCTCATAATTCATTAATCTGCTCCTTTTGATGAATTTGCTGCCTCTGCAGGATCGTTTTGGACGGCATCTTCAAAGAAGGCGTTGTAGGATCCCAGAGAGTCAATGGGAATATCTGCAAGCACCTCAATTTGATTCAACTCTCACGTCTTTTCTTTTCTGGAAAGGATGACGAAAAACAACTGGCTGCTCCGACGTTTGGATTGAGGACCGCATCCTTGCGTCGACAGAAGCGACAAATGCCGAACATCTGAATCTGTGGACTCAGAGCAAATCTGACATTCGTCCGAGCATTTTTGTTAGGTGAACGGAAGCATCTGTCCACTCAGAAATCTTCCAATATCTTCCAATGCTCCTCCGAGGTCTTAAAATAATTTTATAGTCTTCTCATGTTCATCGTCACTGGCCGACATTGAATGCATTAAGACTGTGGAACATCAGGTCTTGAAACCTGCACATCATTTCAACTCTGCATCTAATCTATCCATAATCTAGTATCTTATGGCATATCTTATTTAATATCCACTTTTTTTGTGTCCGACATCATAATCCTTATGCATCCATATGGAGGTTTCCTCATGTTTCCTCTGCTTGCAGCCCCTAGTTATCATCATTAGATTGGGATTTTCCTTACCATCCAGCGATAAAGGGGTACCCCCATGACTATGGAAACATATGGAAACCATATCTGGTTGGTGGTTGTCCTACCCCTCTGAAAAATGATGGAGTTCGTCAATTGGGATGGAATGACATTCCCAAGTGAATGGAACATAAAATTCCATGGTTCCAGTCACCACCAACCAGCATCTTCATACCATGAACACATTCATCCACATGGAAACCATATAGCATGACTATGGAAACCATATGGAAACCATATGGAAACCATATGGAAACCATATGGAAACCTATCCATATCTATCCATTGAAAAATCCTTAAACTGTCCTCGGCCACTTCGAAGCGGATGGCCAAGGTGTCGACCATCTCCAAGCGCCGGCCGTTGGGGCCTTCCAACCATTTCTTGCCGTCGTAGCGGATGTCCACCAAAGTGATGCGATCTTCGGTGACGTTCAACGACCTGGATGCGGATGAGTAGATTCTGCAGGTATATTACCCTCTGGTTATGTCAAAATAGCTATTGAACATGGCCATAGAAATAGTGGATTTTCCCATTAAAAATGGTGAATTTCCATAGCTATGTTAGTTTACCAGAGGGTAAACATATAATAACCATATATTAACCATATATTAACAGTATATTAATCCTATAATAACCACCAACCAGGAATGTTTCCCCCTTTCAAATTATCGGCTGCTTGTCTGATCTCTCGCTTCGTGAAGATGTTTTTTATCGTTGTTTCCATTTCGCAGTGCTTCATATTCAAACCTTGCGTTGCGCTGCATTGCTGAATGCTCAGTACGACGGATTTTGACGGGGTCTCACCTGGAGATGTCTGCAAGGAAGGCGAACTCATTAAATTCCTCCAGTGGAATAAAGATGACCTTAGCATTCAACAGCTTGGACACACTCCAGGCCCATGTCAATGTCAAAACTAGTCACTTTTTTTTTCCGCATTTTTTGGCTGTTCAATAGTGAATAATGTGAATAACATCTAATCACAGGCTTTCAATGGCCCCCCAACAAAAAGAGCATTTTCAAACTGTGGTAGACCTTTACAATCAGAACAAATCAACGTATGACAATGACACCAGGTCGACAACATCACCTCAACATATGACCAGATGCCACTTCTGCGATGATCACTTCCAACAGCATCAGGATGGCAACTCCTCGACCCGTCAATCCACCTGGCATTCCTGGCGCAACCAGAATTATCAGAATTTGGAAGTCATTTCCAGCACATTTCACCTCCAGATACCTCCAGCATTGGAAAAAAAAGAGGAATTCCCCATGCCTCGTGTCATCATGTAGAGCCTTGGCATAGCAGGTTTTATGCACAGCCACAGCAAAAAGGCCACATCACTGTGCGCCAAGGGACATGAGACCATCTCGATCCAGGAACATAGCTCCTGGTGCGCTGAAGGGCGCGCTACGACTTCTCCGTGAAAATTTTTCCCCAGGAAGTAAGACATCAAGGTGATACTTCCTCTTTTTGTTTGGCTCATGACCATTAGCAGCATTAGCATCCCCGAATCATATGACATGCATCAATAATCATCAATATGTATCATGAATATCATCTTTTTTTGCCCATGACAGCAAGTATGACATAACATGACATGTTACATGACCATTCAAAAAGGGATCAATCCCAGTATTTGCAGCTGCCCATGACCGTTTCCCCACATGGAACCCAGCATTTTTTCCACGGCCCTGAGGCCATCTGAGGCCATGACCGTGGCTATCACCTGGATTGGGGATGGCGGTGCGTCGCATGATGTCGAAGTTAATGCCGAAGATGTAGAGTCGCGGCCTGGAAATGATTTGGACAAATTGGTCGAAATTCTGGACACAACTCGCCAAGGACAGTCGATTTTTGAACAGTTCTGGTGGTGCAAGAAGCATCTTGAAAACTGATGAAGTTAAAGTCAATGGGGTTGGGATGACATCCCTTTTTTATGAAATGGAAAATAAAACATGTTTGAAACCACCAACCAGAGTTCAAATCAACTTCGATTCTCCACTTTTTCCTCGTCGACATCTTGCGGTGTGAAGCAAAGAGTTTTCTCACTGGCTTCAATATGTTTCATCTCTTTTTAAGAACACTATGAATTAGTCAGCTGGGAACATGATCAAATAGGCTTGGCATCCAAAATTCTTGAAACCACCAGGTTTCTGCGGAAGTTCTTCGCGGTGAAAAAAAACCCATCTCCATCGCCTCCTCAAGCGTCCCAAGGGGATCTTCAGCAGGACCTCATCCGTGACACTCTCCGCGAAGAGATGGATACGACTCAGCCTCCGTGTCGTGACAGCTACAATTGCTACCGCCGCGGCGGAGCCCGGCGCTGGCTGAATGGAATCCTGTTTCCACTGATTTCCAGTGCTGGAAATAGTTTGATCATGTTTGATCCTCAACAAGACAATGAAGAATGAAGATCTTGAAGATACAAAGTAACCTCACAATTACACAGAGCCAAATCTGGAGACATGGTATCTGTGATAGATTGTGATTCCGTGTGGCTGCATTCCGATTCCGATAAAAATTCCCACCTTGGAAGCTGCGAACTTCCCATAAACTGCAGCAGATGACTATAGCCCGCTTCCTCAGCAAGGATGGTATCTGAATGTATCTGATGCATCCCAGCCAATGATCACTGGATCATTTTTAAAAAATGCCACTTATAGATCATAAAAAAGGGGTATAAATTATGGTATAACGTTGTAGCCAATGTGAGAAACCACACAAATTATCAGGGCTGGTTTTCATGATTGCTGGCTATGGAGAAACTCACCGAGTGGCCATGCGGATGACGTAGGAACTTCGGCCATACTCCAGACCTCAAAATGGGTGACGAGCCGATGGAGCACATGGAGCACATGGAGCACTACCCGGCCTGGTAAACATACAAAAAGCTATGGAAGCCATGGCCCATAGAAATAGATGGTTTACCTATGTTTACCTATTAAAAATGGTGATTTTCTATAGCCATGTAAAAAATTACAAGAGGGTAGCAATTTGAAATTCAGGCGATGAACATCATCACAACTTTGCCAAGAGGCCACGAGGACAACTTTCGTCAAACATTGGTCGGGTCTCCTGAGACGGCTCTGTGTATCGGTGTGCAAAGAGAAATGGATCAAAGATGATCAAAGGGTACTAACTGACCCAATCTTGAGCAAAATTACACAATCTTGAGCTGGATAAATTTGGATAAGGTCTTACAATCTCTGGGTACACAGCAAAAGCCACAGGTGGCAAGGGTTTGGCTGAGAATGGGGTATACCCCATTGAATCCACTGATAAGATGCTCGATAGTTATTTTGGGATATGATATGATATGCCACATTTTCAGACACATCCCCATTTAATCCCATTCAATCCATGATGGTTAAATCACCATTAGATCCCGCCGTAACTTCCATACAATTATCTCATTCACCATTAAATCACCATTAAAATTCCATATACCTATCCCCATTCAATCCGGTTAAATTCCAATTGTTGATGGGTAAAATTGGTTAAATCAGCATCATATATCACCATTAAACTCCCCTTTATCCCATTAAGTCACCATTTAGATCTCCCTTTAGATCGGACCAGTTGCCTCGATGGCACCGTCGATGAGCCGCGTGGCCCGCAGCACACCCAGCTCGCGGCGGTAGAAGCCTCGCGTTTCGTAGCGCAGCTGGCAATCCAAGGTACAATTTCTCTGGGTAAATTAAAATAATTCACTAACCTGAATTAAGGCCATTTGGGGATGATTTCCCTTACTAACCATGATTCCAGTGAGGTCACTGCGAGGTCGTTATAATTTACCCAGATTTCTGGTATACCATGGATTGACCCAGAAATTTCAGAAATGCTATGGATTTCGATGGAATCTGATTTATCGATTAGTAAATGGATGTCATTTTCACAATTGATGCAATTGATTTTGATGGGATTTATCGCTTTGCCATGGATTTACCCAGGAAACAAAACCCTCCGTTTGAGTGTTGCATATTAATTGTACCATTTTAGTTCCGGAAACGAGGTTTTAAACAACATCGGATGATTGATGATGATGTGTATGGTTCAAAACTATATGACGCCTCCAAATGTGGATGGGTTGCTGCAAAAAATCACCAATTAGTGGGTCCATTGCTACCTCAAATTGTTTTCCATGTCATGCCATATCCATGTATATATATATACGGCAAATGCCTGGGTTTTGCCCGGACCCGCAATGACGACGGGAGACGCATCATCATCATCATCATCATCATCATCAACATCATCAAACCCTTATTGACGATCTTCAATGAATGTAGAAGTTTAACGGGGGTGGGAGAATTAAACCCTTATTGGAGATCTTCAATGAATGTTGAAGTTTAACGGGGGTGGGAGAATTAAACCCTCATCGAAGATCTTCAATGAATGTAGAAGTTTAACGGGGGTGGGAGAATTAAACCCTTATCGGAGATCTTCAATGAATGTAGAAGTTTAACGGGGGTGGGAGAATTAAACCCTTATTGAAGATCTTCAATGAATGTAGAAGTTTAACGGGGGTGGGAGAATTAAACCCTTATTGGAGATCTTCAATGAATGTAGAAGTTTAACGGGGGTGGGAGAATTAAACCCTTATTGAAGATCTTCAATGAATGTAGAAGTTTAACGGGGGTGGGAGAATTAAACCCTTATTGGAGATCTTCAATGAATGTAGAAGTTTAACGGGGGTGGGAGTTTAATATTCCCTAATATCTTTGTTGATCTTCCCAATTGAATGTAAAGTTTAACGGGGGTGGGAGTTTAATGTTCCCTAATACCGTTTTTGTTTTTCCCATAGGAATTTCGGGTGTTTTGACATTTTTTTTAAATATAGACCCTAGTACCTTTGTTGTTTTCCCCATAGGAATTACGGTAATTTGCAACATCATTTGTTTGTGAATGGGAAACCTCTACGCTGCAACGCCTGGGCAAAACCCAGGCGTTGCGCGTATATATATATATATATGTACAGTAATATACAATTATACCTATAATTATATAATTATATATCGTCAGATAAAGAGTGATTTCACCACCTTTTGACGAAAGCCCGGTGCTGCCAAGTTGCCACAACAATCCGGATCCAAGCTTTCCCAATTCAATCGGCGCATACGGTCACTGCAAGCCTCACATTGAGATTTCATGCTGGATTCGGACCCGATGACAAAAATCACACCGGAGTTGTGATGGCAAGCCTTGTTTTAGGTAATTCTCAAGTCAAGAGTGCTTGAAGTTTTTCATCATGCGTGTTCAGAACCTCGTCTGTGCATCTTCTCTTTCAGATTTCCATCCAAGAAACGACAAGGCCATTGTCCAAGGTATACTGATATCCACCTGGGCATGACTCAGGAAACCATCAGGAAACCATCAGGAAACCATCAGGAAACCATCAGGAAACCATCAGGAAACCATCAGGAAACCATCAGGAAACCATCAGGAATCTGTAAAGGTATACTGATATCCAATCTGTTGGTATATACGTTGGTATACCTGATGTCATCATATGTCATCATATGTCATCAGATTCATCAACCATCATCAACCTGGACTGATATCCGGGCTCTCTATTTTTACAAACCACAGAATCTGCAGACTTTGTCGCCGTCCTCAGCCGTGGTACTGCTACAGTTCACGCAGGCTGGAGGCAATGCACTGGGCACCATGGTGGCCTCTTCCTCAGCCAACGACACGTTTAGACAACTGTTCAAAAAAACAAAGATGGTTGACATATTTGAAGACATGATATTAGTGTACTTATAAAATCTTATAAATATATATCAAGATATCATGTATATATATATATATGTATATATATATATCTAATATATAGATACGACATATGATTTTTCTGTCGTGATATGACAGATGTTTATTCAACACCTCAGCTTCCCGTCCACTTCTCCGCCCGTGGACCCCCCGACTGGGTCGCCGAACGAAGTCACTGGAGGAGACGTTGCACTTCAGTGGAAGCAGACCCGGCGGCAGCAGGGCTACACCAAAGGCCACCAGGGAACCGTCCAAGTCTTTCACCCTGCGGACTGAAATCCGGCGGAAAAACATCACTGGTTGGTGGTTTTAATGATGGAGTTCGTCAGTTGGGAAGGATGACATCAATGACATCCCATATATTATGGAGAAATAAGCCATGTTCCAAACCACCAACCAGATAATGAGTCCAATCCCTTTAAGTTTTTTTTCAGTGAAATTGCGGGTATGAGCTTTAAAGGTAGTGGATGGCGGGCTGGGTACACATGAATACAACAGCAAAATACGTCAAAATAGAGCTAAATGCATACTTCAGGTGCGCCGAGTCACCATGACTGCTGCAATCCTGGACACAGAGGCACATCGCCTGGCACCGAAAAACATTTGACCACACATTTCTCATGCGCAGTCCGAATGGAAAGCTCATGGATGCACATATTTTCAATTTTCCCAGTAAAACCTCCATTTACAATGGATTTTCCATAGCTATGTTAAATAACCAGATGCTATTTCCAAAACTTTCTCAACAGGTTACCACGTCCCAAACTGCGGTGGAGTGGAGTTTGCGATGCTGGTTTCATGGGACGTACGGGACATGCGAGCGACTAGGCCTTGAATGCCAAGCTTATCGCGTGCGATCTCCTCAGTGGCTGAAGTCAAAGTCGCCCTCCACGTCGCTTTTTTCACATCGAAGAAATGAAACCCTCTGCATCTGGCGATTTTTTCGGGTTTTCAGAGGTCAGCACTAGACAATCTTCGAACATCAACTGTGCCACAGGTGAAAGAATCGAAAGTCGTAGCGTCAACGAAAGTCGTCCAGTGAAATGAGATACCCTTTGGTAAACGTTTACACAACTATGGAAAAATCACCATGCTATTAATGGGTAAATCAACTATTTAAATATGGCCATTTTCAATAGCGAACTGTAACAGCCATTACCAGAGGGTAAATCCATGTATATAAATCCCATTAAATCCCATTAAATCCCAGTAAATCCCATAGAAAATCATGGTGAAATCCACCATGTTTCAATAGCGCTATATCAGTTTCAATAAGTTTCACAAGTTCCGTGCCGTGCTGTCCGGTCTCTGAAAGCATGGGATCCGCTTGGCAACTGCCTTCAGCCAGGAACCTTGGCGCCATGCCCTGGAACTCAGTGTTTTGTGCTGAAACTTAGACAGTAAACATCGGAGAAAAGGGGGAACATATATTGAATATATCGTAAAATATAATGTAACATATAAAATATCATTTGACATATCATATGAAATATCATATGAAATATGATGAAATATGATGAAATATGATGAACTATGATGAACTATGATGAACTATGATGAAATATGATGAAATATGGATGTTTTTTTTCCAAAGTGTTGAGCAAATGGTTGATCTGATTTGAAATCTCTTGGAAATCAACATCCACCGCCGATCTGCTGTAAGGCTTCAGTCAAGATGCCCAGACCAGGGCTCTAAAAGGATCCGCGCGTTCAGGTAGTCTTGGCGATCCCTGCATCAATATTTCATACAGAAATTCACATCTCATGCGCATTTCATGCACAGAAAAAGCAGCTCCTCTACCACTAGATTCACTGGATTTCACTAGTTTCACTGGGATTTGTCTCAAACTTTCAACCAGTTCCCACCTGTCAGCTGGAGTGATCAAGGAGCTTTGGGTCACAGTGCGGCGGAAGAAGTCGGTTTCCGCCTCGGTCAGGATGGCTTGGGCATGCTGGTGCTGTATGACAGTAGTACAACATTGAAATATATGGGGAGATTAATGTGGGACATATTAATGGAAATAATGTTTACATCTCCTTAGCAATGGGGTGTCTACATGCTAAGACAAACTTTGCACAGGACTTGACATCTGTTCAGCGCACAACAACGACCACTTCAGACATGTTGCGAAGCGAAGCCCAGAAACTTCCTTGGATGCAGCTAAGCAGCTAAGCTGCGTTTTGCTGGTGAACAAGAAACAGGAACTGACAAACACCAACTTCAAAACATGGAAGTTTTTTCTGAAGTTTACCAATTCTGTACCATATTTGGGTGGAAATCAGCCCCAGTCATGGTAGGTGGCATTGAACTCCATGTTACAGTCAAGGGATGCTCATGAAGCGAGCTCAAGCGTCCAACACGGGATTCCAATCTCGAGATGTCGGGTTGTAGGCAATGGCCACTGATCGCATGCCGCAGTCCTGGCACGTTCTGTCAACATCCCTGAGACTCAGCTCAGATTTTTCCAAGGCCTTCCAAGGCCATTTCGGCCTAACGACATGAAATTGTTGGGCACCATGTGGCTTGTGGCTTAAAGACTACCCTCTGGTAAGTTGTTACAGTTCGCGAACTTGAACATGGCCCAGTCGATTTATGTCGTGAGTTTTCCCATTAATTACAAATGGTGGATCTTTCCATATTAGGTGATGTTTGCCAGAGGGTAATCCAAATACCCTCTGGTAAACTAACATAACTATGGAAAATTACATTTTTTCATGGGAAAATCCACTATAAATGGTGATTTTCCATTGCTATGTTAGTCATTACCAGAGGGTAACTATAGTTTTCCATATTTATATCAAACTTGCCACCAGTTTGGAGCTCCGAACCTCCCAAGGCACCAGTACCCCGCCTCGGCACGGAAGCCGCCGAAGAAGACGTTCGTGATCTTCTGGGAGGACATCCTGGGACCCAGATGCGATGTCCTATGGAAAATTAGGGCTTGTAAAAATATTCCTCTTCTGGGTTAAAGATGGTTAAAGTATAAAATCAACCAAAATGGCTATAATCAATTATAGTATAAACATGATTAAACATGATTAAACATGTACAAAATAAATGAACATCAACCGGTTTTAGTGTAACTCCCTTAATTAACCAGTCATTTTCGAACCATCCACTGGCCTGGATGCACGGTTTCCGTAGCGTTGCTCCCATGGCAGTGCACAACTCCTCTCTGGTAGGTTCGCCTTGCCGCGGCTAGTCATAAGTGCGGAAGGACTGGGGAACTACGCAGGCTGGTAGTTTCTATATCATGCATGGTGAATCACAAGGACGTGCTGAGTGAATCACAAGGCGTCACTGGGGAAGGACTGAGGAAGGATGCATTATTGTCATATGGATATATATATATATGCATATATATATGGATATATGGTATATATGAATATCAATATAAATAAATAAATCAACAAATGAATAAATAAATCAATGAATAAATAAATAAATGAATACATAAATAAATGAATGAATACATAAATAAATGAATGAATGAAAAAGTAAATAAATGAATACATAAATAAATAAATATATAAATAAATAAATAAATATATATATACAACATATATTCAATGATGGTATAGCCGAATCGACACAGTGCATGTCAACAGATCGGTCATATCACCAAGTGGCCAAAGGACAGCTGCGGAGAACTGGACCGTCCTGGACGGCCGAATCGGTTATTATCGTTTCCTATTCCTTGTCGACACAAAAACCAGAAAAACTTGATATAATTTGATATATTATATAATTCCCAACATAACATGAACGGTCTTCGCAATTAAAACTCTTTACAAGGACCTTTAGATCGATTACCATATATATATATATACATCTCTTGATATTGAGATTAACTATGATTAATTTAGACTTGACAAGGTCAGATTCTGTTCACCACGCCACCGGTCCCCAGTGGTCCCCAGTCAGGTTTCCTCACAAGTCTTCCCACGATTCGTGATGATGGGCAGCAGGATACCAATCTGAAAGCTGGATGTTGTTAACATATGTATAACATGGATGTATAACATGGATGTATAACATGGATGTATAACATGGATGTATAACATATGTAAACATTGAAACACAGTCGAATGATGTTACAACTGTTACATGATGTTGCAAAATCTTGCAAAATCTTGCAAATTCTGCACATAAAGAATCCATGAGAATCCAAATTCTGCCAAGGAATCTGATGATGTCAACTTCTGCTTTTTCTGATTTTTGACCCTGACCCAAACTGCTAAGACCTTTGAGACTCTGACACGGCGGAACTCTGGACCCGGCAGAGAATGGCAAGCTGTGGGCTGGACCTCGAAGGTCTTGAGATGTCTTGAGGTCTGTCAAAAATTCACAAAAACTCCCTCTGGATCTTGCAGAAGTTGCAGAAGTTGCAGAACCGGTAAAAAGTGAGGCTAATAGCGGCTAATTCAAATGATCCAGTCCTGTGTAGGAAAGCTTGCAGGAAAAACCGTTTCATGTTGCAAGATCAGCCAGCTCTGAGCTGCAAACGTCTGACGGGCCCACTGCCAAGCACTGCAACGAAGCATCGCAGGTAGACACTGCTGTAGAGCCGTAGACCTGTTGCCATCAGCTCTGGCGAACATCGTTTTCCCTTCAGCTGCTCCCAGGGTTTGAAAGTGTTGGCAGTTAAAAGTCTTTGAATTTGATTCAAACATGCTTCAACTTGTCAGATGATAACAGAATATTTTGTTCAACAAACTCATGCAACAACAAAATACAACAAGCACTTCCAAACATCTTGTGGCATTCGAAACCCGACTTTTGCACTGACTTTTCCATACTTTTCCGGTGGAAGTCTGGTTCCTATGGTTCCTATATGGTTCCTATCCTAGGGTCGCCCGTCACCTGGCTGTCGCGGAACTCGAAGGAATGTAACATATCGCCAATTTGACGATGGAAGTTTCCAGTGATGCCAATGTGGTTGTCGAAGAGAGTCCTCAGACGAAAGAACGTGTGTGAATCATGTGTCGAAAACCTGTCGTTACTGTCACACGGAAAAACTTATCCAAAAAGTGTCAAACAAAAAGCCAAGAGACACGTCGGAGACGATCATATTGCTCGGTGTATCCTAAGTGAGTGCTGTCAGTTTCGCTTGTTCTCGAGGCTGACAGCGTCAAATTCCTCCAAGATTCCACGAAGAGAATGCCAACATGAGCGTTCTTCCAGGCCTACGGCGAAACAGGCGGAAAGGCCACGGCCAGTCATAGTAACGCCATCCCGCTCCGAGGTACAGATGGTACAGGCCTTCATGAGCCGCAAGTGGACACAATCCAAATGGCCGGGACAGGCTTGTGGCCCACCACCCTCCGTGCTACAGGATCTCAGCACGAAGAAGCCAACTACGCAGCCTTAGATCCGGGCATCCCGAAGTTTTTCGATATCAAGAAAGGCATCGAAGTTTTTCGAACTGATGCTGAGAATATCTGAGAATGGTGACTTTTCCCATGACTTGGCAGGACACGGACATGGTTTGCTTTCTTAGGAGCTATGCACTTCATTGATCTGCTGGCTGGAGGTGTCCTGGCATCGTCTGCCCAGCTTTTTTTATCATTTCTTCTTACACAAACTATTTCTTACATAGTTCTTACATAGTCATGGACAAAAAACACCAGCCATTTTCGGTCAATTCGTAGGCGTTACAAATCATCCAGGACTGGCGAACTGGCTTCAATTTCTTCAACCCCTCAGATCCAGTAGATCCAGTGGTTCATCATTGCCAAAGCTTCATTGGATTGTTGGTTGTATCCCCCATTCTATCATATTCTATCCAAGTGGATTCTTGGTGATATCATATAGTATAGTAACCATTCACTTATTCAAGTGGATTCAACAAAAACTTAATTCTGATACCATCACACATCCATTATTGTATCATATTGTATCAGATTGTATCCATGTGGATTCTTCGTTGTATCATGGAAAATTAATATATATATATATATAACATTATATAACTTACACCCCGTTTCTGGACACGTGTCTCGTCATGTCTCGTCCCAAGGACGGTGTCCTGTTCCACTGCTTCACAGGTCTCAGGCCGCATCAACACGCCGATGTCGGGGCAGCCCGCCACCACGTTTCCGGAGAAGACCACGGGACGTGCCTGTCCCAGTCTGGGTCAAAACCCTGGTACCCCTGGTGAACCCCAAGTCATAGCTGGGATTTATGGATGTTCATCCCACTAAAAATGTATCTATAGGTATTGACCCATACCCAAGTCAAGAGAGAAACTGTGTTTCAGATCTGCCGATTTCCTGGCCGATTTTCGGCATTCTGATTGGTCATGGATGTCATGGCACACTTGGAACACTGCAGATTTGCAAAAAAATGCACTTTGACACTGGCTGACACTGGCTCTCTCTTCAGAAAATGCATGAAAATGCCAGTTCCATCTGGTATCGAATCTGGCCTGTAGCTGAAAGACAGCAAGCGGTTCCTGAAATCTTTGTTGGTCCCGAAAGAGTCATTCAGTACAGCTGGAAAGCCAGCTGTACAACTCACAACAACTGAACTCTGTGTGTGTGTGTCATCCAAAGTGATTGCTTCTGCTCAAAGACCCTTTTCTTCCCCGATGGCACAACAATTCACTATACATTCATAATCATTAATATATCATTAATATAAATTAGAGTTTCCTGGTTGCCTATGGTTGCCTATGGTGGGCCTCAACTGGCTTTGCCGCCAATGCCCAGACCATTTCCGCTCTGACCGTCATTTGCTTCCCAAATCATCAACGATCTTTTCTTCCGAATCTTCCAAGCTTCATATGTTGGGTTGACCACTGGATCCAATGGTGGCGGTAACGGCCGTGTATCCATGGCCTCAAGCGTTCAGATGTCGGAGGTAGGTCACGCTTTGACAAGGCGTTTCTCTGCGCGCTTTCATACACAAGCCGCTGTGGCGTTTCTGTGCCAAGTGGCCAAGTTGTCAACAATGAAGAATGCACCCATATCTGTACCAGCTTGGAGTGCACGGCCCCTGACAATAAGAGGAGCTTGTACAAAACGTGTGGAAAAAAATATGAAAAAAATGATCTCAGATGGTAGAAGCACTGGAATTCACGCATAAGCTGCTTGCAGAATTGGCAGGCTCAAGACCGACCCACAAACACCCCAAAACACCGTGAATCACTTTCACATCAATTTTCACTTTCAAACAAAGCATGGCATTCACTTTGCTTACAGCCATGATTCATGCCATTCATGCCATGATTCATGCCATGATGCCATGACATGTCCCCATTCCCAGTGGTTCTTCTCTCTCCGCGTCGACTCCACCGACTTCCATGACCCGTCCCCAACTCGACTCGTCCTGGTCTCGCAGAAGACGCAGTTGATCAAATCCAATCCCCAGGAGCCAAGGACCTCCACGGCTCCGAGCCAACCTGCCGAACGGCGGCAGCGGCGGCAGCGGCAACAGTGGCGCAACGATGCGCAACGGCAGTGTGAAATGCTGTGAAATGAGAGAAAGAATACGAAAGAATGAGATAAAGCTTGACATAAAGCTTGACATCACTTTGAGTTCAACTATGTTCAACTATGTTCAACTGCTCACATTCGCCAAACTTTGATCAGCAAGAATGTGAAGGTATCTTTGAAACTTTGTGTCACTGGGAAGAAAACGCAAGCTGAGACTGGGACTATTTGAGAAGACCAGAGACTCAAAGTAGGGTCTTGGCAGGTATCCTTGGCTTATTTGGCTCTTGATTTCAGATTCACTCAACACCACAAGCTGACAGGGAAAACATGACTGACTCCGAAACGGAAAGGCACTGAGTTGTTTGTTTTTTGGAGTTTTTTTTTTTTTTTCGATACCAGCTTCAAGTTTGAACATCTTTCGAATGTTGAAATATCCAAAATCATCGACTATCAGATATCATCAGGAAGATCCACAGCATTCCACAGCTCTCTCCGAGCTTCGCGTGTAGCTGGTGGGCTGCACCACTTGCAGCGCGGGGAACCGCGCCAAGCGCCCTGTGGGCCCTCGTCCATCCTGCCCGGCGTGAGCCAAGCGCACCCAAGACATCGACCTCACGGGGCAGCGGCCGATGTGAAATCAGGCACCAATCATTGTGAATTGGGGATGGGTCAAAACCCTGGTACCCCTGGTGAACCCCAAGTCATAGCTGGTAAATGGATGTTCATCCCACTAAAATGTATCTATAGGTATTGACCCATACCCAATTGTTGAACGTTAATGTTGAACGTTAATGTTGAAGGTTAATGTTATATAATCTTATATTAGTCATCTGATATTTTATTGATGTTCATTGGCATTTCATTGGCATTTCATTGGCATTTCATTGGCATCGCAACTGGTAGTTTCGCAACGGCAAGTGGCACAAAGGATGAGCCACTGATGACCATGTGATGGCCAAACCAATCTCCACCATGTCCAGGATCAGGTACTCCGCGTTCTGGGTCTGGGAAACGAACCTGACAGGGAAACAAATATCACGAATGAGGAATCTATTTTATATATATATAATATATATATAATATGTATATAAGTATATATATATAGTATTAAATGGGATTTTAAGGATTCTGACAGTTCTGACAAGAACAAAGATATTGAACCAATCAGGTTCCACCTGAAATGCGTTTGGAACTTCCGCTTCTGTTCAAGGTGAAGGGTGTTTCTTGCCTCTTCCGTCGTGATGGTGATGCTGCGGCTCAGCAGAACAATACGCGTGCCCACGGACAAGGAGTTTGTGGAGTCGACAAAAGCCTCTCCAGAGGATGAAGAAAAATGTTATCAGATTCTCACGACAATGCGAGAAAGGAGAAAAAAACTCCAACCAAGCCTTTTACCCAGTTCCAGATCCGACTCGCAAACACACATAATCCACAGTTTTTTTTGCAGTACAAAAGCAAACAAAAGCCGACTGGCATGTCTTACATGTAGATACATGTAGAATATACCACACTTTTTTAAAGTGTCCTTTCGACATTTCCATCAAAAATCATAAAAATCATTAAAGAAAAAAACATCCAAACAAGACCTAAGCTATTCATCCTATCCTATCATCTAACCCCTATTAAACCCCACCCACCACTTGTCCTCACATGTCACCTGCCCAGCAAAGTGAGGCAGCTCCAGTGGCCGATCCAACAGGATCTCTGTGACCGGAGCGTAGAAGACGATGTCTTGGATGAAGCGCCGTTCGCTGCCCGTGGCCTTGGCCGGGTGATTTTAAGGGAGATTAAGAAATTGTGTTTAACCGTGATTCATCAATTTGTATTATATTATATATTATATATATTATATATTATATATTATATATTATATATTATATATTATATATTATATATTTATCTATTATATATTATATATTTATCTATTATATATTATATATTATATATTGTATATGATATATTGTATATTATATATATATGTTTACATATATTTGAATATTTGGGTATACAATGGCATGTAGGGCGCTCTCCATCAGGATATCGAAAGAAAAAAAATAAGATAATAACTTGAAGCCATTGCCGTAGTTATCGCAATCATTCAGAAGTGACTGAAGGCTTCTGAAACGAAGAAGAATGATGATTCACAGAATGATAATCTGATTGGTGGTTTCAACCCCTCCGAAACATATGAAAGTCAGTTGGGATTATGACATTCCCAATATATGGAAAGTGATAAAATTCCATGGTTCCAAACATTTCCAGTCACCACCAAGCAGTAATGATTCAGTGATTCATTCTGACAAAGTGGCATTCGTCATGTTGGGATATTCCTGTGTGGTGATGGCAATTTCACCTCCCACAGGCCAGTCTCCCACATCTCCAGAGACCTCAGGAGTCATGTGCAAATGTGCAACTCATGTGCCATGGAAAGATCCACCATGCTATTTTTATAGGTAAACCATGGCTTAACCATGGCGAACTGTTAGTCATAACCAGAGGGTATATCATATAATATATCATTTGCTCCGTTATTTTTCATGATTATCATGATTCAAATAAACATAACGGGGCAAGTCATCTCATGTGTGAGAATTCAGAACCCACGACACTAACGACACGCAAGCACGCAATGCACATAATGCAATGCACTGTGCTGCGCTGCAGACTTTTCACCGAGCTCACCTGGGTTGTCCCAAAATCCAAAGGCCGCGCAGAGGTTTTTTTCTGCGTCATGCGACACTGCAATCGCCGCAGTCCTATAAAGACGAGACTCCAAGGAGACTCCAGGGAGACTCCAATGTGATTTTCCGATGGGATTTCACTGTGATTTCTGGCACCTCTTCTTCTCTTTTCTCATTTTCTCATATTTTTTCCTATCTTTAGATGGGTCTCAACTGGATGCCAAGAGTATTGGCACCAATCTCTGAGAGTCCACAAACCTCGCAAAGCTTACCCTTGAAGGAAGGCAAATACGAAGAGCTGCAGTAGGGGCAATAGATGGGTGTCTCTTGTGCAGAAATCTGTTGCAAAGAGCCACTGCAAATTTTGATGTCCTCCACTGCTGCCTTGAAATCAAATCTGATCTTGTGCTTATCTGTGCCTTTCTGCTCACAGACCTGCAGCACTTGTCTAGCTTTCTGCACATCATCTTTGGTCTTTTCGGGTGGTCCGAAATTGCCCTGGGCCATCCTTTTGGCAAAAGATGCGGCCGTCACAAAGTTCTCAGCCTTGAAGCAAGCACCCATGGCACCTCTCAGAGCTAAGAACTGATGGTAGGGCTGCAATTTGCAACACGTCAAATAACTGTTGAGCTCAATGATCTGTGCCACCTTTTCAGGCGTGTCAGGCGTGAGCTTCTTGCTAGCCACCTGCAACAGCTCAAACGCTCAAACGCTTAACAAACGTGCCAATAATCCAATAGCAGTGCCTTTCAACGAGTATTGTCATAATCACAGTCATTGATGTCATTGAGTGAAGGTTATTACTATCTGCAATTTCTGTCAACCCTCATTTCCACAGAACAAGATTATTCTACACGGAGCTTGCTTTAGACACCAGCCTTTTTTTTTGCATTTCAAAGACACCTATAGCCTATATAGCCTTTGTTTAGCAAAACACAAAACAGTCAACTTAGTCAACTTCAGCCAGCTATCTGATGGTTCTTTTTTGCTTCTGTCACCCCAGCTATCCCCAGCTATCCCCAGCTACACCTGAAGTCGTGTGAAATTCACATACTCCCTGCAGGTGTCGATCATCTCGGTGAGTTGTCGTTCCTCATTGGCATCGTTGGCCACGGAGATGGGGATCGCCTGTAGGACGCTGCGGAAGGCGTTCAAGGCGTCGTTGAACTTGCCGGTGGTCACCATCCTCAGAGCTTCTCTGGCACGATCCAAGATCACCTGACAATCGCGACATCGGAATTTTTCGCAACTGACAGGGTCATCCAACATATACATACCATTTTTAGGGCGATGAACATCCATTTACCAGCTATTTTGATGTTCACCAGGGGTACAAGGTTTTGACACACTGCCATATCAAAACATCGTCATCCAAAATGAGACTAGTAACTGACTAGTATCATTATTCAACATCATCACTCCCCTGCAATTTTTTCAGGATTCTTGGAACATGTTTTTTCGTGCTTTTTTTCGGTGAAAATCCCTTTGAAACGGGAGCACTGCTTCCCATCCCCCACAGTGACAGGTCACCTGCGGAGTGAAGAGAATCTTCGGAGCCAAGTCCCGCGCTTTGGCGCTTCCCTCACTGAGCAGCGGCCAGTGAAGCGAAGGCATCTGCGGCAAGGCCGGTAGAGCGCTACAGGTGGCCCAATAGGCCTCTTTGAAGATGGCCTCCAAGGGTTCTGCATTGATCAATCCTAGACGTCGCTTCAACAAGTTCAAGGCTTCTTCGAAATCTCCAGCAGCCACCAAATCACAGGGCAAACGTCGCTTTTTCAGCCATTTCGTTTGGCAACTGTCACCCAAGGTCAGGTTCAAACCACGATCTTCCACATGAACTGGTTCTTCGGGCAGACCTCCCAAATCACCCAAGTCCAGATCACCACCCCAGTCGCCACCACCCATGTCACCGCCCAGATCCAATTCGTTCTCCTGGCCAGAAAGGCAGCCTTTGGCACTAACTTTCCATGTCCCAACCGAATTTCTACAGATCTATTGGTAACTAGTTAACACATATATATATATATATAGCTATATATACATATGTTTCCAAGTAACACCATCCACTAACTCTAGATTAGATCAAAGTAATATATGTAAGAATAATATATACATAATTATACATAATTATACATACATACATATTAAATCATATTAAATCATATTAAATCATATTAAATCATATTAAATCATATTAAATCATATTAGAGTAACAACAACCATACACCAGGCGCCTCGTCGGCCCAGCCGGGCGCTCCCTCGGTGTCTTCGGGCGCCTCTTGGGCGTCCAGGAAGGCCTCAGAGCCGGGCATCGGGGGCGGCGCCGCCGATTCGAAGCTGCTCTTCTCGAAGATCTTCTTGGTGGACATCAACCTCTGTTAGAACACTGTGTTTTCGTTAAAAAAAAGAGTCACAAAAGAAACAAGTTCGGAACACACTTAAATACCATGTATATATATATATATATTATAAATATCATTGAATATAGTAGAACTATAGAAATCTATCTATAAATATGTCCCCAAAAATGGTTGGAGATATTTAATCAACGCTGATAGACTTGGTGAGAAGCATTGTGTGCAGGTACGGTGTTTCTACACCGTTTTGTTGCAATGTGAAAAGCTACAGATCAGCCAAGACACAACGGCCAATTGGCAGAATCCCCAGTTCCTGGTCTGGACAATGGCACTGGAGGTACTAACAGCACCGTTCGGGCTGGGATCTGTGACAAAATGTCGCTGCTGGAAAGTTGTTCTTCGAGTTTCTCCATGTATTCCTTCAGCTGATGAGCACGTGCAGTCAAGGCAGCCAACGGCACCTGCGAAGCAGGACGGTTTGCAAAAAAAAAAAAACAGGTGGATTGATAAAAGGATTTTTGGCGATTTCCAAGGATTCTGGCGCAAAATGATGTGATTCATTACTATTCATTATTATATAATATAATTTATATATAATTATGTATATATTAGTATATATAGTTCTTCTGCGAATCTTAAGCCATTGGACCAAGATGAACCAAGCATTGACACTGCAATGTGATTGATCTCAAAATATCTCATTTTTTAATATTTTTTTGTAGGGCCCAAAGGTGCCTGCCCCATCTCAGCCATGATCTTCACCCTCTCTTCCACATGACCCAACATCAGGGCGTTGTGGAATCTTGACATGACATCACCACGCATCTCAGCAATCTTCAACATCTTTTTCAACTTGTTCACGTTGCCAGTGATAAGGTAAAGGAAGGACAAGGAGTCAAAGTTTTTGGTCTTCTGATAGACCATCTCCACAATTTGTTGATTCCCTTGCCTCAATGCTTCCAAGCCCAATCGATTCCAACAACTACGGTCATCCAACTCCTGTGCTGCCGTCATGGCTTCCTCGATGTGACCATATTCCAAGGCCAGGTTGAAGCGAGTCTGTTGGTCCTCCACGAAATGCAACGCCACCTGGGACCAACACGACCAACACAGTATCAAATCTACGGTGCCTACATGTGCCTAGGATGCCTACGATGCCTAGGTATCAAAACTGTTTATTGGTGTTTATTGGATTTTACTGGGCTCTTTTGTGGTCTTTTGCTGTTTGTTGCGATGCTTTTGCGGGGAGAGATCCTAGATGTCCCATGATGTCCTACGATGGCTGATGGCACCGCTGGCCTCAGGGAAACCCTTCTGCTTCAGGTAGCCAATCACAGCATTGCCACACAATCGACCGTTGGTAATCCAGAGCTTCACATCGTTGAAGTTCCTCTTGTGGAGAGCCAACTTGAACAAATACTCCGAGCAATTGAGGCGCTGTTTGTGAACCTTGTGCTCCCGATCCATGCAGTACACAATCTGCCTGTGCACTCGCACAATGTACAGCGGATTCGCCAAGGAATGGATGATGCCGTTATCTCCATTGGGCAAGCAGTACTTCACATGGCTCAATGTGGAGTAGATGAAGACACCATTCTCATCCCATGCACCACTCTTCACCCTGATGTTCTCATGGAAGGAATGGTAGTACTCCAGGTTCTTCCCTGCCAACAGCACATTGTGCTTGGACATGAAGGCCACATAGGCACCGTTCTGGGACCAAACCACATAGCGCACCCCACCCGCGATGCTCAACTCATCCACGGTCTTTCGGGCAGTGAGGTCATACATCACCACCTTCTCTTCACTCTTCAGCAAAATGCGATTGTTGCCACCTGTCGGAGGCTGAATCTGGCTGAAGGCCCCAACGCCAGAAGCAACGTTAAACATATGTATAAATCAACTATCTAATCATCTGTTCATCTATCTGTATAAATTTCATCATCTTGATCAATCTTTACACAAGCCAAGTAAACTCTAACACTCCCGGCTATCTCATCCCTATCCTTAACCGTTATATCTTACATCATTTACATCTATTGTTGGCATGTTTTTCCGGTCGTCCGGTCCTGGAAAGATGTAGTCCACCGAAACGGGCGGATCAAACTTCTTGGACAACTCGTTCTGTAAGTTGTAGATCCCAATGGAACCACCCTGCTGCAGCACTGCAAATCGATTGCGCGCTGTGAAGCACACGGCCTGTGCATTGCCTTGTTTGGGAGAAATGCTGGTGTCACTGCTGATGTTGTTAGGACCAACGAAAAGATCATAGCAACCTCCATCCTGCGTGTAGTAGACCAAGATGTTGGTCTCTGAGGGGTTGTAGGCGTTGAACTGCAACGATTTCAGACCGGAAGTCATGGCATTGCTGGCGCGCCTGCAGGAGCCGACCTGCACTCCCTTCAGGCCCTTGTCCAAATCAACCACCTGGACCTCTCGTTCCTGCACCATGAAGAGGTTGTGGCCAAAGCTTTGTGCCAAAGGTCTCTCGCAGTCCTCAATTTTTCAACTTAAGTCCAGGTCGTGTACATGCATTGTTTACATAAACTGTAAAAGACCTATGAAAAACGACCAAGCTGCGTGAAAATCTGTGAGCCAAATTGTCCTATAAAACATTTATAGATCATTCCTAAATGTCCTAAATCAAACTGAACCTTGCCATACTATGCCAGAAGAACACGAACAATACGAACAACACGACCAACACACCTGTGTTTCATTCTCTTTAAATCTTCTTCAATCAAAAAATCTAAGTCCCAGAGTCCAACTTGAAGACCACCATGCCAGCATCGTGGCCAACTGCGATCAAATTGGAGCTCCTATGTGCTGTGATGATCCAGAAACGATCGTTCTCGCGGCGAAAGGTGTGGATCCCCGTCCGCTTGGTGACGTCCCAGACTCGGATGGTGCGGTCTTCAGAGTTGGACAAAATCAGCTCCTGGGGGAGAAGTAGCACCTATTTTTGTGGATGTTAACATATAGCTATTAGCTCTTGAACATGACCATAGAAATAGATAGGAAGATAGTGAGTTTTCCCATGAAAAATGGTGGATCTTTCCATAGTTATGTGACAGTTTACCAGAGGGTACCAGCTATTTTTTGTTGTGGATGGTGCAAATGGCATTGTAAATGTAAAAATACGGTTGCAGACCCACATTATTTCGGAACAACGCCAAAGGATTCATCGTCGCCGTATCCGTCCCAGCCCTCTCCTTCTTGGGGTGGAACATGACACAGGAGACATTGTTGAAATGACCTCGCAGGGTGTCCACTTCCCAGGCCTTGGTATCATTCATCCTCCACAACTTGATCAAGCGATCATCCGCACCAGAGACGATCAAAGGGAGAGTTGGATGGAAAGACGCCCAGTTCACTCCACGGTCATGGCCTTCCAAGACATATTTCACCACCGCATCCGATGTGCCAAAGACATCGTTGGTGCCACCACTGGGCCCTGGGGCCATTCCAATGGCCACAGTCTTATCCCTAAGACCTGAGGTGTCCCAGACCCGGACCGTTTGATCCAATGAGGCAGACACCACCAGGTCTTCTTTCGGATGGAAATGGGCACACATGACGTAATGGTTGTGGCCTGTGAGCACTGCAATACAACTTCTGGATTGCCAATTCCAGATGCGGATGGTCTGATCATCGGAGGCACTCAAGATCCAAGGATATTCGTCATGGAACTCAACCGTTCGGATGTAATCCAAATGGCCAAGCAAGGTGAAAATACACCTCCTCAACTTGTAGTTCCAGACCTTGATCTTGTAGTCATCACCACCAGAAACAAACAAGGGTTGTGACAGGTGGAAGCAAACTCCTCGAACCGGACCTCCCTCGTGCTCCTCGAATTTGTCGATCAATGAACCGATCCGATAGTCCCAAAGCTGGATCGTGCCATTGTGAAGACTGGCCAAGATCCAGCTGAGCTTGGGGTGAAAACCTTGGTGATGTGACATCCATGAGGACTTAAACTCGGGGAAATAGGATGAAAATGATGGGGTCATAAAAATGATGTTAAACCATATGGGAAGTAATATGAGAAAAAACTGCGACGCCAAATTTTAATCTTCAGATATCTGAAGATCCAGGAAACTCAGGCCTTTGACTCGGTTACTCTTTGTCTCACACTTCACCAGCATGTTGCTGTTGTTGCCGGAGCCCGCCATCGCCGGAAAAGGCGGACGACCGCGTTCCCGGGGGACACCGAAGTCCCATGCTGAGAGACGCCGCAAGGAAAGACAGATTCGAAGAACTTCGTTTTCTCAAACATTGGGATTATAGGAACCCGCAAAGAGATAGAAAACAGCAGAAACTACATATAGTAAACACCTACTTTTTAATAGTGAAGAATATGGACTTTCCTATCTTTTTGAGGCTTACCAAAAACACTGATTTTCGCAAAGCTGACCGTGGAAACCACGTGTCCCGTTTTTGGTCTGTGAGCTGGCATGATGAGCTGACTTGGCATGTGACTTGGCATCGTTTGGCACCACAAGACATCGAAGCAAAAAAAAACTGGGCTACTGGCCTGAATCATTTGATCGCCTGCATGGGAGTGTTAGTCACTGTTAGTCAGGGAATCATGGGAGTGTTAGTCAATGTTAGTCATATTCAATGCACATGACTTATGAAAAAACCTGATTCCAACTTCTCAAGACGATAATCTCCAAGTACGAACAGCTTGAAAGTGCCAGCAAAAGTACATACATACATCACCACCATGTCCTACATATCCTGGTTTGCTCATTTCATCATGGTATATAGATTATAGATGATTATAGTATATTATAGTATATTATAGACATGATTATAGATGATTATAGTATATCATAGTATATTATAGTATATTATAGTATACTATAGACATGATTATAGATGATTATAGTATATCATAGTATATTACAGTATATTATATAGTATATTATATAGTATATTATATAGTATATTATATAGTATATTATATAGTATATTATATAGTATATTATATAGTATATTATATAGTATATTATATAGTATATTATATAGTATATTATATAGTATATTATATAGTATATTATATAGTATATTATATAGTATATTATATAGTATATACTTCTGCATAGCACTTGGACTTCAGATGTCAAGATTCATGGACAGCAACATAACTTAGCGGCTGGCCTGGTAGTATTGTCGCGTAAGCGGCTGCCCATCTATGCGAGTAAGACTTTCCGTGAAGGCTCACGTTGCCCTGCTGCCGTCGCTTCGACAACGGCAGGATGCAGTGCAAAACAAACGGCCTGGATTGGAACACATTTGGGTATGGGTCAATACCTATTAATACCATTTTTAGGGGGATGAACATCCATTTACCAGCTATTTTGATGTTCACCAGGGGTACAAGGTTTTGACACACTGCCATTTATCATCATTTATCTATTTCGAAGTGCTGCATCCACCGTCAATGTCAGCAAACCAAACAATGATGTGAATCAAAGCCGCCTCGTAGACTCCAAAGACTTTCCGGCCCCAGTCTGTGTCCGTAGAGATGTACGCAGGCTGCGAATCGAATGCCACCTAAGGTTTTGCAAAGCCAGCGGTGTTCTCGCAGGCTTGGACATTCCTGCTTTACACAGGCAAGACTGTCAAGAGATACCACTGACCCTCAACATCTATTTATATATAGCATATTTATTTATTTATTTATTTATATTTATTTATTTATAGTCGATTTTCATAATCTTGCTTATTTATATTTATATTTATAAAAAAATACTTAGCCACCAAAATCTTCCACAAATTCCCTTGGTGCAACCACGGCCCTTTTGTGGAAGCGAGTCACGCCCCAGAAGGAGATGATGGCAGATGTCCTGTGAGGAGCGAAGGAGGTGCCCACCTGCATCACACCTCGGCACCGACCGGAGGCTGACAACGAAGACAACGAAGACATTTGGACATGATGACATGACCACTTTGTTTTTTTGTTTTCCAATTATTTCCTGAATAACACCAAATAGATCAAACATAATTACACATAATTACTGTAGATTCTTCTTTTTTTAAAGATATCTGTAGATCAAAATATTTAAGATAGTAAGAGCATGTAAGAGCATAGAAAATTCCAGCACATCAGCCCATTGACCACAATTCGAAGCGGCCTCCTGAAAAGACCTGGATGGACTTCACCAAGAGTTTCAAGCCCTCGTCCTCTGACATGGACAACTTCCCAAAGATCTTCAGATCTCCCACCTTGGATACAAAAAAGGAGAATCCCATGGCCTTTTTTTACAGATCAAAAACAGTGATTTTCCTACACCACCTTACAACCACCTGTACAAGCTGGATCAAGCTGGAAGGAGCAATCCAAAAAAAATCTGCCAAAGGACACTCAGTTCGCAATTGCTAGATCTGACCGTGACTTTCGCACATCTCTTTTGGCTCTCCCTTTAGATCCCAAGATCCGTTTGGTATGCAGCATCCATTGGCTCCTAGATGAACGGTAAATCTCAAGCCAAGAGGCTGCTCCAATGGCTGTGAAATTGTTGTAAACAATGTGATAAAATGGTGGAACGACCTCGGAGTCGCTACGCTGGATCACGAGGCCGTGGAAAGCCGTTGATTTGCAGATTTCAAATAGCTTTTCCACAGCCTGAATCTTGAGTCCGCTTGAGTCTCAGCAGACTCTGATTTGGGATCTGAGATCATTTGGGTAAGTGCTCGCATGGTGATGACCCACTTACGACACTGACACTGCAACTAGCTTGTTCTCAAGTGGATTGCCAGATGGCTTTTGGACAACCGAACAGCAAAATGGTCGACCGGATGCCACAGGATTTCGCAAAACCGGGGCCCCCTGGCAACCTCAAGTTCGATGGACCGCGGTAGCTGTTGACCTGACCAAAAATCCTCTGGTTCATCCGTTGTCCCATTGAAATTGATTGAAATAGCAATGCACTGGGTATAACATGGTACAACATATGTACAACAGATATACAACATATGTATATATATAATACATATATATATATATATTATATTATCAAATATATATATATATAATGATTATATATGTACTCTTCCCACCTCTGCTTTTCCATCTGTCCATATTGTCGGAAGTTCGACTTCTAAACTTCCTAACCGATAACCCAAAAACACATTTTTTGAGGCATTTCTGCTGGAGAAAGCCGCCTGGCCATGAGTCCGGCCGGGTCCAGTTTCCTGGTGGCCCCATGGAAGCTCTGACCTGGAGCAAACCGGCGGAGAAAGCTCATCCGTAGAACGAGAAGAGTCGAATCACCCCAAATCCATATCGATATTCTGATAAAATAATATTTAGAAAATAAATATCCATATAAAATATGAATATGATAATAAAATAAATATAAATATGATAATCAAATAAAATTGTAATATAAATATAGTAATTTTAATATATGAAATTATTCTCATGATCTCCACATCGATTTCCCATGGTGTCCCATGCCCTTTCAGATCGTCATCAAACCCTTCGCAGGATCTCTGACCTCCTCAATGAAAGCACATCCTGATGGGCCGCAGCCTGTGTTCACCTGAGCAAAAAAAAGAGCAGCGAAAAAATTCTGCGAATCCTGAAAAAGATGTGTCAACTTTTTGGTCAACTTTTTGATCAACCTTTTGCTACTTGGAAGATCTTGGAAGATCTTGGAAGCGTCATTTTGATCATTTTGCAGTTTCAGCTGACCCTTTTGCCTTGCGCTGGCTGACCGTCCAATGACCTTAACTTGACTCTTGAATTCTAAGGCACCAATTCCGCCACCATGGCGTCTTTGTACGCGCCCAGCCGCTGATTTCCGAACCTCAGACGCTGCGCGCATTCTGGGCAAAGGGGGAATCCCAGGACTCCATAAATCTCGGGTTTTTCCGATCGGTTTTACCGATTGGTTTAATCATCCAAAAAACGCCATGAAAACCTCACAACTGACATCATCTGACGAATTTTGGAACATTTTTTTTCCGCTTTTTTTTCCGACGTCGAGTTGCACCACTGCCAGAGTGCCATTGGCGAAGAGACTCGAATTCACCTGGTGGAATCTTTGAACGAAACAACTGGTGGTTGTAAAGGCAAAATGACAACATCACTTTCACTATCTTTAACTCAACATATACTCAACATCAATATCATCAATATCATCAATATCATCAATATCATCAATATCATCAATATCATCAATATCATTAATATCATCAATATCATCAATATCATCAATATCATCAATATCATCAATATCATCAATATCAATATCATCAATATTGATTCTTGATCTTTTACCGGCTACCACTTGGGATGATGGTTTTCTCTCTGAGCTTCTCACCATTTCTGTAAAGTTGGTCCAACCAATCACCGGTCCATCAGGCAAACATGGGCCAAATGGCAAACCAGTAAGCCTGCAACAACTGCAACGGGAGATCTCAAGTTGGTCGAATCTGGTCGAATCTGGATGGTCCTGGATGGTCCTGGATCCTGGCCCCCAAGCTGTAATTATCCACTTTGAAGTCATGAGAAATCCATAGAAATCTATTTCTACTTGTCACTTATTCACTCGCTTAGAACTTGGGTCCTAGTTACCTAGTTTTAGTGTGCATCTGTCAGATTCACTCGCTTCTGCAACACTTCCCGACTCAAGCTGTGCAACAAATCGCATAAATCGCCTCTCGCACATCTCGAATTGAAAACTCGACGCAGCACAACCTGGTTTTTTTCGTCTCAAATAACGATGAAACATAGCTGGTTGGTGGTGGTTGACCTAACATGACCTAACCATCCTGAAAAATGATGGAGTTAAAGTCAATGGGGTTGGGATGACATCCCTTTTTTATGAAATGGAAAATAATCCAGCCATGTTCCAAACCACCAACCAGATGGTGAAACATGGATGATTTGCTTTGACTTGCGCTGGTTTTATTCACGGATTGCAACAAAATCGTGGAGACACGAAACTTTTGAAGATCTTTCAATCATCTAAATTCACATTAACATGACATCACTTGACATTAACTTGACATAACCAGAGTTTTTTCTGGCGCTTTCCCCAATCTTTCCCGAATCTTTCCCGAATCTTTCCTGTTCATCTCCGAGGCTCCGTAAAAGGGTTGTGGGAATTCGCTCAAGGTGCGCAGTGGCGCAGCCGAAGGTACCGTGGTGGCCGTGGAGGTTGTAGTGGTTGTCATGGTGATCGTCGTCTCCGTGGAAGTTGAGGTCAGGGTGCCTGGAGATTTTCCTATGGGATTTTTGGGGCTTTCCTATGGATTTCCTATGGGTTTCCTATGGGTTTCCTATAGGTTTCCTATGGGTTTCCTGAAACATGATAAATCATCCATTTATATATGAATTTTCCACCATCCAGCGATAAAGGGGTATGATGACGAAACCTAATGACTTTGGACATTTTGGAGTCTGGGATAGTCTGGATATGTCTAGAAGATGTGAAAAGACATCTGAAAACAGTAAGACTCAGTGAATCTCAGTAGGTTAAGGTGGAATATCTGCTCATCTGCCCATCTGTTCACATCAGAGAACTTCGAACTCCGAAGTCGGATCCTCTGCAACGTCTCATGATTTCCATAAGAACACCAAAACTTCACCATAGGTCCGCATATTGCTGAGCAGCACATTGTGACACACCTGTGAAATTTCGATATTTCAGCAGGTTTTGATGGATTTTCGATGGATTTTCGTTCCCTTTGAAGCCCTCCACGGCACCGTGATATGTCGTGGACGTAGTGGAGGAGGTCCGTGAAGTGGTGGTTCGTGTGGTACTGCTCGTGGTGATGGTTCTCGTTTGGGTAGCTGTAGTTGTTGACGATATGCTGCTTGTGGCTCAGTGGCAGGGCGTTTGACAAAACGAAAGTTGATGCCGGACCACCGGACCACCCAGTTTTCCACGCACCCTCTGGTTATTTGTTACAGTTCGCCATGGAAAGATCCACCGTGCTATAATAGGTAAACCATGGTAAACCATCTATTGCTATGGGCCATCTATACCATGGCAAACTGTGAATGTCATAACCAGGTTGGGTAGTTCCCAGTTGTCGAACAATGTCGAACATCTCTTGGGGATGCTCCACATTTTTCGATGCCACGACGGTTATGGAGGTGCCAAGAGACTCGACGTGTTGGTCACTGTGTGTGTGGTTTGGGTGGTGAAGGTGGTCGTGGAGGTCGCAGTCGTGTCGTTCTTAGCTTGCACGGGTTGCACAACGAATCACCATGATGTCACAACGAGCAACATGATCAACATGTATAACTCATCAAAGTTAGTCCAAAGTGAGCAAAATCTCAAAAAAACACATCACACATGGCTACAGTTCGGGGCACCACGTGTTTTGACCTTCCATCTCTTTAAACTTTTTTCACAAAAGACTTCCCACATCTTAGCACAGATTGATGCAGAGCCATGCGTCCGTTTCATTGGTATCGTTTGTCTCGTTGAAGGTTTGGTTCTCATCCGTCATGGTTGTAGTACTGCTCGAAGTCGTGGTGGTACCTTCAGTCAGGCTCGGAAGAACCCATTGGGAGCCTGCTCACCAAGGACCCAAAGGCCATCAAGACCATCAAAGGCCTATTGCTCAAATTCATGTACATTCATTTACAGTCATTTGCCGAATATCCATACATGATAATCATTCATTTACCACCATGTTTCACTGCATTTTCACCAATTTCATATGTTTCATGGCTTCTGGCTACCCTGCTTTTGAGTCGGTCATCAGCTTCCGGTCACCACCGTGTTAGGGCTCAACCAGCCTGAAATGCTGCTGCTGGTCGTGGATGTGATGGTACTGCTGGTGGTCGTTGTCACTGTCACCGTTGTGCTGCTAGTCACTGTGACGGTCGAAAAGATCACCGGTGCCCAGAGTCCATAGCCACCTGCAAAAACAACACCTGGATCATCCTGGATCTATTGCAACAAAAAGCAAGCTGGTTGGTGGTTTCAACCCCTCTGAAACATATCAGTCAGTTGGGATGATTATTCCCAAAATATGGAAAACTAGAAATTATAGGAAATTTGCTGGTCTTTTCAATGACCTTGCCCCAACAAGTCTTAGCACTGCGAGGAATCGGAAACACCATGTAAACAGCATATAATAAACACCATGAAACATGTAAAATAATGTGAACAAAATTGAACAAAAACATCATCGGCTTATATCGTTTTCCACTCTCCAAGTCGTGTGTCTGTCTGTCCGACTGTCCATCTTTCAGCGGTTCGCCTCGATCCAACCAATCATAGTAGGGCTCGAAGCATGACCCACCGATACCAACGGCCTCGAGATCAGAGATCAGTAGAGATCAGTAGAGACCGTGCAGGCACTTCTTGGCACGGCCGGAACACAGCACATTACAAGCAAATATATATATATATACTGTGTATATAATATTATATAATATTTATATATGATATTTGATATATATATATATACATATTTATTTCAAATTCTTTCAATTTCACAATATTTCATAATGATGTTTCAGCATACCCAAACAGCCGAACAGCTCAAAGTTTTGAGTGTTATCTTTGCCCAAACTTCCACAACGACAACGGGAATGATCAGAAAAAAATCGGAGGGAGTGTACCTCAGCTTAAAGATCCCTCTGATCCCTTTTCCGTAGGCCTGGAATTCTCGCACCGGAGTGTATGAATACCTGGCGAAGACAACGACGTGAGATGCTCCTGGATACTTGACCTCTTCGAACATATTTTGCTGATACTTTGATTAATCCATATATTAACCAGCAGAATTGCGTGATATGTGTGATACGTGATATTATGATCACTCCCGATGTCTCCCAGTTACCAGACTTTCCCCAGGTGCTCCCACGTCATCCGCAGAGGCACGGGAAGTACAAGCCAACCCATTCGCTTTCGATCATCCAGGAAGGAGCTCCATAGGAGATACGCAGCTGCTGCCAATCCACTTCGCCTGGGGAAGGGGATTCTGATCTCAACCAGCTGGTCCCAAATGTAAAATATTGTAAAATCCTCCACGGCATGGTTTCTATGTTTAAATAGGAAGGATTAGGAAAGGAATACATTCAACATCATTCAACTACATGAACCAGTAATTACCTGTTAGCTCCACTTTTAGAAAATGCTGATGGCAAAAAGACGTATTTTCACGCGGCGAACTTTGACCGTGCCGATGCTGCCGAGATTCTGTCAGCCCTCAACCTCAATCACAGTTAGTCTAAGCTGGTTTCATGCGCTTCTTGTGGTTTCCGAAACAAATGAGATATTGCAGTCATCCAAGATCAAACTATTATATATATATATATCCATCTACATTCCATCATCTATTCCATCTACTTTCCTACTTCATGAGCCCGAAGACCGATCATAAAAAAGCGGCTACCCAATGAAAATCCGCAATAAATATGTCCCCAACAGTTTCTCCAGTTTTTTTCCACATCGCTTCTGCGGAGATGCCAAGAGACGTGTACCAGAAGGGCAGCCTGCGCCATTGCACGGGTCTCGGACCCTGTTCCGCCCAGCGACTCTCCGGCCAGACGAAGTCGTCGCGGCTCTTGGCACCTACCACCTGGGGAGATTCTCACCTGGATTTACCATCTGGTTATGACTAACATAGCCATGGAAAATCACCATTTTTTTAAAAGGTAAACCATCTATAAATGAGCCATCTATACCATGGCTGTGTTAAATAACCAGAGGGTACTCTTAGATAATTGAACAGAATTTGAACAGGATATATGAACAGGTGAAAATGGGATACTAAGATGGGATACGAAAAAAAATATTAGTATCACCATTATTGAACTTTTTGGATAATTGAACAGGATAAACATGGGATACGAAAAAAATGGGAATATGAATGGGATTTATCCTCTGGTAATTTCTTACATAGCTGGAAAATCACCATTTATAGGAAAATCATCTGGAAATGGGCCATGGCTTCCATAGCTGCCATAGCTTTTTGTATGCTTTTCTAGAGGCTATTTTCATGTTCATCCCGCACCAAAAATGTAGAGGTATTGAATCAATTGAATGGTATTCACTGACCCATCCCCATAAAAATTATCATTTATTCATATGATTTCATATGTATTCCAACATCACAGCCATGTATCTGTTATTATCTGTTACTGATTACGGTGGCAGAGACGTTCGACTGCGCAGCCAAGGTACCGAAAAGAACCATCCATCTGTGTAGGGAACGGAGCCATGACCATAGATGGACCAAACAGTGAGATCAGTCCTTGGATCAACCGTCCCAAAAAAGGTCGAAAAAATGGCTTCTCAGAAATTGTGCATGGCCGCCATGAAAAGCCTTTCTGCAACGGAATTTTCTCAAGAAAGCGTTTCAGACCTTAAGATATGACTCTCTGTGAAGGCATTGTTGCACATGATTCCGGTGAAAGGTAGTGAAAGATATCACGTCCAAGCGACCCTATGAGATCTGCAGGTTGTACACCTCCAGCTTTGGACAGCTCGGGGCAACAAAATCTGTCTGCTGACACGTTTTCACCACCAGAGTCAACGCTTTCCACAGACTGCAGTGCAGTCGATGTTCCAGTCGATGTTCCATAAGGATCAATGACTTATTGATATCAACAAACTTCTTCACAGGATCTAAAATGTCACATTTATCTGGGTAAATTTACCAATAATTCACGAACCCAGATTTAGTTCGGCCATTTACCCAGATCATCCCAGATCTATGGTCACATTTTTCGGTCACATTTTCCGGAGATTTGGGATTGACGGGATTGTCTACGACTTTTTTTGGTCTAAAAGACTTTGGAAAAAAACGGTGTCTGAATCACCTCAAACAGGCACGGACAATGTTTAAAACCACCCCAACCCATTGTTTATGTATATGTATACATATGCATGTGGTATCATTATGTATCATTATTATGTCTATACAGTAATAATTAGGAATTATTAGAGTGGATGTGCAGCACGGCTCGAGAAATCGAAGCAGCCACTCTGCCAGAGTGGCTGCAGCAGCTACTCAGCCACTCAGTCACTCAGAGTGGCTCGGCAGCCACTCAGCCACTCACTCAGGCAGAGTGGCTGGGGCAGCCACTCAGCCACTTGCGCGCTCAATCAAAATGACATATTACAGTATGAAGAGATTCCAAGGTTATGTGAAGATATTATGAACATATCCCACTCCACTCCATTCGCAAATTCTTCGCAAGGTCAGTGTCTTCTTGTCTTTTGCCCGCCTGTGATCTGCACTGCCCTGACGAAGATGTCAGAGGAGCACAAGAGTCTCAGCGCTGCCTGCAGTTGAACGCAGTTGAACGCGTTCTTCTCCCAACGTGCATTTCATTCATTGTTTCATTTCAAATTTGTAGAATTTTGTAGATGTATAAACTGTGTAAACCCTTTGTAAATTGGGGAAACTGAGTGGAAGCTCTGACAGTTACTAACCTTTTCAGGATTCCACACATGAACAGAATCAGTTTTTTGATTCTGGAATGTGACCAGCAGATTGCCACATTGCTGGCCGCCATGGCCGCCATGGCCGCCATGGCCGGGCCTTCGCCATGGCCATGCCTGACATGTTCAGCAGATTTCCCAGCCTGGACTCCTACACTCTGACAACGAGCATGGCGATTGTAGAACTTGTCTCCGGTGACCCAACCTTCGTGCACTGCTAAATGGGTCACATCATCTCACATCATGTCACATCATACGAGTACTTCATGATACAAGATATACAAGATATACAAGATATACAAGACACACAACGAACGAGAACGATATCAAGAAAACCTAAGAAATCCTAAGAAATCACATGTTCAGCACATGTTCAGATGATTTGAGATGACTATTAGATGACTACTACTTGTACATACTTGTACTTTGGCCCAATAGAGACACCACACGAAAAAAAACATGTCGCAGTGCCCACCTCCAGTTGTCCCAGACAACGAACCGTCGAGGTCTGCAAAGATGGCATAGCCAGCCGGAGACTGTGTCAAGATCTCCACCTCACATCAAAAAATCCACCCATGATTTTTGTTGATCTGCCTCTTGCAACATCTTGCAACATCTTGAACACGGAGAATTGCAGTTGTTGTGTTTTTGAATGTTTTTGAACAGTGAAATCTGCTCAGAGATTGTCAAAGAAGAGTGAAACCATGTGAAATCTGGCCGGTCAAAGAGTCTCATAAGCACCAGGATCGATCCGTGAAGAATCCTCCCACAGCTTCCGCTCATAAAGCTGAGCTGCATCGCTCTGGAAGAAGCGTATGTTCTCGGCTCTGATGGTCACGGGTCGGAAGCCTCCGTGCCTGTGCACCACTGAGGGAAACTTGGATGATCTTGGATGACTTGGATGACGCAGCCGGGCACAGTATTGCTATGTATACTCAATAGAAGATTCCCATAGATTCCCACATTGTGTCGAGCAAACTAAGCAAATTCATCGAATGATCTTTATTTAACTTTATTTCTTTTCATTCTCAAATGGTCCAGTGACTTCAGTGGTAACTCAAACCCTCACCCCCGCTTTGCCCAAGTGGTGACTGAAACGCAGATCAAGTTGCAGGCATGGACTGCTGCCAAAGAGGAAGAAGGTCAAGTTGCGAATGTGTCGACCTGCTTAGGACATTGGAGGACTGCATTTCTCTGCAGATCGGTGAAGCCACTGAATTTCTTCGAAAGGAATCCAACTGCTATACTTAGATATGCATATTATATGGATAGATATAGATAGATATAGCTTATATATAGCTTATATGCTTATATTATTGGTTTATTGTTGAGTTTACCCACTGTTTACCATGGTTTAATATGTGAGATCTGGTCCCCTGAAGGAAGCCTCACCTTCACGCGGACCAAGGATGATCTGTGGCTCCAGGGACACATGAGGGGCGCCCCACATGTCACGAGTGCCAACCGCAGTGATGTTCCTTGGCGCAACGTGGCATCTGTTGAGATGACTGGGATCCGAAGAATTCCGAAGATCTTGGGATATCTTGGATTGTAGTGTCAGTCACCAGTGGCACAAGTGTTGTGTTTCTTGTGCCCAGGTACTCAATCCAAGGTGGATCTTCCAGCAGAGGTGCTGAGTCCTGCTCGCGCCCGGTGGCGCCACGTTGACGCCACGTTTGGGGTCTGCGTTGCTTTTTGACACGACAGGGCAACGTTGCTACAGGAACATATCCAAAAACAACATCTGTTCAGATCTGCATCCAACATCATCCGACTTCCCGCAGCACGTGTGGACCTTAAACAGGTGGTTAGTTTGGCCTTTTTGTTTGGTCATGTTTGGTCCTGATCCAAAATGCCATAGGTGCACTCCACCCATTTCCAGTTCACCAAACGACATCGATCGCAGGCGTGCACAAAGGCCACATAGTCGCTGGCGAAAACCCTGAAGTCCTCAAAGACCTGGCAAACGGCATCTGTGCGATAGAAATTGTGGCATGGACTTCACGACGTATATATGGTATATATTGTATATATGTATATATGTATATAACATGTATATATATATGATATATGAGTTCTAGATATGTAATGAATCATAGTGAACTACGAAAACCCATGACATGCGATGACAATTCTGCTCTCGCAGCGCCGCTGGTCCCGGGTCCTTGGAGTCCCCTTGGCGCAGCGTGGTCATCAGCAGGGCCATGTGACAACCGTGCACAGCGTTGCCGCGGAAGGCGTGCAGCCACGACATGTCACCTGTGCAAATCCGTTGATTTCAATCCTGCTAGGTCAAACCTAGAAACATCAGGTGCTCGATCTCAAAAGCCCAACCTGTCCTTGAAATCACTTTTTTGACCTAACCCTTCGGATGTCAGGAAAACGCCAACTTCAGTGCAGTACAGCGCGCCTGGAAAGTCATCTGAGTCAACACGTGGCTCGAAGTAGAAACAGGCCTCGGGAAAAATGGTCAGTCAAAGCTTGGTGACAAATGACCACTCGAATGGTCATCAAATGCTCTCTTAATATCACTCAATCACGGGAATATATCACTCTGATTTAGTCTGAAGTCCCAAAACATGTAGGGATATGTAGGCTATGCAGGCAGGGTGAGTTTTTCATTGTCACTGCATGGCTAGCATACTCTAGTTAGTATACTCCAGTTCTTTCTTGTGCTGTTTCATGGCCACATCTTCAGGAACCACAGGAACCACAGCTATGCCCCGACGCCTCGGCATGGGATGCGAAGTTCTCCAGATATGAGGCAGCGCCAGTGGCCATTCGAAATGCGACTCGATGTTGGAACCACGGCAATCCCACATCCGACCTCGACACCGACACGGTCACAGCACAGTCACAGCACAGTCAGCACTGTCACTGGTTGGAGCAGCTATTTAAGTGCAATTTTTGCAGGTCAATCATGGGGGCTTGGGCGGATGGGAAGAAGATGGGAAAAAGATGTGAAAAGATTCAAGCAACATCCTGTTGGCTTCTGCCCAGTGACTTCCGTGGTGACACGACTTGGTTGTTCCGCAGCAGTACCGCAGGGCCTTTTGGAAGATCTTGCCTGACAAATCAACAAACGCCAAGTTGAGCACTCCCTGTCACCAAGGAAAACGATCCAACTCTAAGTTTCCCACATTTTCCATGGCTGGTTGCTCACAGTTTTCCTGGAAAAAAAACCACCGCATTTGCTGCATCAAATAACATAGAACAGTATACTGTATTTCACATCAAAATCGCTGGGAATTATGGATGTTCATCCCCTAAAAATGCTATTTATAGGCAGGTATTGTTATCAATCCATATAAATTCCATATAAATTCCATTTAAATTCATATAAATTCCACAAAAATTCTATATAAATTCCAAATAAATTCCAAATAAATTCCAAATAATTTCCATACAAATTCCGTATAAATTCCATATAAATTCCATACAAATCCAAATAAATTCCATATAAATTCCATATAAATCCATAAAAAAATCATAAAAATCCAAATAAATTCCATATAAATCGCTATAAATTCTATATAAATCCATAAAAAATCCATATAAATCTATATAAATTCCATATAAAATTCACATAAAATCCATATAAATTCCATTTAAATCCAAATAAATTCCATTTAAATCCATATAATTCCCATATAAATTCTATATAAATTCTAAATAAATTCCAAATAAATTCCATACAAATTCCGTATAAATTCCATATAAATTCCATACAAATCCAAATAAATTCCACACAAATTCCATATAATTCCGTAAAAAAATCATAAAAATCCAAATAAACTCCATATAAATCGCTATAAATTCTATATAAATCCATTAAAAAATCAATATAAATCCATATAAATTCCATATAAATCCATACAAATTTTATATAAATTCCATATAAATCCATTTAAATTCCATATACATTTTATATAAATCCATATAAATTCCATATAATTCCAAATAAATTCAATATAAATTCCATATAAATTCCAAATCATTTTTATATAAATCCATACAGTAGCGTCCCATCATATCCCAGCCCCATTCTCACAGCTTACGGCCCGTGCCGGCCTGACGGTCACAGTGACCCCCGAGCCCCGAGGGGAAGTCACCAAGTTGTTGGTGAACTCTAAGTGGCCGCGGCTTTGGGCCTCAAAAAGTTGCGTCTCTGCGATAAAAACCATGGTTTTTATAGGAAAAACCAATGATCACCACGGTTTTTATATGTTTTTATATGTGTTTGATGCGATTTGATCCCATTTTTTTTGGCGTCAAGCTGCTTCAATCTGTTTCAATCTGCTTGAACATGCTTCAAGTAAATCAGGTCGATTCTGTTTGTTTCATGCTGTTTTCTCGGTTTTCTAATATACCAGAGATGAACCACACATGGCTCCACTTTGTTTCTTGCATTGGGCATTGACGATTTCATGACAGGGTCCCTGTTGGCTCCATTCTGCCGCTCTGCCCTCAATCCTGCGCCTGCAAGACTACGGCGGGTCCACCAGCATCCAAGAAGACAGAGTCTTTTACCTCAACGGCTTCGAAATGCTCACAAAATGATGAGAGGGATAGTACTAATGCTAACTAAACTAGTCTGACAAGTAAATCTAATGTGGCTCATTTCGGATTCAACAGAAATCTCTGAGGAGTAGCTGCAAGTAATGCACAGCTATCCATACGGCGGACACTTCTTCCGGGCACACGGGTGACTAAACCTTTCAGCCAAAGCCGTCCAATCTTTCAGAGATTTTCAGACCTTGCATCCGCTTGCATCCCTCCATTTTAGACCTGAAATCACAATGAAGAAAAGGATCAAAGCCGTCGTAAACCCGTCGTAAACCCAACTCCAGTCGTCAGGCTGCGAAAGCGTGGTTGGGCTCTTGCAACGCCTTTAGATTCACGCATGGAACGCCAGCGGTTCCTAGCACAATTTCCACGACATGTACACAAAAAACACCTAAACACCTTAACTCAAAGCCAAGTCTGTTACTGGAACTCACCATTGAACGGTATTTTATGTTATTTTGACAAGGTGATGTCATCTAGATATCATCTAAAGATCATCAATTGATATACCCTCTGGTTATTTAACAGTTCGCCATGGAAAATCCACCCATTTTTTTCATAGGTCAACCATCTATTTCGATTAGGGCCATGGCTTAACCATGGCTAGCCCTGTTAGTCATAACCAGGTTGGGTAGCAATTTCTGACGGAGTCCTGATGCCACCTGACCACAATGGCTGAAGACCAGTCCCTCGATGCCTCATGAGGTGAACCAACCATTTCATGAAAAAAAGGAGCAGGAATTCTAATATATCCCCCAAAAAAAAGTTGATTACGTATATAATGTTCAAATATATCAAACATGATGATTAATTGAATACATATATATATATACACGTATATATAAGGATTGATTATATGTGATAACAATGATGATAACGAATTCGAATCCCACTCCCCCAATCAAGGACCTCGAATGAATAGATCCAGTACATTTCACCAGGGTTTCATTCGGGTGGCAACGAATCTAAGAATCTAAGATAATTGAAGGGGTTGGGATTTTCAATTTTCCTATATATCCTCAATATATCCTCAATATATCCTATAATATTCTATATGGATCATATCCTATATGGATCACATCCTATAAATATCCTATATGGATCTACATGTCTACATGGATCTACATGGATTCCGTTTAGGTCTCGACCTTAGGATCTGACCACAGCTTCCATCCGAGTTGAGGCAGTCGATGAAGGCGTCACAGTTGGAACCGTAGAAATGCGCCATTCCACCGAGAGATGCCACTGTGGCACTGAGGTCCACCTAAAAGATTTCACCGATAGACAGATGGGCCGAAATGGGGGAATTCCTTGGTGATCCTTGGAGATGGGATCTTTGGTCTTTGGTCATTTTTCCATCATTTTCCAATGCGATTTTTATTGTCCTGAAACTTTGGTCATTCAACTTCCAAAAAAGCTTCGTTTTTTTCCTCGCTTCCGGCCTCGCCGAAGTTGTACAAGATCTGCTCTTGAATGGCCTCCAGCTGTCTGATACCTCCTTCTCGATCATGGAGCAGCGGCTCTTGCAACCTGGCGGTTTCGCCATTCCGCTGTGAAATGGTGGATGGATGTGGGACCACCCATCAACTTAAGTGGCACTTGTTGAGTCACGAAAAACATGGAAAAACCCAAGAAATATCCCAATATCATTGGCCATCATGCTTCATCTGACAATTGCTGGGCCACTATCACTGCGGCCCCCAAAAAATATTTCTGGTGGATCTTGCCCCAAATTAAATCCTCTTTGTGTCGGTGCTGTGTCGCCAAGGAGCATCAACTTGAAGCCGTCCTCTTCAATTGATTCCACAACCTCTGAGCTTACGACTTGACTTCAACCTCCTCGGACTAAAAACTTTGTATTAATTGAATGCCTTGCCACCTTGTCATCCGACTTCTCTTCAGAGAAAATGCAGCAGTATTAAGAGTTACATCAATATACACACACATATTAAATCAAAACATTATATATTATATATATTATATATTATATATATTATATTTATATATATATACATAACATATAACATATATATATATATACTATAAAATATCAATATATCCTTCATCTCCCTTGGTCTCTGAGCTCCTCACGTGAACTTCTGGCTTTTCTCCACTTCCACCCATGACCAGGAGATGTTCGCCGATTTCTACATCGATGGGATTCCGTAAGGACAACTCCTGACCAATGGAGGAGCAGAAATGGCTGGGTGACACATGGAGCAGGTTTCGACACATATCTCTGGATAGATATAGGAGATATGTTGGAGGGTCATTCTCCATATTCTCCCGAATATGGCTGAAGAACGTTGAAGATGTTGAAGATAGAAATACTTGAAACATCTTGAAACCACGAAGCTAATGAAGTGATATGAAGTGAATGTATGTCTGATCCAGCATTGCTCCTTGCTACCGGCCATGGCTGAGCGCACCAGCAAGGAGGAACGCCGAAAGGGACTTCGAAGCATCAAACCTGCGATTCACACAACATGTGGTCTCCCCGAAAAAAACACCAGTAACTCAAGGGTTATGGATGGTTAAGGGCAAAACGCCATGAAATTGAAATGGAAAATGCTTTTCCCCCAACGGCAACGCATGTCGATGCGCTTTCCTCAATTACCTTCCCCAAGCATAATAAGATGTTTGCATCTAATCGATGCGCTTTCCAGCGCTTACAGTAGCAGAACTCTACGATTTTTGGTATAATGGATGTGAATGCAGCCTGCAAGTTGCACTTAGCTAGCAAAAAATCTTTGCAATCATCTTCAGGTTTAAAGTGTCCTCGTATGGTTTAAAGTGCCCCCAATAGAAAGCACTGTATTCTGCAGCCCATCACAATAAACGGAACCGGCGGCAGCTCTGCACTGCGATGTACCACGATTCGAAATCCGACAGGCAACTTCCATGTGCATCAGCCCAGGCAGACTCACGTTCAAAGCGATTGGTCACCAACAGGCCATAGCGATGAACGCCTTAGCACACTGAAAAACACTGAAAGTCAGGGCCGGGATCGGGCCGGGATCATCCTGTCGTCCCCAAAACGCTGTGATGGTTGGTATGTTATGGTCGGGTTTTCACATGGTGACATTCAAAGAGATATATATATACAGTATATATATAATATTATATAATATTATATGATATATGTATGGATATGATATACAAGTATGGATATATGATATCTTAAAGGTGCAATGCAAATCGCTGCAAAAACCACTGCGCCACTTCAGAGACTTTTGCAGCTTGTGAGGAATGAACCACTCAAAATACTCAAATCCTTGAACCGGCAATTCATTGGCGGATCCGCCCCCTGTTGCTCTCGTCAGCCAGCCCAACAGCCTTGTGCTTCCACTCGACGAGAAAATACCTGAACAAGTCTCGCCCTGATGAAAAGTGCTCCCTGGTTTTCTGTTTACTGACTATGTCACACTATGTCACACTATGTCACTATGTGGCTCAGATTGGCTCAGATCGGCATTGGCTAAGATTGGCCCAACGCCTGAGTGATGTTGGCGTCCCCCATGACGATGGAAAAGTTGGTGTTCGTGTCGATGGTCGACATGTTGGGGTCCAGCGAGTCTATGAGAGACCTGGATCCATACCAGCTATGGCAGCTATGGTGTTCCAGTCATGTTCCACATTGAATGAGAACATCTACAAGCATCATCAGAAAGTCTATAAGAAAGAAAATCTATGGAGTAGTCCAAGTTGAACAGCTTTTTCACACTGATTGAGCGGTGCACCTAACATCTTTCCTCGCTGCAGTGAGACTACCACCACGCAGCCATAGCCGTTCTGTTTGCAGAGAAATGTCCTGGAAAGGGACAAATCACCAAAACGAATCAGAACTCTTGATTTTATTGAGGATGTAGAGGATAAAAAATCCAAAACAAAAAATATGGATATATACAAATAATTACAAATACATATTAATCCAATGCTATACATCATTATACAGTATACATCATTCATACATCGCATCCAATGGCTCTGAAGGAACTGCTGATGCTGCGGACTTCCGCGGGTCGTCCTGCGCCATCAAATCCAGTTCCAACTCACCTTCCACTCGTAGCAAACTCAGCTTCTCTGTGGGCATGTCCAACACCACATGGCTGCCTGGAATATTCTGGAATCAACCGTGGCAACAATCCTTTTTTGAACATCCTGAAAATTCCACAGCCTACTGAGGTCCTACACAGTCAACACACATGTTTCATCCTTCCACGACCTCTCTGGCCGAAATTGGCATCCGAGAGTCTGAAACATCTGGCCGGCAAAATTATGACATCAAAGTCATCAAAAGTCATCCAAAGTCAGCCATAGCTATGACTGAAGGTCACAGTTGGCACAGTTGGCACCTGCCGGAATCAACGTCTCGTCTGTTGGAATGGGCGGTTCACCATGAGGCCAATCAGAAGGGATGGACCATCGCGAGGTGTAGATGAAGGAGACGTCCGGCCCCTCAGATGACTTCAGACTGCGGTGCTTTCTGGTGTTGACGAACGTAAAAATTGACCCCGAACATGACAAAAACCAGGTAGCTCTCTCAAAATCTGGTTTAAGTCTCAATTCTGCCACATGTTTCACGAATTTTCACCCTCGAATTACCACATATTCCAACTCCGCTCAGCAAAATCAGCAAACGCTCAGCAGTTCTTTTCTCAAACTTCTGCAGTTTTCTGGTGCAGATGAGCGTCCAGCAAGACGTTGCCACAGCCAGCCTTCAGCAGTACCTGCTGTCCCCCCAGCGACGTCTTGGCGCCGCTGCGACAACGCAGCTCCGTGTCGCTGGCGGAGGTCACCACCTGGGAAAATCATGGGGAAAATCATGGGAATATTGGATTATTATGGGAATATCATGGGATTATCTTGAGAAATGTTGAGAAACTGGAGATAACTGGCGATAACTGGAGTTTAGACATGATTTTTGGGTGAATTTTCTAGAACTTGGTGCATCTTTTTCATGGCTTCCAAGTTGTAGTCCTCTGGATCCCCAGACGCAAGGTGTGTCGGAGAGGTTCACTGCAAGCTCCTCAGCAGTGGTCGTGCCGTTGCAAAGAAAGCCACTGCCTGGCACGCTCCGTAGAGGCTCGAGGCTTCCAAGATGTTCTAAGTCATCATAAGTCATCATACCATCTGGCTATGACTAACATAGCCATGGAAACCATGGAAACCATGGAAACCATGGAAACCATGGCCCATAGAAATAGATGATTTTCCCAGCTAGAAACCAGAAACCTCATGAAACCTCCATTGATTTTGGGGATTTTCGCCAAATAACCAGAGCATCATAAGTCCAAAAAGATGACCTGAAATCAATCAGATCTACAGGTTGGAACCCATGGATACCCATGGCCCCGAAAAAAATCTGTGATAAATTCCCCGACCTCGCAGCAAAACGTCGCTGTTGCCCATATAAGGCCCACCAGGAGGATCAATTGACCTGAGAATCTGAGACCAGGGTAATTCATGGTTCGATGATCGGCAGATCCGGGGTTGATTCAACAGGGAAGGCTGCAGATTTCAGTTTCTTTGACAGAGACGACCCCCAAAACTCGTGATAAAACTCGCGAGATCTCGCGTCAGTTAAGTCATTCCCGATGTAGGAGTTGGTACATATCCCATCATATTCCACATTTTGGGATTTTTAGCCATTTGAACTTGGAGTACCAAGCAAATAATACATTGTGAGGCCCCCAAGATAGCCAAGTTGATTTATAACTCCAATAACTATGGTTTATGGTACTTATAACTATAGTTACTGGGGCTTATAAACCAACTTAGCTATCTTGGGGGCCTCACATTGTAGTAAATAATTAGTAACACTTGAAACAAGCAGCGAGACCATGGGCGTCATCTTGGCGGATGGCTGCACCACGTCTGGAATGGTCAAAGTCTGAACCAAGAAATCGACACCTGCGATTTCATAGGGAGCGATTTGTGGATAGCTGGGGTTGTGGAATTTAATGGATATTAATTGATTTAATGGATTCTAATGGGATGGCTGAATTTGGCAAACATGGACAAACCCTACTGCTTTTGTTGAAAACATGAAAACTTCTCTGCAACGTTTCAGGACAAGTTCAGGAACAAGTTGATTCTGGAGGATGCCATGCTTCCTACTCTTTGTCGCTGCTGACAATCCAATTTTCTCTTCACATCGACACTAGCTGGTTCACCAAAATGAGTTTGTTGCATCCAAAACGGTACCCTAAAATTCCCACGATCATATCATTTGAATCATATCATATTTATGATATCATATCATGTTCCCCATGCTATAATTAGGTATAAATTTGTATAATGATTAATGACATATTAATGACATATTAATGAGATATAACCTGGTAATGGTTAGCTATAATGGTTAGCTAAGGACGGACAGGCAGAATCTTGGATGATTTTTTGGTGGATCCACCTGCAGTGAGGCTTTGAAGTTCTCCCAGCTGCAAAGCTGCGCCGTTCGCATTCCAAAATTCCAAGGCCCAGAGACCCGGCGGCAGGTCAAAGGTGCTGCTACTCCTGGGAGGATTTGGAAGGTGATGGATTGATATGGATTGTATTCATTAATTATATGCCATATCAATATCATTCATCAATCCATATACATATCATCTTTGTATTCAAAGAACTCAAAATTATATGCCTTTCGTTGCGATGTCGATGTTTTTTGAGGAACGCTTTGCTCAAGATTGTGACATGGCAAAACCAAACTTGCCAAAACCAACACCTTTAGTCAACTCGCAAGGTTTTCTATGTAAGTGGGGGGGAATGTTTCGGTAACAAGATTTCGTGACCAACTGACCCAAAGTGTCCAAAAGTCATCACTTTATCAACTGAGTGCTTTACTATTTCAATGGAAGATCCAAATACAACCGTTTCCTATCAGTTTCCCCAAAAAACACTGCTGACACTTTGGCTCGGCAGCTCTCTCCAGGTCATTCTCGGTGTATCGCTGAAGATGCGAAACATCGCCGAAAACTCTGTAGAGAAGAGCTGACCTGCAGCTGCTATTGAGAGTTGTTGATCATTTTGGGGAGTTGCAAAAGGTTGGGATTTTGTCGAAGATCATTTTGGGATATTTTGGGCAGCTGTAGAATGCTGCCCGGAAACTTGCTACAGGTCAGGGTAGGCTACACGGATGTTCTGAAATTTTGCAAAAAAAAAACAGCGATACATCTTCAATTCCCGGAACCATTGACATCAGTGATTGTAAGCTCTTACATGTTTGTTTCGTCAACACTGACGCAAGCACTGGGATACCCTCTGGTAATCAAACATGGCAATGGACAATCTGCCATTTGTAGATGATGTTCCCATTGAAACCTCCATTTCTAGGGTGTTTCCCATTGCCACGTTTGATTGCCGGAAGATATCCTTGGGCAGGTCAACAATCTCACCATTTCTTCAGGTGTCCGACGATTTTCACGCGCCTGCTTGGATTCTCTTGGCCAAAATAGGCAGTGGCACTGTCTTGGGCTCGACATTTTCGGGCACTGTGGCCTGAGCAGAGAAACCAAAGAGGCTGGTTGCCAGTCAGTAATAAGACTCTTCAAATACTGGCAGGAAGAGACATTTTACGTGTGTAACATTACCACATTACCATCCGAAACTCTTTATACCTCTTTCAACACAAACTTACAGATCTCTCCGAGGCCGCCATTCTGTACGTTGTGTCTTAGACGTCGCTGTGGGTTGTCGCACCTCCAAGTGAAACTTTATCTGCTCAGTGGTGTCCACTCGCATCCAAACCACCAAGGAACCTGGTACTGGGATACCCACAACGATCAGCGAGGAATTGAGAACGTCAAACTTGGGTTTCCATGTTTGCTTCGCATGTTTTCTTGTCTTGCATGAGGAAAATCCGGAGACTGTCCGAACATGCAACAACTAAATTCTACCATCTGACTAGCTTTGTGCTTAGCACGCGCTCAACAAAATGAGACAGCGGCTCTGGAATGTCGAGTGAACTACCCACAACCTCCCCAGTAATCACTCAATGACAAGCTCAGGATGCTTGTTTTAATCAGCGAGCTGAAACGAAATCTTGAGCCGAACAACAGCGCGAATTGCATTGAAGGGAAAACACAAAAGACATAAGAAAACAGCTGTCACCATGGAGGGGTGTACACTAGTATGTACATGATGTTTCACAACTCCCCCCTCACACCGAACAAGCTGTTCAACATATATTACTAGGCGATGCAAAAATTGCAAAGCCATTATTAGAGATCATCCAGGTGCTCGTACACAGAGTTGTTCTAGTGCCTCCTGCCAATGGATTGGTGGACGACCCCTTTCCACCTGCCTCAGCCGATCCTGGGCGCTTTCTAAGCGGCGGCGAAAGATTTTGGCGGACCTGTCGGTGGAAAGTGGTCCCTGATCAAGAATCTGAGTACACACTTGAATGAAGAAGTTGAGAAGGCCACAACACAAACCCTTCAACCGTCTTCTGTAGTTGTCACCCCCATGCTTTTGAGCACGGCTTCTCTGATATGCGTCCCTCAACTGCTGTAGACGCTCACGAGAGATGTTCTCTTCACGATCAGGAGGTGTTCGGGCACGGCCTCTACGCGCTCTTGCAGTGAAATCCTTTTGCAGTGGCACCTTTGCGTGAAACAAGATCACGTAGCGGTTGCGGTGAAGCACTTGCAGTGATACAACTGGGTTTGGACCAAAAGTCACCGGTGTTCAGATCACAACACACACACACACACGTTCGCTCGACACTGGAGTCGGACTGCTATATTCGAGAAGTCTTACTATCGATGCTCAGGCTCTACACCCAAAAGTTGCTTAGCAATGATGGGGGGTCTAAGGCACAATGCCAGCTGAGCTATCTATTGATGTTGGTTTGATGAACAACTGACGGATGCGATTTGAGTATGAGTCTCTCACAGGGACACGAATCAATGGCACACTTCAACACACTTTGTGGTTCAATCTTATGTGTATCAAGCCCTGCGCTCAACCTAGCAGTCACACTAAGGAATTCAAGCTTGGCGAAATATTGAAGTTGGTATTTGCGAATGAGGGGATGCACCCTGGACAGTGCAAACACTCCCCGAAGTACTCAAGCAGTCCTGGTCACTTTAAGTGCTGGCTTGCTTCACTGACTGGAATCCTGGGACAAGTAAGAGGTCAGCTTAGCCCATTGCCGACATTTGCTTATCACGAAAGGAACGAGTGTGTATATGGATGTGCTGGCAACACAAGTGAATAAGCTTGGCTCGGACTTATCACAAGGCAACCAAGAATGATAATTAAATATGAACCTGAGGCTGTTAACCTGTTGAGTGAACTACCCACAACCTCCCAGGTAATCACTCAATGACAAGCTCAGAATGCTTGTTTTAATCAGCGAGCCGAAACGAAATCTTGAGCCAAACAAGAGTGCGAATTGCATTGAAAGGAAAATACAAAAAACATAAGAAAACAGCTGTCAGCATGGAGGGGTGTACGCTAGTATGTATATGATGCTTCACAACTTGGAAGTGAAAGTTCGAACGTTGAGAATTCACCGCACCTTGGGAGATTTCTAACTATCAATCGCCACATGCGGGGCATGAAATGGATCTGCCTGAAAAATGTGTACCCCATCACGCCCCGCTCCATCTCTCTGCACATGTGTCGCCTTTTTCGACAGGTCGTAGATCGAACTATCCCAAGTCTATCCAAATAATGTGGGCCTGTTTGATGATTGGTCCACGTTAAGCAACATTGAGCACCTGCTTTTTTGCAATAACCCCATTCAACCCACTGATATCCCAACTAAATGCGACCATATTTGATGATTAAAACATATTGACCACCATTGAACACCTACATCTTTTCCTATTTTTGCTGGCCCTACAATCCGAACTATATCCCAACTATATCCCAGCCATACCCCAGCCATATCCCAACTATATCCCGACCATATCCCTCATAATTACCTCAAGTATACTCCAACTATATCCACAACATATCCCAATCATATCCCTGCCATAACCCAAAAATACCCCAAGATACCCCAAGAATATCCCAATCATATCCCAAGAATATCCCAACCATATCCCAAGTATATCCCAATCATACCCCAAGTATATCCCAATCATATCCCTAAGTATATCCCAATCATATCTCAAGTATAATCCAAGCCAATTAGATCATTTTAGTATTGAAGCCCTTCTTTAAAAGACCCCCCCCTCTTCATATCCAAATGGTCTTGGGGATCCCAATTATTCATGATATGTAATGATATGTCATGGTCAACTTTCATTGGGCCAATCATATCCCAATCATGTCCAAATAAAGAGAATCCCCCCCAAGTATATTCCAAGTATATCCCAGTAACTTAAAAATATATTCCAAGGTCATGATAACCATCTATTCCAATGGTTTACCTATTAAATAGAGGGTTTACCTATTTGGAAGAGGATAAAACTATATAAAACTGATAAAACCATCTATTCCATCTATTAAATCCCATGAAATCCCATAGAAAATCATGGTGAAATCCCCCATTTTTACCCAACATTTCCACCGTATTTTTTTGACCAATTTTTTGGCACCTCCAGGCATCATCAAGAGCTGATCCTCCACCTCCGTGACGCCCAATTTCTGCGTGGCCAACTGCTGCAGTGCTGCTCCACTGCTGACGCCCAAGGCGGCCACCGGGCCACCATGGGAGACCTCGCACAATGACTTTGCGAAGAGGTTGCGAAGTGGAAAACCACCATTGTTAGTAGGTCAATCCATCAAAACATCAATGGATGATGGACAATCCATAGTGGACAATCCATCCATTGTTAGTAGGTCCATTGTTAGGTAAATCAATGTAAATCATCAAAAAAGCATCAAACTAAGGACCATGATCATCCATCAAACTAACAGTGTTAGTAGGTAAATCATCAGTTTCATCCATCTTCCATAGCTGTGTTAGTTTAGCAAAGTGTAGTGGTTGATGAACAATCTGACATTTCTGGGATTGGCCATGAGATTCCATCCCATTGCTTACCTCATCTTTGTGACATTCTGGGATCGAGAACATAGGAATCTTTGCTGTTGAATAGCTTTGCTGTTGCCTGCAGATTTTTCCTTGTGGAGCCAAAATCCAACCTTTGTATTCTTGCATTGTTAGCCCCCTTTGTATGAAGTCGGATTTACTGTTGTGATATGGATGTCCCAGTGACCAGAAAGTACACGCGATCTGCATACCCAATCAAGGCTTCAAAGTCTCGGCCAGTTCTGTAAACCAACAACCAACTCTGGAAAATCAAGGACGATAATTGACATAATCTCCTCATTCCCCGCTTTGATTGGCTCTGAAAATCGTGTTCCATGTGTATCCCCAAATCCAAAATCCAGTTGATCATCATTTTTACATATTTTTACCATTCAAATGGCATTTTTGGGGATTTTTTGGGGATTTTTCCCCCACTTTAATCATCATTTTTCCCAGGATTTTTCCCATTGAAATTCCCAGATTTGCCCACCTGCATGGGACACCGCTTTCCCGAGAAGATCTGTCCACGAAGCTCAACTTCCCGGACCTGGCAAACGCCTGGAGCCGCTGAGCCCATCGGAGTGAAGATCCACCATGCTATTGGGACCGCATTTGGTGGCAATGGGATTTTTCCTAACATAACTAGTTATGGAAAGATGCACCATTTTGTAACTATGGAAAACTCACTATAAATCGACTGGGCCATGTTCAATAGCTTTTGTGTACCAGTTTGCCAGAGGGTAGAGCAATCTGGTAAACACCAATGTTCAGGACATTGACATTGGTAAGTCAACATAACTCAAGCGATTTTCATCGATGTTCAGAGATTGTCCCGGAGTCATGCTGGCGGAGCCAGCTGGATGAATTTTCCATGAAGATATGGTGATGTCTCCGAGCATATTGTTTTCACAGAACGAGGAAGAATAGCCTTTCACAACACAAGCAGTGAAGCATGCATTGATATTGGGAACCCCATTTTTGTTGCTTTTCCAGCAGAAGCAATCGCAAACATCAGTTCAGTAGTCTTGGATGGTTTTGGGGGGTTCTGAACGACCATCTCGACCCATAGCATCTGATCCAACTAGGTAAAATATGGTAAATATGGTACAACATCATCATTAAATGATCACCTCCCCCCATTTTGGGTGTTTGATATACAACTTCTCCGACTCGGAGTCCATTTTTGGCACCTCTGGTTCCATAAAGTCGCAGCCGTCGACTGCGGATGGGCGTGTCCAAATGTCTGGCGTTCCAACCCAGCGATGGCCGTCCCAGCGTCCAGAAGGACTTCCAGGTGGTTGGAAGGATCGGCACCTGGCAGAGCCAGCATAGCAAGATGAACAAAATGAGGAGCAAGACAAGGTACATCAAGGCACAGTCGAAAGATGTCGAAAGTGTCAATCACAACTATTTTCACAGCGATACTTGTGTGGGACTTCCCCGTCTGTCTCAGTTTGATCTTTGACCCATCTCAAAACTTTTTGGTGCTTTTTGTTCCAAGCAGCTTGTGTCGAAGAACCCTGGAAGCAACTGCCTGCACAGCTGCACAGCCCAACAAACACTTTCACTTGACGTTGATCCAATTTTTCGATCCACCAAATTCATGGCGACGAGCAACATCAAATACCCTCTCGTAATTTAACATGACTATGGAAAATCACCATTTTTATTGGAAAACTCACTATAAATGGCCATTTTCAATAGCTATGTTAGTTTACCAGAGAGTAACCCATGAACTTCCAACAAACTTGGAACATCTTGGAACCCTGGAATCTTTCCATATCTTTCCCAGTTCCCAACGGAAAACGAGTCACTTCGGTTGCTGCCATTGCTGTCATTGTCGAAGGAGTCGTTGCTGTCGGTGTCATTGGGGCAGTCGGAGGGGTTGATCTCCTCAGATTATGCAGCGACAGATGAAGATCCCTATGGGTGACAGATTTTATTGATTTATGGTTTAATCATGCTAAATATCCACATATCTATGCATTATATTGCATGGTTTGGCCACATATCTTATTGGGTATATATAATATTCAGTTATTGGTTACATATCCAGTATCACTCAACTGTTGCTGGATATATGATCTGTTTATGGCTTTCCATGTATACATTATAAAGAGTATGCATATCGCCACTAATTACATTATTTTGTGGTTCTAACCCACCTAAAAAACAGTAGAAAGTCTTTTCTGGCAAACAATGATTCATCAGCAACTGCCAGGATGTTGTTTTTCATGTCCTCCATGTACTCTACGGTGTAGTTCTCCGTCAGCACTGGGTAGTCTCCTGCAGTTGGCACCATGTTTGAAGCCGTTTCGAGGCGGTGTAGTTCAAAATTCTTATGAAACATAATGAAATATTCTGGAACATCACAGAACACCTCCGTTTCATCAGTGGTTTTTTACATCGACGTATTTTTTCATCGTGTTTCCGCTCCTGACTGAAAGCTGGCACCGACGAGACCCTCTCGCAGCTCTACCTGGTAACAGTCTCTCAGTTGTGTGCGATTCAAATGGTAAACAACCCAATCATAAACCCTTAACAACTCCTGTTTTCTAGGCATGGAATGGATATGGATGTGGTTTATAACAACCCCAAATCCCAAAATTTGGTAAATGATGGTAAATGGGTGTAAATGGGAGATGGTTTATGATTGGGTTTACCTCCACAATTTTGATTTCACCACTCTTTCCTAATCATGGCCTCCACAACCCAGCCTGAGCAGGTGCAAAGTAGGCCACGTCCGTCAAATGAAAGTGCCTGTGAGAATGGAATGCCGCAAGGAAACAGAAACCAACGAAGCAATTGATAGGATTTGATAACCTAGCTCAACTATTCATACAAGAAATCCATAGAAATCTTCGTTTTTACCATAAAACATCAAAAACCTTGGGGCTTCCTCCAATTTTTGTTCCCTTCCAAGTCTTCCAAGTGGATTCCCACCTTCCAGGGCCCGCATCGAAATCCAGATGGCAGGGGCCCTCATTGTCCAGCTGCACATCTGCATCCACAGAGCCATCCTCCGATTTCACAACCGATTTCTGGCTGGGGATATCAGCAAAGAATTCGTCCACTTTCTAGATATAAATCATATTAATAAATCTAGCAATTCAGCATAATTCAGCTGTATCCATGACATGACTTAAATCTCTATCAAATTTGGGAAAATCTATCAATATCTTTCAATGTTTTTTTGGGCAAACCATGGCTGGATGTTCCAAACTTGGCATCATCGGATCACATGACGAAACTCGGCCAAGTTGCTGCTGCACGGATCACCTCCACCTGCCTGGGAGGTGGATCACAAGATTCCAAGAGCCTTTGGTAATACATGGTAACACTCCATATACCCCCAAAAAAATTCAGGCTTTATCAGATTTGGATGATTGATTTGGTATACCCCAAAAGTATCCAAAAGTGACATTTCAGGCTTTATCAGATTTGGATGATTGATTTAGTATACCGGTATACCCCAAAAGTATCCAAAAGTGACATTTCAGGCTTTATCAGATTTGGATGATTGATTTGGTATACCGGTATACCCCAAAAGTATCCAAAAGTGACATTTCAGGCTTTATCAGATTTGGATGATTAATTTGGTATACCGGTATACCCCAAAAGTATCCAAAAGTGACATTTCACATGGTTTCCCTTAAAGGTTTCCCCCTTAAAGTCGTCATGCCTTTTTTTGATCACCGCACCTGTGAGGTGATCCAGTCAAGTGGACGAAAGGCCTTAGGTCCTGGGAGGTCGTGAAAAACATCACGAGACATATCATTTATAGACATAACATGATATATAAAATGATATATATATATATCATATCTACAGATTCTACAGATTCTACAGATTCGCATCAGATTCTACATCATGTAGTTAACCATAGTTCACTAATCATTGGATATTGATGGATATTGGTTGAATCATGTTGAATCCGAAATCAACCACATGATTAATATACTCCCACTTTTGCTCAGAACCACGTGGTGCCCCAGCGAGTTCCAGTTCGCTCCTCTGAGGGAAGGCCTTCAAGCTCCGAGGTGAGAATCTTCGTGGTGCGACCTCAAGTGACTTGGCGGCCAGTCAGACTGGCAGGTCACGCTGAAATCATCAGAAATCATCAGAAATCATCGGACATCACCAATCATCAGACATCCATGAGCAACCATTTAAGAACATGGAAGAATCCACTGGCAACATATGCAACATGGGGACAGTTGGACAACATTGGACTACGATTTTTCCATTTTTCTTTTGCCGACACTTGTCGTAAACGATTCGATCCTTCCACATCTTCCACCTTGCCAGGACACAACGAAGTTCCGTCTTGGTGATATTCAGCAACTCGCAGCGAGCGCCACACAGGGTCACCGAGACCTATGAGACGTTGATGGACGGTTGGGACGTGGCTTCATCAACTCTTCTGTGGGAAGAGGATGATGAGCATGACAGCTGATGACATGTATATCTGTATACCATCTGCTTATTTAACATAGCCATGGAAAATCCCCAAAATAAATGGAGGTTTCTAGCTCGCTGGGAAAATCATCTATTTCTATGGGCCATTTCTTCCATGGCTATCTTAAATAACCAGAGGGTACTGTATATGTATAATATGTATATCCCTAAGCATCGTTGGCACCTCACATGGAGATACCAGTATCTCTGAACGAGGGTTCCGTATCTCGTATCTCCCAGCGAGGTACCGGGGACCTGGTGGAATTTGGGTCGAGGTACCGAGGTACCGAGTGGTAGTGGTGCCATGAACAAATCATGAGAAATCAGTTTGCCATGTGCATGAAACACATAAAGTGCTGAAGATATCATAACATTGGTGAAGCCACAGTTCCATCTAACACCCGAACCAAGTTGATTCTTTTCGCAGCTTCCACGCGCATGCAATGTTGAAGCGCGTGGCATATCTCTGGGATGCCTCGGCCACGCTCAAAGCGAGGACTGTCCCATGGGGAGCTGTGGATATCAGATCCCTGTGGCAACATCGAAACAAAATAGCCATATAGATCCATAATGATCCATATAGGATATTTTTACAAAATCAATTAGAATCTATGGGTAGATGTTGTAAACCAAGGGATGCTCGTGAATGCTCCAATCAGTTCTGGACGGGTATGAAGGTTTCTCAGAATATTGGTATCCCCAAGTCATTTTTTTCCAAAAATACCATTCATTTCTGGGTACATACCATTTTAGGAAACCTCCATATCTAATTATGGGAAACGTTTTGCAACTACAGTAGCGCTGGCTCAGAGCTGGTCTAGTTGGAACGGTGCCATGACGGCATTGGATGGGCATGAGGATGAAGTCATAGGCAGGGGACCCGTTCTGCAATTTTGGTTTGTTAAGGCGGTGGTTGTATAATTGACAATTGATGTAACCATCTAACCGTTTTGGTTCACTGGTCAGGTCTTCTGAAGATGTATCTCCCTGCTACCACGTTTATAAAGTGTGCAGCGGCAAAGCCACCGCTGAACACCCTCTTTGTGGATATAGACAGCAGCAAGATTTCCTATGTCAACCTGGAAGATTACCTGGACCTCATGCTTGCTTTGTATGACCTTTCCCCAGAAGGATCCTAGGGTTGCAAGATGATTTTGTGTTATTGCTAGCTGTGTATTGGAATGTTTTCGTTTCATTGCATGGTGAGAAATAAGGGGAGTACACGCAGAACTTCCTCAAGACTGTCTTTATGAAGCTGGACGAGTCTTCAGAACATGGACTGTCACAAAAACGGTCCCAGAGGGATAGGAAATCATGGGCGTCTGATGAAGCCACAGCTTTGTATGAACTGCTGTCTTACACCCGTCGCTACTGGCGAAAAGCCTTGAAACGCAAGACCCAAGGGAGAGTTACTATGATTGCAAATATGTTGCAGTGCATGAATATATGTTATTTTTCATATGCACAATGAATACATATGAAATACATATCCAGTATACTTGCACTGCATGATTAAGGTTGCAGCTGCGCTTCTAGCTGTGCTGAAACCATGTGAGCGCCGTGCACGGCCAACTTGTCGGGGCACAAGGAAGTCTACATGTGATCAAGAGCCCCCACCTGCTGCCTCTGGGGAACACTCTTCAACCCCCAGTTCAAGCGACCCTGTCAATGTGGTGGATGATGATGACGTTGAGATTATCACACCCCCCGATGAAGGCACAATATTTATGTATGTGGTTTTCATTTGGCATGCATGGGAAAAATACCGTCGATCTCCATTCATTGTTATTCTCAATTTTCAGTCTGGGTGCCCTGGCTTTGCACGGAGGTGCTGTAGGATCCTCTGGCCTGAGAAACGTGGAAGTGGCTCAGCTACGCTTCTAATTTTCAGTCCTTCAGATCCTGATAGCATAAATTTACTTGAGCACCTGCATTTGAATTCTTGGGGTGGTCGTCAAATTTAAATGATAAATGTGATGAGTTTCGCATGTCTTTCCGGAAACTTATATAACCAATCCCATATGCCATATGCATTTTCCATATGCATGATTCCATGGTATTGAGGCATTGCCATCGAAACCATTGACCAGCCGAATGTCACGGATCGAGAGCCCTACCTGTTATGAAGTTCCCGACTCACAACCAAGAACTCAAGAAGAATGGGATTATTATTTCCCACCCAAGCTTCAGGTTTCCTCATCCTCGCGCCCCACCAGTGAAGAAAAGCCGGCCATTGACCATAATGTCTTGCAAATCTCTGATGACGAGAATGATGAGAAGGCCGATCACTCTAACATGTATGACGTGAAACCATGAGGAAATAAACAGTTAAGTCCTTCTCATACTTGGGGGTATAAACTATAGCTGTCGCAAGTGTATACATATATTCACTACCATAGTTGGCCATTAATGATGTAATTGAATATTGAACATACCCAGAGATACCCAAAGTATCATGCTCTGTGCGCCGGTGCGCCAGGCCCCACACCGTGGAGTGAGCTCGGAGAACATTTCGGATCATCAAGTTCCCTGGCAGCAACTGTGCTGACTGCTGGGCTTGGACATTGGACATGTGTGGAGGGATAGGCACATGAGGGTTGCCTAAAATGGGGGGACCCTCAAATCATGTTGGGAATTGGTATTACGAACCATGGGGTGCTTCTATTTGTCGAAGCCCACACACCATGCATAGCAACAAAACACATATCCGACATAGAGCATTAATTATAATATTAATATGGTCTGCCGTTCAAATTTATTTTTATGGATGCACAGGCAGTTTTTAATGCCCTATACTTGACTTGGGTTGCTCGCCTGTGATGGGTGCTTAGGTTGACCAATGGGAATCCAGTTCCGAAGATCTTGATATCATATGCCTCGATGATCATCCTGAACAATGCCTACGCAATCGTGAGAACGTGGTTGCACCAGCCGCTCTGGGGGGGGAAGTGACGCACCGGGACCCGAAGGGTGTGTGCCAAAGGGATGCGAGTCACTTTCATCACCCCCTGAAACAGCCAGTCTTGTGATGGTTGGTGATGGATCAGGCTTGCAACAGTCCACTGCCCCACAAGCTGATGGTAGTAGTGCCGCAAAAGTCAAGGGCGACCATGTAGAATACAAATACCCTCTCCCAGAAAAGCCACCGTTTGCAACCGAGATTAAAGAGACCCTTTCAACTGCCGCACCACCTGACTTGAGCAATCAGGGAAAACCTCGTGGGAGGAAGAGCCATGCTTCAAAAGCCATAGCTCAGGAGCTTGGGGATGCCAGTGATGAAGAAACAAATGGGGATGAGTCTAAGACAGCTAGAAAAGGGAAACCAGCCACCAAGGCAAAGTCAAAGACAGCCAAAGGGAAAGGAAGGGGGAAGGCCACACCTAACAGGATGGCAAAGCCGACGCCCAAGGCCAAGGCGAAAGCCAGTCCTAGGGGAAACAAAAGCAAGCCGAGCAAGAGCCGAACGGGTAGAAAGGAAACCAAAGCAGATGATGAGCCCAAGACCAAAAAAGCAAGAACAGCACGAGCAATCAGGATGGCTGCCACTGATGACAGTGCCATGTCAGCCATGTCAACCGGGGGAGCTTCGCGGATGGGTTCCAGTGACATCCCAAACGATGCACAGCCCGCCCCATCCCATGTCAGCCTTAACAATGTCTATTCCAATACTTACCGAAAGTATTTGGCATCCAAACCGGATGACAAGGAGGGAGCCAGGACAGTGGCCAAAAAAGCTACTGCCCTTTTCCGTGAGCATGGTATGGTGCGACCAGTTTGGACCGGCACTTTTCAAAAGAAAAAGGGTAATTAGATCCCTTTGTCGGCCTCAGCCTAGACAGTACCCCATCACACAAATGAAAGATATAGGCACCAGATACATTCGAATTATATTTATCGATTTGCAATTTAGATAGAATTCCCAAGTTTTGACTTTGCAATCAACCTTTTTCGACTCAAATGGGGGGCTGACGTAGTGCTGTTTTGGTCACCTGTGTCTGGGTGTGGCAACAATGATGAATTTATTTGACATTTCAGCCATATGGGGTTGATTCAAAAAAGTGAATGCCACCGAGGACCTATCTATAGCATCTTCTTTCAACACCGCGGGTTCCATGAGTCGAAACATCATCGATTGTTTCAGCACTGGTCCAATGATTTCATTCTGTTCACCTACTTCCATATAGGAACAAGGGCGTGTTGATGTAAGGTTTCAAATCTTCAATTCGGCCATGATTGCCGTCCCATGCAACTTGCGCCGCCTGGGAATGCGGCCGTAGAGCGATGTTGGCAGATGGCCTTTGCCAGGAGCAAAACGGTCAAACCATGGCACCCTTACTGTTGAAACCATTGCGATCAAGACATTCAGTAGCATTGATCGTTGTGCAGAAAGTAACAACACATGCAGAACATAGATCATAATGATCATATGAATGTATGGACCACGATCACCTTGTCAGTCTTTTTGGTTCATCCCCAGCATTCTGGACGACAAGGGTGCTTTGGTTTGCTAATTGAGCATCCCAGCTGCAACTAAGACCCAAGCTCTCACATGTGTTCAAAAGATATACATTCAAGTCGCATTGAGAGATCGAGCTTATGTGGATTTCCCTTGACTTGCACGACAACCACTTATCATATAACCCTCTTAAGGTCTCTAAAAAACCCATGATGTTCTAGGGTTCCCAAATGCTTTGCAAAGGTTCATTCCTTCCTCCCGCTCTTGCCCGGCCGATACGTGTCTAAGGTAGCCAGACCATGCCACCCAAAGCATCAAAGTCATCGATGTCGTTTCCTGACATGACGGGCAGCGGGTGGAAGTTGGCAAAGCAATTCTGTATGTTATAGGGAGGAGCGCGGATAGATCATATAGTATTCACCTGTCCTTCCTTCATATTATATCATACTTGTTTAAATTGAAC